GTTGTATTTTCATTGACTATACATATTCCATTATAACCTTTCAGATATCAGTTCCTTGATTTGACACACAGTGACAGCTGTCATTTCGTAACCCAACCTATTTGTTTGTAGTTGTAGAGCGACCCAATTGCCTGTTTTTACCTGTTTCTCCCTTTGACACAAAGTAATAGCTATCATTTTGAAATAAATTTGTTTATAGTTGTATACAGCGTTGAAATTAACTAAGCGTATTTCTCCAGTTCCTTGTTTTGACACATAGTCACAGCTGTCATCTCATAACCCAACATAATTGTTTGCTATTGTACTGCGACTCAATTGCTGAGAGTATTAAGACAATTCCTCACTTTGACACATAGTGACAGCTGTCATTTCGCAACCCATATAAATAAATCAAGTTACAATTAATTATAATAACCGAAATACGCCAAAGTAGTTATACTCTATAGACTTGACCCACATTTCTAATAAATCGAATACTTAATCGTATTCATTTAATATGTTTGCATGGGAAATTAGCGAAATCCATAAAAATTGGATCACGATTATTATTATTATTATATAAGACTTTTCGCATACACGAGAATTTCGACATGAAATATTTGCGTGTATGTTTATGGGTTTTTTTTTCTGTTTACGAAAGTGAGAGTTCATCGAGATGATGAAACATGTTATAAATCAAAACGAGTACCAATAAACACATTATTCCATATAAAAGTGAACATAAATTGAAGATTTTTTTTATGATTGATGACATTTCACCATTTAGCTATGATTACGTACATTAACATTAGTTAATAGTTCATACTTTTCTTTATATCAATAACTAAACGAATTAAAGCAATATTATGTAAAGAAAAAAATTCATGCAAAATTAATTTCAAATATTAAAAATTGTGTACATAAATCTCCATTATTTATAAATAATCTTACAAGAGAAAAGTTTATCGAGAACTATAAAAATATAAGCAAAACAAATTAAATGAATCTGAAAGTAAGGAAATAATTAACGAGCAATACACACCTTAAATAAATGAAATATATTATATACGAAGCATATATGTATATAGCAATATAAACTGTATTCTATTTTAAGAAAAAGTACATCGAATTTCATATTCGAAAAGAATTTTACATTTTTAAACTGAATGTTTCTGCGAAAAGGAAAAAGTATTTTAATAACGACTCGTCAGGTTATTCCAAATATTTACATTCCGCTGCATTCCTTCACCCAAATATTCGTCGAAAATTACGAAATATTCCAAGCATGAACATCGATGCATATTATTATTTTATGTTCGTTTATTAAAATCATGCCATGATTTATAAATTCAACGATTAAACCTTAAATTATATATTTTTTATTACAAAACAAAATAATGCAACAACAAAATAACATATAATGAAATCATTTAATTGACAGATTGACTGAAGACCAACAAACAGAAATGTCAAAATTTATAAATTGACACTTACGTATCATTACGAATAAAAAATGTCAATATTACTATTTTTTATCAACCATACGCATTTACACAAAGTGACAGCTGTCATTTCACGATTCAACATATTTGTTTGCAGTTGTACCAATTGCTGAGAGTATTTCACCAGTTCCTAACTTGTTGAACAACAATGTTGACAGTTTATAACTGAATTACTGGAATTTCCATAGAGTTCCCACATTACAGTAATCAGGGCATCCCTCTGAACTCGGTGCAAAGTGGAATTTCTGTCGAATACCTGCGGGGTTTCAATTGTTGTCAGCCGCAACCTGAGTTTGGCACATAAATGCATAAAATTAAACTCTAAACTCCCGCAAAATTGTATCATCCGCCGATGGGAATTCGGTAATCCTTCAAAGTGCGGCTACATTACATGTTAGTTAATCAATTCGGCAGTTTTGAACATAAACCACGTTGCATTACTCATACCAAACAGCGTATTTATCCTTCATTATTATTAATTAGTGTAATAAAAAAATTGAACTATTACAGAGATTTGGTGAAGATGTTAAGTGACCTTCTTTGGTAACCGAGTTCTTTCACTTTTTTTCTTCATTCCCTTGTTCGTTGTACACGAAAAGTGATCGTCCTGTATAGAAGAGTTGCGCTACTAGATGATCCATGCAAGAGATCCATCCTAGTTAACAGAAGAAGAAAAAAAAACTGTGAGCGTGCCGCAATCCATATAGTACACGTTGCAAATCTCGCTGCGATGTGAGAGGAGACCATAGAGCACGCAAATATAATAAGCAATTCCCATCATTGTTCTTAGACTCTTCACAAGTTTATTTTCACCGCTGTTTTCATTTCATTTTTTTTGTTTGTTGTCTGTCTCTCTGTTCTAGCTCGATCTTCATGTCGCGTCATTTCATTCCGTTCGGCCGTAGTGCGGCAATAATTGCATCAACTACGGTTACGTTTCACTTCTACTACATTCGAACATACAACACACAAACATTGAATGTGGCGGCGTTCGCATTTAACTGCTTCAATGCGTCCGTTTTCAAGTTCAATAATCATTGAACAGTGTGTGTGTGCGAGTTTTGCAACCGTAAACTTAATCAACCGTGATGTCTAACTTGACCTTATATGCATTCATACATATTACCATGATTTATGCACAAAATACCATCCGTCCTCTATGCACAATTATACAGAAACCCAGAGTATTTGCATTTCAATGCATCAAATATTATAACATTTTAGTGATTTTCTCAGCAACTATAACAGATGGAATGGATCCGAAAGATGCATATGAAACTTCAATATTTGGCGAATACAACATGTATTCATTTATTTGTTTTGCTGTATTCCATTTGGATGTAATTCACGTTAAAAAAAATGTACGCTCAAAAAGCAATGTCTTCACATTTTATTGATTTTCTCAAAAACTATAATACATAGAATGGATCCGAGAGTTTCATATGAAGCTAGGATATTTGTGGAATACAAAGTGCATTCATTTGAAGCTATAGTTTCATCAATTTAGTTGTAATTCGCGTTCAAATATTATGAAAATTTAATTATTTGTTCAGCTTGAAAGGTTCAACATTATAGTTTATGCAATAAGCGACGATGGATGAAAAGAAATCTTCACGGCTCAGCTTCAACCGACAACGCAGATTCAACCACGAACAATTGGCTAATTACGTGAATCATTTGTTTTCAACTCGTTTTTCTTCTTCATTTTGTCTTCATATTATTCATTGAGCTCATTTTCAATCATCAAATCAAATGATGATGATTACTTGCATTCTTTCCACACATCATTAACTCATGAAAACAAGTATAACTATACCCCTTTTTCAAGAATAATTATACATAATTCTACTCAATCGATATACCTGCTCGAATAAACGTCAATTATCTCTGACTAATGTGTTTTTGTTATTGTTAAATTTTCGACAATGCACTGAAAATAAAACAGAAACAAAATTTTCAATTTTTCAAGATCAAATTGATGGTGACTTGTGAAAAATACATTTGATTTATGCATTTAATGTAGATCAATTTATGTAAATGTAGACAGAAAATCCGTAACGGTCAGTCGAAAATAAATTATTCAAGGTGTTCGTTTATTTTTGTTTGTTTTGCATCATTCAAATTCGACTGTTGCAATTCCATCAAAATTAACGAAACCTTACAAAATGTTTTTCTTTTCTTTTCGACACTTTTTATTCTTTGGTAACGTGCATGTTACTAAAAATTAAACCTCCACGGACTTAGGAACATGCGAACTTCAGAATGAAAGAAAGTTGTATTTTGTTAAGCTTTGATCGATCATTATCGTTCTCGGCGTTATTTGCACCTGCATTTTTAGTTCAATTTGAAAGTCGTTCGTAATTGTCGCATGTGGAAATATCCATTTTCATTCAATAAAGTCGCATTCTGTCTGTGTCGCAGCACACTTTACGGTACGCGAATTCACGTAATTCTTCGTCAGGTCCATATTAAGACGAATACTATTAACACAGGGAGAAATCACCCTACAGACAAATGCGTTCATGTAATTAATGAACTTTCCTTATAAACATTCCATCTAAATTATGCTACAATTTAAACTATTATTGCAATATTCACTATTATTATGTATGATTAAAAATCATGATTGTAAATAATCATAATTTGTGAGAACTTTCTTACTTTTTCATTGATAATTATTAAGATGGTTGGCACAGGCAAAAACAAATTAATTGCGAGTCAAAATGACAGCTGTCACCTTATTTCAAAGCGTGAAATACTTTTGGCTATTGGATCCAATTGGATCGCCGTACAAGCAAACACAAATTTGTGACAGCTGCCACCTTGTGTTAAAGCGGGAATCTGGTGATATACTTTTGGTAATTGGGTTGCTATGCAACTGTTGTGTCACAAAATACAAAAATCTTTTTTTTAACATTTACCCGGCGCAGACACCAAAAACATCGTCTATTGAATTTTCGATTGTCTGTTAATTATTATTAATTAAGTATAATTACATTGTAACGAATTGATATCAATCCAAAACACATTTGTTTATGCTATACGTAGTTATAAGTTATTATGAAAGTAATTGCAACTATATCTGATTAAAAAAGGAAATTAAAGCAATAAATAAAACACGAACGTTACGCCAACTTGCAAACTATACATTTCTTTAATTTGCATTCAAATTGTTAATAAAAATAATCTAAACGTAATTAAACTTTCACTGCGTTGTATTATCTACATTTAGTTTTAAAAATGAATACTAATCATTAAAATATGTATTTATATCCCAAATATTGTTATTTACTTAGCCTTTGTTACTTGTATAAACGCAAATTCTTTGTCAAGATTTTAAGTTTGTCATCAATTAGTTGTATGTAAAATTAAAAAGCAGTTTTTGATATAATTAATTTGCGAGGAAAGAATATACAAAATAATTGAAATTCGTTTAAAGATATGTCTGGTTACATATATTCCAATCGAACTGCAAATTATCGATGACAGATGGCGTCGAAGTGCAGTCTCAAAATCAATTTGTTATCCGTGCGAACGCAATGCATCAGAGATAATGCTTGAAATTACTTTCAATTCGGGCCGCGGACGCGATTTATCACAATTACGAGAGGCATTAAATCGTTACGGCTCACGTTTTGCGCAAAACTTAATTGGGCGAATTTCGGTTGTTGGAATTTGGCCCAATCATGTTATGATGCCCAGACAAAATTAACTGCACCCAATCTCTCTGATCCTCCTCAATTCTTCTCTTTATTTGTTTTCTGTTCCCTCGCCGGATGAATGTCTCACGTTTCTCATTGTTTTCGTTCCATGACTTTACTTGTGCTTCGGGTTCAAAAAGGTTACGACGTCGTCTTTTCACCTCTGCGCCTTTCGAAATTAGATTAACTAACATCCTATTAAAACGATTCCATTCGATACTTGTACGTCTTCGCGCAATGAATCATCTAATTGAAACATTGATTGCATTTCGAATTATTAACTTTAATGCTTTAAGTTTTAATTGTTGATCATTCACTGTAACGATATTCATTTGGGAATATCAAAACCCATCTGACATCTGTCACACCTTGTGTCAAATTGATGAACTGATGAAGTACATAGTACAAATATATATAAAAAAGCTTTATTTAAAATATTTTAAAATAATTATGTAGTTAAACCTTTGTTACTTGAACATAGTTGAAATAAAAAACATTTTTTTCTTTAAAATTAAGTTACCTATATTTTCAATGAAAAATATATGTGGTAGTTTTTGTAAAGTCGGCAATGTAGAGGTTCCGTTATTGAATTGTTTTTTTTTTTGTTTTAGATGTCTTGCAATTGTCCTGTGACCCAACCAGGGCCAACTTTAGCGTCAACATGCGGTGGTGCTCCGTTCATGCTGTTCATGGGATTGCTGGAGGTGTTTCTTAGATCGCAGTGCGACCTGGAAGATCCTTGCGGAAGGCCCGAACAGACTCCACTCTTACCGGAATACGATTTCATCGTGGTGGGCGGCGGTTCGGCGGGAGCAGTAGTTGCGAGCCGTTTATCCGAAATACCCGAATGGAGAGTTCTGCTGATCGAAGCAGGCCTCGATGAGCCGACGGGAACTCAGGTGCCGTCCATGTTCTTGAACTTCATCGGATCCGATATCGACTGGGCTTATCAAACCGAACCGGAACCGGAAGCGTGTCTCGCCGAAGAGGGGCAAAAGTGTTACTGGCCCAGAGGCAAAGTGCTTGGAGGAACGTCGGTGATGAACGGAATGATGTATATCAGAGGATCTAGAAGGGATTTCGATAATTGGGCGGCTATGGGTAACGAAGGCTGGAGCTACGACGACGTTTTGCCGTACTTCTTGAAGAGCGAGGACAACAAGCAATTGGATAAAGTGGATAGAGGTTATCACGGAACCGGAGGTCCATTAACTGTTAGCCAATTTCCGTATCATCCGCCACTTTCCAAGGCTCTATTGAAAGCCGGTGAAGAGATGGGTTACAAAGTGAGGGATCTGAACGGAGCTTTCCACACCGGATTCTCCATCGCTCAGACTACCAATAAGAACGGATCGAGATTGAGCACGGCCAGAGCATTCCTGAGGCCTTTCAAGAACCGCAGGAATCTTCACATCTTGCTCAACTCCACCGTCACCAAAGTTCTGATCAATCAAACGACGAAGACCGCTTATGGCGTTGAGCTCTTGCACAACGGCCGCAAGCAAGTCGTCTACACGAATAAGGAGATTATAGTCAGCGGCGGTAATTATTTTAATTTTATTAGAAACGAAAAATGTTAAGTGAGATTGTTTCAGGTGCTGTCAATTCACCACAGATTCTTTTGCTATCTGGAATCGGGCCGAGCGAGGAGCTTCGCGATGTGAACGTACCGGCGATCCACGAACTGCCAGGTGTCGGAAAGAATCTTCAGAATCACGTCGCGTATTTCGTTAATTTCTTCATAAACGACACGAATTCTTCTCCTTTAAATTGGGCTACGGCTATGGAATACTTGTTGTTCAGAGATGGACTGATGAGCGGAACGGGCATCTCCGAAGTGACCGGTTTGGTCAACACCAAATACAATGATCCGAATCTGGACGACCCAGATATGCAATTTTTCTTCGGCGGTTTTCTTGCGAATTGTGCCAAAACCGGACAGGTCGGTGAGAAGTTGGATGAGCATTCGCGTTCCGTCCAGATCATCCCAGCAGTCATTCATCCGAAGAGTCGCGGCTACTTGAAGCTTAGGTCCGACGATCCGACGATGCCACCTATGATTTACGCCAGATACTACACTCATCCCGATGACATTAAGGTGATGGTGGAAGGAATCAAGATTGCCATTGCAATGTCCGAAACAAATGGTAACAGTCAATCAACGATACACTTAAGCTTATTATTATTAACACAGTTCAATATCGCAATAGCACTGAAACGTTACGGATTCAAATTGGACAAGACGCCGACCGCAGGATGCGAGAAGATTCCATTCGGAAGCGACAAGTATTGGGAGTGCTCGGCCAAGCAGCAAACAGGACCAGAGAACCATCAAGCTGGAAGCTGCAAAATGGGTCCTGCGAGTGATCCAATGGCTGTAGTCAACGATCAATTACAAGTACTTTTATATATACATCATAATATAATCTAATACAGCGATTCCTAACCGGTGGGGAGGGGGCGCGAAAATATTATTACAATTTTGTATGTTTTGATATCTTTACAAATCAAAATAGTTTCTATAAGACTAGGTTTACGATAAAATATTTTAGGATTTTAAGAGGGCCGTGACTACTGAAAGCTTAAGAACCACTGATCTAATAATCGAATCGTTTCAGGTTCACGGCATCGACAGGTTACGAGTCATCGATGCGAGCATCATGCCAGTGGTAACATCAGGTAATACAAACGCCCCAACGATCATGATCGCCGAAAGAGGCAGCGATCTGATCAAACAGCGTTGGCTCACACCGTCCGAGGGTTTCTTCTACAGCCATCCCAGCGTCAGGATCAACAGGCAATGGGGAAGTTGGTAAAAAAAAGAAGAATAACCGAGAGTGAAAACAAGAAAAAAAAAAAAGATCCTAAAAACCATTATTTTCTGTAGATAGATTATTTGTATTTCTTATTTATCCAAGTGCACTCAGTATTTATTGATAAGTTTAACTTTTAAGAAATAAAAAGAAAAAAACATGAAGATTTGAGTGAGAACATTCTTGTTGTTTTTTTATTTACACAATCCCAATTTGCTTTCTTTATTTGCATTTTCAAAATCGAAGAGTGCCGGAGAACTGTAACTGTAAGTTCAACTGTGCCGTGAGTTAACAAAAAAAACGATTCAATTGTTCCAAATTGATTGACATTTCTTTCTTGTTGAATAATAAAAATTTGGGAACCGAATTTGGGAACTTGATATACAGACAAACATACTACTAAATAAACTGTTTTTTTTTTATTGCAACAGAATTGTACAGCTTAATGCAATCTAAGTGTATTTATTGTCAAAGCGAAGTCATTAAAGACAAATATGTGTGTGTTTATGTTGACGCATTCGTGCATTACACGTTTATTCACTTTATGTTGTTAATAAATAAATCATTTACCTATAATTAGAATATTCGATTAGATATACGTAATTGCTTATTTTCCAATGACTCAAATATTCGATTAGAATTATTGACAATTAACGATAACAGAAACAAACATTTTTTCTTATTCTTATAAAGTATTCATTTCAATATATGCTACACAAACCGAATAAGTTTGGGAATCCTTGTATTTCTCGATATACAAGTGAATTACTTAGCAAGTTATTTTAGATTCCTCTCAATAAATTTGAAAAAAAAAATGTTCCCATTTGTCGATTGGTTTAGATTTGAATAAAAAGAAAGATTTTTATCTATTGACGAGAAAAAGGTTTAGCGACGAGCAACCAATAGAATTGTTATGAACGAAAATAGGCGATCCCTTGTCTAGCGTTTGCCGATTTGATTCGCAGCTGAAAACTTCTTTTTTATGACTCTCTTATCTTCTGTTCGAAACTCACTTTTTTCGTCGCCCAATGAGAATTGTCCGAAGCAACAGACTAATTATTTTATAGTAAGGTCAAAAATTATTGAAGTACAATCAAATTTTAGTATTGTTTATTTCATTTTATTATAAAAAAATATTCCTTATTTAATCAAGTAAACTTAATGTTTATGCTTGTGTGTCTTTTCGTGTTCGGTAACGGCAGTCTTGACTTGCTTCTCGATGTTCTGACCGATCTCCAAGATGCTGTCCAAGAAAGTCTTCGAGAATTTCTGCAAGTTCTCTTGAGCTCCTAACAAATCACATTTTTTTTAATAATTAGAATCGTTTTGCATATATATTTAATGATCAAGTGTACCTTTAACTTGTGGTTCATAGGATTTGACGAGGACTTGCACTTGTTCAGCGGCGGTCTTGTAGGCTTTGTTGAATTCGCTTTGGATCTCTTCGGCCTTTTTGGTGGCTTCAGGTCCGGCAGTCTTTTGCAAATCAGCAGCGACGGTGGCCAATTTTGCTTGGGCGGTCTTCACGGCACTGTTGACTTCTCCTTCATGAGCTTTGGTCTACGTTGAATAAAAAAAAATATGAATTCAACAACAATTGTTAATGATTTAGATTATTGTACTGACCTCATGCTTGACTTTGTCGAGGAAGAATTGCAAGTTTTCGAGGAGTTTGTTGGTTCCTTCGTTAAGGGAAGCGCCGATTTTCTTGGTGTCCAAGTCGTTGATGCCCAATTGCTCGCCGATTTTGTTAGCCAAATTCTTGGCGTTCTCGGCCAACTCTTCGAGTTGATCCTTCTGGGGAGCGGCGGCTCTGGGTTTGGCCAAGCATCCCTTAAGAGGAATCAAAATTTTATAAATATGCAAAGAAAATAATACAAAAAAAAAAAAACTTACTTGGATGGCGAAAAGAACGACGGCGAAAACGAAAAGTTTGTTCATGTTGAATAGCTCTTGTTGACTGAAGTGCAAGGACAAGACTGAAGATTCCATCCGGCGTGCCCCTATTTATACGAACCATCCTCGCCCTACCCCTAAACAACTACAATACAGATAATACTTTAGGAACGGTCAATATTTACCTTCTTGTCTGAACCAAAGATTATGGTAATCAATAGTTAATAGTGCCTTCAGATAAATCTACAAACAAACAATATTTTTCCAAAAAAACAACATAGTTTTTCAAAACTTCAAGTACTTTTGTACTGTTTGTATCAAGATTATACTAATTAGTAGTAAAATTTGTATAAAAAATTACAAAAAAGAAAGTTCAAATAGTTCAAACTTGATAATATTTTATAAAATGAAAAATATTTACTTTATATACAACATATTCATTGTTTGTATTTTGATTGATTTAAGCTTTATCTGCTAGCAATTAAAATAGAATAAATAATTTTGTTTTCAAAATTTCTTCAACAACATTAATTTTCACTTCATCCACTTGAAAAAACTTCAATTTTATATTATTAATTTAAAAACGTATTTGTTTATCATCTTTGTATTAAATTTTGAAAAATATTCATTTTTTAAATTGTCATCTTCTCAAAATTTTAAATAGAATCTGTCCGTTTTCTTACAATTGTCATAAATACTATTGTTAGGTAGGAAAAGATCGAGCTGTCTTACCCTAATCAAGTGTTTTCAAAACTTTCTACAAAAAAGAAAATCTGTTTCGAAAAAAAATGTCCATTGACTTTCTACATATTATCAAAATTCTCATTTTTGATGTAAACAATGAATATTATAAGAAATCGTTGGCATTACTAAATAATAATGTCTGACAGATGACACATAACGCTGCAAATGTCATCTGTCAGATATTTTGTTAATAAAAGGTTATACATTATCGTTTTGGTTACTAAATACAATTCGTGACAGATGACAGATAATGCTGCAAATGTCGTCCGTCAGATAAATAAAACAAAAATCTATTATGATATTTTAGCAAAAAAAAAATTGGAAAAATTCAAACAAATTTTGACAAATTTTAATAAAAAATTATAAGTTTTAAACTATACATAATAATTAACAGTAAATAATTATTTTTATATTAATTTTTATGTTTTTCTTCTCTACTTCTTTTTGCAGATTTTGTCCAATATCCAAGATGCTATCCAAAAAGTTCTTCGAGAAACTCTGAATGTGCTCTTGGAAACCTACAGAAAAACAAATTTCGAATTAGTAATTATTAAATAATAACTAGTTTATTTGAATCACCTGGAATCACCCATCATTCTGGATCGTAAGTTTTGACGAGTTGATGTACTTGATTTGTACGCTTTATCGAATTCGATCTTGATTTCTTCGACCTTTCTGGAAGCTTCTGGTCCTATGGCTTTCCGTAAATTATCCGCTGCGTTTGATAATTTCTCTTGGACGGTTTTTACAGCGATTGTTAAATCATCACCATTAGCTTTAGAAATTTACATGTGCGATGAGCACGACGACTGCGAAGATGCAAAGTTTCATGTTGTTTACTCAGACGCAAGGGCAACTGAATTGTTAATTAATCTCTTGTGAACTTTTTGAAAATACTTTTTTATACTTTTCATTTTCTAGCTTAAATTATTAAAAATCAAAACTTTTCTATAACTATATATAATTTTTTAATTATGTATACAACATTCTAATCTGTTGTTAATCAAAACAATCTTTTCTAGGTTGCTTTTTATGCCGACTAAAAAATAAACGTTCTTGTAGTTAATGGTGATATTGAAATGGAAATTTCAACATTTCAAGAAATAAGGGCTAATGTTGTTGTGATTTTTGTCCGTTACTTTGTACTAAACTCATACATTGTAACGGTTTATGTAACCAAGCTTTAAGAAATGCTTGTTTTTGAGATTTTTAATATCTCTACTAATTCACGCCTCGTTTGGTTCGTGTTATTCTCGATCAATGTCTTGATTTCATCATTATTACTAAGGCTGCAACTTTAAACTATTCCTCTATTCCGCTAAAGCAACTTTAGTAATAACATTTTTGACTTTACAGTAAATCTTCAAGAGTGTACTAAATCGACACGAATCTTTTGATCCAAAACCAAACATTTTTCTAAACTCGATTGAAATATCATCTTTCATAATATGTACACTTGTTAGTCTTAGTCCACTAAAGACTGTAAATCTCTTAGTTTTTAGATAATCTAAAGCAAGACGTACTAAAGACACAAATCTTTTGATCCAAAAACAATTTTTTTCTACACACGATTGAAATTTCATCTTTTATAATATGTACACTAATTAGTCTTAGTCTTAGCCGACTAAAGACTGTAAATCTCTTAGGTTTTAGATAATCTAAACCGAGACGTTCTTTAAAGTACAAATACAATGATTTAATCTCAATTTCAATCTAATGGCTTTCTCAAGATTCTTATTTATATAGTAGGTAATGAAACAAAAGTGGATTTTGTATAAAAATTTTAAATTTTTATTTTATAAAAAATATCATATTTTTTTTATTTTCTTTAAATCACATGTGTTTTTTTTTTGTTAGAAAGAAAAAAATTTTTTTTTGTTGTTGTTGAAGTTAATGATAGACGAGATGATTCCTCTTTAATGTTTGTGGGTCTTCTCGTGCTCTTCGACGGCGGTCTTGACTTGCTTCTCGACGTTCTGGCCGATCTCTACGATGTTATCCAAGAAGGTCTTTGAGAACTTCTGGAAGTTCTCTTGGGCTCCTAAATTTGTGTTATTGAATTAATTACACGTTATACAATTGTGGGTTGTAATTAAATTTACCTTGAACTTGTGGTTCGTAGGATTTGACGAGCTGCTGGACTTGATCGGCGGCGGTCTTGTAAGCCTTGTTGAATTCAGTCTTGATCTCTTCGGCCTTCTTGGTGGCGTCAGGTCCGGCGGCCTTCTGCAAATCAGCGGCGACGGTGGCCAATTTCTCTTGGACGGTCTTCACGGCAGTGCTGACTTCTCCCTCATGGGCTTTGGATTCGTCCTTGACTTTATCGAGGAAGCTTTGCAAGTTCTCGAGGAGTTTGTTGGTTCCCTCGTTGAGGGAAGCGCCAATCTTCTTGGTGTCCAAGTCAGCAATTCCCAATTGCTCACCAATCTTGTTGGCCAAGTTCTGGGCGTTCTGGGCCAACTCTTCCAATTGATCCTTCTGGGGAGCGGCGCCCTTTGGCTTAGCCAAACATCCCTTAAGCAACAAAATAAATAAATTAGCAAACATGAACAAAGAAAAATTTTAAATTAAAACAACTTACTTGGATGGCGAAGAGGGCGACGGCGACAAAGAAAAGCTTGTTCATTTTGTTTTTGTTTGTTGTTAACTCGAGTGCAAGACCAAGACTGAAGATCGCAGTCGGCGTCCCGTCTATTTATACGGACCTTCTTGACCCTCCACTCCATACTGATATCCGTTACTACCTTCTTTTTTTTTTCCCCAACCTCCCTAATCTTAATCTCACGCGCTCACCAAAACACACACACACACCAACCGGCCAATTCAAAACAAACACACAAACCATGGAAATCTTCCATTCCGCAAACAAAAGAATTAATACTAAATATTCAATAGTAATTACATAATAAACAATAATTCTCCGCATCGACGAACACTTTACCAGTAAGCATTTCGATAAGAAATAATCGCAACTTGAATTATCGTACACACTGACTTAATTATACAAGTCTGAACTAACAGATACATGTTTTTTTTTAATTGCTTGAAAATTTCAAAGCAAAAGCTGATTTTAATTGTTGAATTGATGAATTTACTTTCTCTATAAAGTCCTCGATTAATCCGGTTTATTGATGTATTCGATCAAGGCGGGTTTGCCATAGTACGGGTTAAAAATTTCAAAGCAAAACTTAATTTTAATTGAGCAAAAAAAAACAGTTTTCTTTGTACATAAATAAATGTATTTTCTGTAAAAAAAAATCCTCGATTAGTGCGGGATATTATAAATACAAAAATACCTCCCATAGTGCGACTTCAATCAGTGCTATAGTACGATTTGAAACCTAAATTTTATTTAAACAACGTTTTGCTTTGTACATAAATGAATTGATTTTCTCTATAAAGCGTCCTCGATTAGTCCGGTTTCAAACAGTGCTGTATATAAATACAGCAATACTTTGCCCAATTCGGCTGCGAACAGTGCCGATTTGCTATAATCCGGTTTTGAAAATTTCAAAGCAAACTGGATTTTATTGAACAAAAAAAATAACAACATTTTTCATGAATTAGTATACTCTACAAAATTCTCAAATTTGTCCGGTTTATTGATGTATATAAATACAACAATACCTCACATAGTGCGACTTAGATCAGTGTGGAATCGCTATAGTACGATTTGAAAATTTCAAAGCAACCTAAATTTGATTTAAACGACATTTTTCTTTGTACATAAATGAATTGATTTTCTTTATAAAGCGTTCTCAATTAGTCCGGTTTCAAACAGTGCTATATATAAATGCAGCAATACTTTGCCCAATTCGGCTGCGAACAGTTCGGATTTGCTATAATCCGGTTTTGAAAATTTCAAAGCAAACTGGATTTTATTTAACAAAAAAATAACAACATTTTTCTTTGTACATTAATGAATTAGTTTACTCTACAAAATTCTCAATTAGCCCGGTTTATTGATGTATATAAATAAAACAATACCTCGCATAGTGCGACTTAGATCAGTGTGGAATTGCTATAGTACGATTTGAATATTTCAAAGCAACATTTTTCTTTGTACATAAATTAATTGATTTTCTCTATAAAGCGTCCTCGATTAGTCCGGTTTCGAACAGTACGAGATATTGCTGCATATAAATTATTTGTTGCAATTGAGAATTGTATAGGAAGATTATATAAAAAAAAACAGTCATAAAGTTACAAATGAAACGATGAGAAATATGTGTTTGTAATATATTCATGATTTTACAAATTATGTATAGAATTCTTAAATTTTGTCGGTTTTTCGTTTTCATGTACATTTAATTAGAAATTCATTGTTTTAGTGCATTTTTTTAATATGGAGATGAACTTCAAATTCAAAAATCGAGAAATAAGACGATGGGAAATGTTTGTTTCTAAATAAGTCCATGATTTCACAATTCATGTAAATATTTCTTTCATTTTGAGTAAATTTTGTCAGTTTTTCTTTTCTCTAAATAAAATTAACAAGTTAACAAGAAATTGATAATTATTTCGCAAATAAATTTAGAAATGCAAAAATTATTATATAATAAAGTAATAATAGTTGTGTGTTGAGTCATATTTTTATAATCGCATCCTTCTACGAACCGATAATGTTTCACAAATTACATTTAAATTAGCAGCAAAAAAAATATTATATAGTCGCAGACGATAAAAAAAAGTATATTTGAAAATTGCGAAACATCAAAAAAAAAATTATAGATTTTATTTGGAAGAAACTGTTAAACGGTTTTATCTGAATCGTAGCGATGACATTGCTTGAGATGCACGAATGTTTACTCAAACGCGTCCTTCGAACAAGTACTGGATCGAGATTAGGAGACGAGAAAAATATCCTTATTTTCTCTGTCCCGAAACATTGTCTCTGTTTGAGCCCAAAACCAAGAATCGAACATCTTTTCTAATCGTAAAGTACACATTAGTACACCAACAAATCTCGATATTTCTGTTCGTTTGCATTTGGGTGATTAGAACGTGCTTTTGTCTGCCCGAAAACCCAAATTTCTTGACCTTGAATTATTTATTTAGTCTTCGGTCCTTCTTCTGTTTACAACTTACAGAACAATCGAATTGTAATCGCGATAATACGACTTTGAACCCACCAAAAACTATCCGAAAATGAAGAGTACTAAAAGAGACAAGACACGAATTGCGACGATTATTATTATTGATTTCGTTCAATTTTTGATGTATTTATTCTCACATTTGATCCCCTGATGACGAACGTCCGATGCGATACGAAATCCTGTTTCGCGTTGCAACAAAAATTTGGGTTTAAAATAATATTTACATAAATCCTGCGATAAACAACCGATGGCCTTACGTGATTACACGCGAAGAAATATCTACTTTTTTCCGTTCATCTCTCTCTCAATTTTTTTAAATTTTGCGATAATTTGCTGAAAACATTTTCCAAAGTTATTATTACTTCTTTTTCTTTTTTTTGTTCTCCGAACAATGCACAAACAACAAAACTATTCTGTTATTCATTAATGAGTAATTTGCGTTTATTATTAGCCTCTTTTTCTAATCCTTAATTGGCTTGTGTTAATGGAAATAATGCTGCTGTTCGCTCGTTTTCCTTCTTTTTTTCCACCTTGAATTGTGATTCATTTGCAGGTTTTATTTTATGATTTAGCATTTATCGTGTCTTCTTTTCGCTATAAATATTAACTACTATTGTTATTGACCTACTCGTATTACCATTTTGCAGAACTATGTAGTTCATGTAACAATATTTACATAGTGATTGTAAAAGACAAGATTTTTACTTTTTAAATAATTATTTCTATTTATAATTAATTTATTATGATTAGTAAACTAAATAAACTAAATTGAATTGCTGCAAACACATATTTCTGTTAGTGAACAAATGAACACTAAAGACGGTGACTTTAAAAGTGTGTATATGAAAAGTAAAAAAAAAATATGGAAAAATTTACTCAAAATTTAAGAATTCATTACATAATTTGTAAAATCATCAATATATTAGAAACAAAGATTTATCAACGTCTCTTTTATCTTATTTGTCGATTTGAGAGTTTACATTTCATCTTCGTATTAAAAATGCACTAAAAATGGTTAAATTTAATGTATATGAAAACAGAAAAACCGCCAAAATTTAAGAATTCATTACATAATTTGTAAAATGTGACATGACATTATACATATGATAATAATTTTTTTCTTAATTTTCATATAAATAAGCTAAAAACAGGGAATAAAGCGTCCTCGATTAGTCCGGTTTCAAACAGTGCTGTATATAAATACAGCAATACTTTGCCCAATTCGACTACGAACTGTGCGGATTTACTATAATCCGGTTTTGAAAATTTCAAAGCAAACAGGATTTTATTGAGCAGAAATTTAAGAATTCTTTACATAATTTGTAAAATGCGACATGACATTATGAATTTATATAAGCTAAAAACAGAGAATTTCTAGTTGAATTTGTATGAAATGTAAAAAAAAGGAAAATCAAAAAGGTCCACAAAATTTAACAATTCTTTACATAATTTGTTAAATCATGGATATATTAGAAACAGACATTCCTGATTGTCAATTTTCAATTAAAAATTAGTTAAAAATAGTAAATTTCTCATTGAATTTATATGAAATATAAAAAAACCGACAAAATTTAAGAAATATTTACATGAATTATATATATATATATAAAATCATCAATATATTAGAAACAAACATTTATCATTGTCTTTTTTTTATCTTATTTGTCGATTTTATAATTTTTAGTGAAAACGGTGAATTTCTAATTTAATGTATATATCAAAAGTGTAAAATAAAAAAAAACGACAATATTTACTGAAATTTTATGAAAGATTTACATGAATTGTATTTGTATTGGTCGATTTAAGAATTTGTAGTTTATCTTTATACTAAAAATGCACTAAAAACAGTGAACTTCTAGACGTATGTGAAAAGTGACAAAATTTACTCAAAGTTTAAGAATTATTTACATGAATTGTGAAATCATGAACTTAGTAGAAACAAACATTTCTGATGTCTATATTCAATTCAGAATACACTAAATTTATAATTAAATATATATGAAAAGTGAGAAAACCGACAAACTTTACTCAATATTTAAGAATAGAATTGTAAAAATCACGGAAAGATTGAAAATGAAATGTTTTGAGAAAAATTAAACTATTTTTTTTGGTTTGTTTGTAAATTATTTATTAAATCGAATACTATTATTATATTGTTAATACCAAGAAAATAAATGTGCAGGATTCAAGCTCAACGTTTGAAGGGAACTTGAATGTCAGTCGTGCAGGAAAAGAGAAAATGCTTTTAGTTGCTGCCGCCCTCCTGGATTTTCTTGACCAAGTGTTTGCCTTGATCGGAAACTTCCTCTCCGAATTTCTGGATCATACTGGTCAGGTTCTTAAGCATATCGTTTTCCTAAACAGAGAATAACACACGATAAGTAAAAAAAAGCAGCAACAACACGTTTTGATTATGATTTGATGGGTGCAGGTAAACTCGCTTTGTTATTGTTTACAAACTGTCTGGAGAGAGGGTCAGGTAAGAGAAATCGACCCTTTTCAAAGAGATTTATGTGCATTAGATGATTAAACATGAGACTAGTTTTGAACCTAATGGGGAGACGTTTATCTCTTTCTTATCGTCGAAGACACACTCACCTGGATGTTCTTGACGATATTCTCGAATCCGGTCTTGACAGCGTCCAAGGCATCGTTGATGTCCTTGTTGTTGGTGGCGGCTTCGGTGTCCCTTGGTACGCGCGGAATTGCGGAAATCAGCTTAATAAACAAAAGAAAAACAAAAACATATCATTCAGAGCGTTCTTTGATAAGTTTCGAAACGTTTCCGCTTACCTGGAAGAAGCAAATCGCGACGGCGATGCAAATCAAAGTCAATCTCAGAGCCATTTTTTTTTTAAAGATTTGTTAAACTTCTGCGTTGAAGAATGTCTGAATGTGGTTGTCAGGAGGAGCGAACGACGTCGAGTGACCGGACTACAACTACATTTCATTTATTTATATGACCAAACGGTCGCAGTCTGCGAAAGGTCAAAACGGTCAGGGGACTTTATACCCTTAGTCTATTTGAGAAACTACGAGAAACAGGATATTTTCTATTCCGTTTTCTTCTGAGGAAAATTCTACGAAGTATTGCGTTTTTCTTCCTCTCTTTTTTTCGGTAATTTTTGAAACGCATCTCTCGACATCATTGGAAGATCCTGCTACTCCGCACGTGAAACGTTTGTTGCATTCGAGATTCGCGTCCGAGGAAGCAAATTGGACCGAATTAAACTTGAACTCTGAACTCGAGATTAAAATTGATATACAAATAGTTTTTTTTTGTGTGTGTGTGTTCTCCTTATATATTTGCAACGAGTGCGCCGCATCAATGGCAATCTCCTACATGACTTAATGTATTGCGCAAACAGTATGTGGTTCTTAATATTAGCAAAACGAATCAACACAATACAAAAAAAAAATGGAAAATTTTGTATTGTTACAAAAAAAAACTATATTAATTCAAACTTTATCGATTTTAGATTATATGTTCTTGATTCATCATCAAATATCCTTAATAACCCGACAAAATTTACTGAAATTTAAAGAAATATTTAGATTTTCTTGTATTTTATTTATCTAATTTAATGTATATGTAAAGTAAAAAAGTGAAAAACCGACAAAATTTACTAAAATTTTAAGAATTATTTAGATGAATTGTAAAATCATGGATATGTAAGAAACAGACATTTATCAGCGTTTCTTTCTTCTTTTGTGATAAATTTCTAATTTAAAGTATAAGATAAGTAAAATTTTAAGAAATATTTACATTTTTCTTCTATTTTATTTGTCGATTTAAAACTCGAACTAAAACAATTCATCTTCATATTAAAAATGAGCTAAAAACAGTGAATTTCTCATTTAATGTATATGAAAAGTAAAAAAAGTGAAAGAATTATTTTCATAAAATTGTAAAATCTTTGATATATAATTTGATCATTTCAGAGTAATTTGCATGGAAAACATGTTGTGTTGATTTCCTTGCATTAATATATTTAGTTAGTTTAGAATGGAGAAGATAAGTAAGAAAGTTTTGTGATTCATTCTTCATCGTTGAAATATATTTGCCAAATTAGATTTTTCTTTATCATTCAGAAACATTTCCACTTCTGATTTCAATTCCAATAAAGGAACTAGTACGCGACAGTCATCTAATTTTTGCGTAAAGTAATAGCGATGCATAATCCAACTTCTTCACACAGAGCAGAAAATTATCATGATTTAAGGGCATTCGCTTCGTGTGATCCTAGACGCATTTCTTTACAATATAAATTCATAGTAAACTTTGAAAATAAAATAAATTCTAATATAAATTGATAAAAATAATTAATAAACTGGCCAAACGGCAAGAATGCTTTTATTACATTGTTAATACATAGAAAATAAATTTGGAGGATTTAAGCTCAACGTTTGAAGGAAACTTAAATATCAAGTCGTGCGGGAAAAAAAACAAAAGTAAGCTTTTTGGTTGACGCCCTCCTGGATTTTCTTGACCTAATATTGGCCTCGATTTGCTAAATTCTGGATCAGAAACAGAGAATAAGAAGATAAGTAAAAAAAACAACACATTCATATTGTGAACAGATGATTTTTGAAGGATACAGGTAAAAGAGAAATAGCTTTGTTATTGTTTACAAACTGTCTGAAGAGAGGGTCAGGTAAGAAGAGTCGACCGTTTTCGAAGAGATTTATGTGCATTAGAAGATTAAATGTGAATCAGTTTTCAACTGAATCGTCGAAGACTCACCTGGATTTGTTTGATTACCGCCGATCCGATATCCAATCCGGCCTGAGCAGCGGCCAAGGCATCGTCGATTTCTTTCTTGGTTGGGGCGACGGCGTTCGTTGGCACTTGCGGAAATGCGGAAATCATCTTAATAAACAAAACAAAATGTATCATTCAAAGCGTTCTCTGATAAGTTTTCAAACGTTCCCTCTTACCTGAAAGAAGCAAATCGTGACGGCGATGCAAATCAAAGTCAATCTCAGAGACATTTTTTTAAAGATTTGTTAAACGAATGTCAGAATATGGTTATCTGAAGGAGCGAACAATATCGAATGGTCTTACTACAACCAGATTTCATTTATTTATAAGACCATACGGTTACTGTCTGCAAAAAGTCAAAACGGACTTTATACTGTTTTTCGTGATGAAAATTATGAATTATTATTTGTTGTATTCACTTTACCATTTTTTTTCAGTAATTTTGAGTCATTGGAAAATCCAACTGATATAAAACGTTTTTCGCATTCGAAATTCGGGTGCAAAATAGACCGAATTAAACTTGAACCAGATTAAAATTGACATGTTGTGTTCACTTTACCATTTCTTTCATTTTTAATCATTGGAAATTCCAGCTGCAGAAACGTATGTTGCATTCGAAATTATATTTTCTTGCTTATCATCAAATATTGTTAATATCAATCAGCAAAACGAAACAAGAAAATATAAAATTTTTGAGAATTTTTTTTTGTTTAGAAAAATTAAAAAATTTAATTCTTAATTTGATTTATCTGAACTTTAGTCAAGTCAAGAAATATTCAAAATTTAAACTTTTAAATCTATTATATGAAACTTGCTCAAATTTCGATGCAAATAAGATATCTCTTTGTAATCTTCAGTAAACTTTGTGATTACACTTACTTTGCAATTATGATTAAGTTTAAATTATTGTTTTCTAATTTGTTTTCTCATTACTCAACTTCAGAATTTGTATTCCAAATCAGACTCTTTTGAGAAAAGTAAAACTTCAATTACTATTGAACTTCTTACATGAAACTACTTATATATAAAATATTGGAGATTACTTTTATAGTAAAATTGAGTAAACGGTAAAGGAAAGACTTTCTTTATAAGAAAATAATGAATATATTACAAATTTCATAACGAAAACATTTAAAAAAATATAACATAATTATTTACAGGTATAACAATAAATAGATTAAATAGAAATCTTGTCAAGATCAGAGTTTAATGTGAGCTGCAGCCTGCAGCAGTTTCTCTGCATCCTCGGTGATAGTTTTAGAGAGAGAAGCTCGTTTCTTTGCCCTCTCCACGGCCATCTTGCACCTGTGTTGAGCCGTGTTCAAAACCCTTCCAATAAATTCCAAAAGGGACAGATTATCCTGTTTCTCTACCTGCTTTATTATCTCATTGTGGCTGCCTTTATTGGACTTGGACTGAAGAAACCTGGCCGGGATCTCTATTGAACCGGAATCCTCATCGTCGACATCCTCAAAGGACGAACACTATACATAAACCCATTTTATTATCAAATAGGAAACCCAAGTAAAGCAATAAAAGTAGAAGAAAAAACACCTACCTGAACACGTAGGACTTGTAAGAGAATTAGAAATAATATAAATTTATCGACCATTGTCGCGCACGTATTTCAAACGAGTAACGAATTTTTTCACAGCTGTCTGCGTTTTTATTACCAAATGTGCAGGGTTTGCAAAAAGTAAAAATTTCAATGCCAACAGGTGTTGATCAATGGTTTTTTTTTCGTTATTATTGTTTATTTTTTACGACATTTGTTTTGTAAACACAACAAACGAAATATATAACACATAAATACTGGACTTGGTACACGTAATAAATTAAAAGTTTAGTTCGCCCCTGTACGGGGCGCAGTTTGGACAGGCACGGCCGTTCGGATAGTTTCCAGACAATTGAGAGAACTGAGGATAATTTAATTGTTTCCTTGGAGACGGAGCAAAGTAGTATCCGTTGCTTGGAGACAGCATATCGTAGATGTTAGGTTGCTGTGGTTGCGGCTGATAGTAGTATTCGATCGGTGTCTGCTGCGGAGGTGGCATCAGCATCTCGTAATACCTTGGCGCAGGAGATTTGTACACATTCAAATCATCGACGTCGGCTGTGAAACCGTCCGGATTACCGTTGCACGTCAAACAACCGCCGTACGTTGGAAACGGCTTCGGTTTAGGTTTAGGCGTAATTTCTGGTTGTTGTGTAGCTTTCTTTGTAGTTTCCGGTTTCGATGGTGCGGATGCAACAATTTTCGATTTGCACGCCTCCAAAATAGCCCTGAAGATCTCTTCGTCGCTTTTACCTTTCCTCTTCAGCTCTTCGCATATTTCGCACGGACCCGATCTCCTGCTAATTTTATGCACGACAATATCCTTGCAACTTTTCTTTTTCGGTTCCAAATTCTCGACCAATTCCGTAATTTTCTCAATATCCGCATCGCTAATCTCCTGCACTCCTTCCTGCTCCAACTCCTCCAGAGTTTTTTTCTCGTCTCCCTTATAGAAATATATATTCGGTGCACTCACATTTTCATCGATTATTGCTCTAGGTTTCTCTGTGTTATTCAAATTGAGGAAATCTTCTGAAACGAAGAGATTGAAATTCGAACCGTTCACTTCTTCTTGGAAGAACTCTGTTAGTTTATCGATTAAATCTGTTGAAATAACGTCTTCACCCTTATTACTGGTGATGTAAACGTTCAAAGCATCTTTATCGTCAGGATTCTCGTGAGGGCAATTGTAAACTTCGATCGAGTAATTCGGATCTTTCGTTGTTGGTTCCACAGTGGTCACAGTGGTGATCGTTGTCGTTTCAGTCTCATTTTTAGCTTGCATTTCGCATGGTTTGTATATGTAACATTTCCAATTTTTGTCCAAGAATACACCGGTTTTTCCTATAAACTTAGTCATATTGACTGGAGCGTTAGCCAAATCTGTGATGATCGTGCACTCCTGGAAAGAATTAATCACAGCTTCTGTGCTCGTTTCCGTTTTCGCTGTTGTCGTTGTTGTATCGAATGGATCAGAAGGCAACAGTTCTGTAGTAGCTATAGGCAATTCTGTTGTAGTTGAAGTTGTTTCTGCAGTAGTTGTCGTTTCTGGAGTTGTTACAGTTTCTGTGGTTATTGAAGTTTCTGTTGTAGTTGGTTCTTCTGTAGCAATTAAAATGTCATCTGGTGTTGTGGAAATTTCTGTAGAAACAAATTCAGATTCAGTTGTTTCAATTTCTGTGGTAAGTCGTTGTAGTAGTCTTCTGTGAAATGTAGTTGTGGATTTCTGTAGAAACAAATTCAGATTCAGTTGTTCCAATCTCTGGGGTAGTGTAAACTTCTGATATTGTACGTTCCTTAGAAACAAATTCAGGTTCAGTTGTCCAATCTCTGGGGTAGTGTAAACTTCTGTTATTGTTGGTTCTGTAGAAACAAATTCAGATTCAGTTGTTCAATCTCTGTGGGTAGTGTAAACTTCTGTTATTGTTGGTTCTGTAGAAACAAATTCAGATTCAGTTGTTCCAATCTCTGGGGTAGTGTAAACTTCTGTTATTGTTGGTTCTGTAGAAACAAATTCAGATTCAGTTGTTTCAATCTCTGTGGGTAGTGTAAACTTCTGTTATTGTTGGTTCTGTAGAAACAAATTCAGATTCAGTTGTTCCAATCTCTGGGGTAGTGTAAACTTCTGTTATTGTTGGTTCTGTAGAAACAAATTCAGATTCAGTTGTTCCAATCTCTGGGGTAGTGTAAACTTCTGATATTGTACGTTCCTTAGAAACAAATTCAGATTCAGTTGTTTCAATCTCTGTGGTTGTGTTCCAATCTCTGTTGTTGTAGGTTCGTCTTCAACACCAGACTCAGTTGTTGGAATATTGGTTGTTTCGGTTACAATCTCTGTAGTTTTGATCTCGATGACTCTTGTGGTAGGATTATCTGTCGGAGCGTCAGTTTCAAAAAATTCGGTCGTAGTAGGCATTGCCGTGGAAACGATGTCAGTTGTTTCTGGCACGTCAGTTATTTCTGTCGAAATGGCAGTTGTTGTTGATGAAGGATAGTTGACGGTGGTAATTAAGGTTTCGCTTGCTCTAAGATTTGGTGGTTGCTGTATAATTGGACCTTTGGTAAACGGGCAAACAATTTTTGGCATAGTCGTGGGTTCCGGTGCAGCGGTGACAGGTGTCTGGGTGACAGTAGGAGGAACGGTAGCTTCACTGATGCAAGGAGGATTCGGAGATGGCGTTGCCGTCGATTGAGGTGTCACAGGTGGCTGATGGGGATAATAAGGAGGATATGGAAAGAGGTAAGAGTGATATCCGGCTTGGTAGTGTCCGTAAGATGGAGGTCTCATGTAATATGGATAAGTTTGCTGCACATTTGGTTGCGGTTGAATAGGTGGTTGAGGTGGTTGATGTGGTGGTGGTGGTAGCATTGGTGGATGAGGTGGAGGTGGCATCATCATGTAATGCGTCCTAGGATCATAATAGATCTGATAGCCATTCGAGCACGAATGCGCGACAGGTTTTTCGTTGAAATGCAACAAAACCTGAGCGTTTGCCACTGCTTTCGTTCCATCGCTCTTCGCATCCGTCACCTCCTCTTCCGTTCCAAAATTTGCTCTCTCCAAGATCTCGTGATCATCGTACCTCGTATCAGGGGTATGGAATATAGTTTTGAAATCGTAGATCGCCGATTTCTGCTGAGAATTCTGTAACAAAGTTATTGTTACCTTTGCTCACAAATATTATCTCTATTTTGTTTCGCTACTCACTTGAATTACACTCAGCAACGTCAGCAGGATTACGGAGGAAGCCCACAACATTTTGTCAAATCCTGGGCCAGACTAAAGAACAACATACCTGTCCATCGCGTTATATTGGATTTGATTAACCTTGCAACGCTCATCAAAGCAACACGTTCAGCAATCAAAACAACCACAACAAATCTCAAACAAACATATTGTTATTATCCGATTTGCAAACGTTACCATGTCAACGACCAAACATTCCAACAATCTATGACATTTAAACGTCTAAATAAGCTATAATTCTCAACATTATTTATTTAATAATTTCTAAAAATTAAATCAAAACAATTATAGCAAATACAAATACTTTGAAAGAGCTAGTGACGATTGACGAATTGATATTGAAACCTTTTAAAATATACTAATTTTACATATATAATAAATGTGAATTAGAAATTATCAATTATCATTTACATTAATAACACGAGTTACTTAATTGTTATGCAAGTTGATATTTCGTAACAGAAATATTTGCTTGTTATGTTTGAAATGCAACAATCGTGGCTTCGATTTATTGAATCAAGTTCAAGGTACCGATGTGTTCATAACCGACCAAGACTTTAAGTTCATTTGATTATTACAAAACGAATAAGTTTAGAATTTATATTGATGAACTAATAATAAATATTTCTGAAAACTCCAGATGACACAAACGTCAAACATAATCAAACATCAAATATAATTAAAAGTCAAACATAATCAAACGTCATACATAATCAAACGCCAAACATAATCAAACGTCAAACATAATCAAACAGCAAACATAATCAAACATCAACACACATTTTGCTTTATGTAAAAGAAATAAGAAATTATTTTTGTAATGCAAATATTAAAACCTTAAACTTTTTAAACATTTTTATAAAAAAAACAAAAAAATATATTAATGTCAAAAACATAAAATTTATTTGTAGCCATATTTAACGACCTAAATTTGTTAATAATATGTCAATCAAATTTTCTAATGAATAAAATTCTTATTTTGACGAAATCTTCATTTGTAATTTCTTGGTTGTTATTTTCTTCTACTATTAAAACTTCTGCCCGTATTTCGTCGAATGTTTGTCGCGTTTATAATACTTAATCCTATTAATAATATTAAGAAACATAAATTATTGCACATTACGTGACTGTGACTGACAGACAGTTGTGATAGTGACAGCAATCTGGCAGCGACTGTTAGTGATAGACAGCTATCACTATCGAGCAGTCTTTCCGCCCTTATACAAACAGACATACATCGATTAGCAAATAGATGAAAAACTTAATTTTTCGATATGTTCGCAACCTGTTGGATTCATTACATGAACCAATAATAAACTGAATATAAAACGCTTTTTACGCAGTTTTACGCTTTTCACAAATAACTATGAATTTATTTCTTAATCTATAGTTGAGTTTAAGGATAATTTAAATAAAAAAATGTTAATATAGATAATTTTGAATTTTTATTTGCATTATTTGTAGATTTTGATTTCAAAAATATATATATTTCTTTAAATTTTCTGAGGATTTCCAAAAAAATTAATTTTGTCCGGGAATCAAGGATGTTGCATTTTCCGCTCACATCTATCCAATTAACATCTGCAACAGAAACAAATAAAAATAAATACATTTAAATGGGATAAATAGGGACGGAAAATGCAACAAATATATAAATAAATAACAACAGCTATTTACAATTTACAAAGCGTAAGCTTTAACTAAAACTAATCTTTGCTCTTATGGATTTTGATCTTCTCCAAGAAGGCAGCGCGTTTCGCTTCGAAACCTTTCAAGAATTCTTTGAAATCAAACTTTTCCTTTTTATCATCCGCCTCTTCTTCGCCAACTTCTTCTTCGACTTCCTCCTCTTTACACAACTCTTCTTCCAATTCGTACAGTTGCTTCTCAAAGTCGTGCACGATTTTGATTTCTCTTCGCGCACTTTGATTGTATCTGATCTTCTTCGATAAATCTTTAATCGCTCCCAACTGCAATTTCTTCACGTGATTCATCTCCTGCACCAATTTTGCCATCTCCACGATTTCCTCGTGATCATCCCTGTCCAAGTATTGCCTAAGCTTTTCGAGTCTCTTTACATTCGATTGGATTCTTTCGTCACGCTTCTGCTTCAAGTTGCTTTCGATTTCGTTCCTCTCGAAATCCAAAAACTTTATTTTAATAATGTGACTGATATAAAACAGTTCCTCCTTCGAGGTAATCTTCGCACCCATCTTCAGTTTCTCACCGAAACTCTCCTGGATCCGTTCGAAAATTAGCTTTGTTTTGAAAAGGTTTACCAAGACATCGACCAAAGTGCATTTGCAGAATTGATCTTTGCTGGCGAGAACGTTGCTTGTTGATTTGCTTAATGAGTTTACGAGTTTCTGCAGCTGTTTTATAAAAATTAAGATGTTATTTTTGGATGGGGCTTTATTGTTTTGGATGCCTTTCTTCCAATCGTTGGCCAATGTTGTTTTTAGTTGTTGAAACTTGAAGAGCTCGGTATATAATTTCATGGTTGGCTCTAAATCGGCGTGAACCAAGTTTTGGATTTCTTTCAAAGTGCTGCTGATTTCAGCTTTAATCAAATCCGAAGCTTTATCCGGGTGTAAATGATCCATGTGTTTCGCGCTTCCAACAATTTCCTCCGGTTTCAGCAAGTCTTCTAAATGATTTTCTTCCGCGCTGGAAGCTTTGTTCTTCATAAAACTTTTAGCATCGAATTTTTGTAAAGTCACTTTCAATTTGTTTGGGTTCATGGCCTCCTTCAGTTTCGGTATAGAATTGAAGTGGTTTTCCAATATGTCCTCGTCGCTGTGGACGTCTTCTTCGGAAAATTTCGCCCTCAGCAATTCTCTAATCTCATCTCTATCGACAAGTTTCAATAATGAACGTTTGCAAACGCGTTTTGATCTTGGCGGCGTTTCTTCTTGTCGCACGTTTTGTCCTTTAGCAATTTTGGCTAAATAAATCGTACTGTTCGTTTCATTTCCAAAGTTCTCGAACACCAATGCCATGTTGGAGCCGATGAAAGTCGAGTTTTTGTTGTACAGAATGAGATCGGCGGTGCCGTCATCGTTCATTTTGTAGTTCAAGATCTCCAGTGAATCCAGGAAACTGGACGTATCTCGTTTGGCTCTTCGAAAAGTCCCCATAAAGCTGCTGGCAAAGTCCATTGCGTTTCTGTGAAATTTCCTTCCGAAATCCGTTATATAACGCTTCGAGGTCAACAGCACTTTAGGAACGCAATCAACTACCGGCTCGAAGTGATCTTTAATTCTATCGAAATGCTTGAGCATCGTTATCGGCGCATTTATGAAATAGAACAGAGGAATTTGCGGGAAAATTTGATCCAGATTAAAGTTGTCGTGGAACATACGACCCAAGTTATTAGTATCGCCGTAATCTTCGATTTCGGTAACTTGATAGTAATCTCTTTTGAATCGATTTTGCATCGGATTCACCTTACCGTGGATTCGCAACATATCCTTCTTTATAAGATTGCTTCTCAGTTTAGCTGCTTTAGCTTTGAGATTAGCGAGCAGCAATCTCCTTTTCAGAGGCTGCGTGTAATACATCAAAGAGCGTTTTCGTCTACCGTACCTTCCGCAAGAGCAGCCTCCACCAGATGCAAAGTTGACGTACGGACCGCCGTAGTTGAAGTCCTCCTCTTCGGCTTCCCTCAATGTGGTGAAGACTGGATTTGTAGCGCACGGTTTTTCGCTTTCGCATCCCTTTGCCGGCATCACGACGCGATCCGGAGATGCGACTAAACCGTAGAGGAAGCACGGTTTCGGGTTCTTGTTGACCGGAACCTGAACTTGGTAGTTGTAGGAATACAGCGGTTTCGGCGCTGGCGGTTTCACCAATTCGATTGCTTGGCACTTGTAGCAGTAAGTTCTTGGCGCGCAAGTTTCTGTTTTGATCACAGGAGTCTCAACTTTGTATGGAATTTCCTAAAAAATAGATCAGCATTGATTCCAACATTACTGAAGATAAATTGATGAGACTTACCCTAGCACAATTGCAAGCCGTTCCACGGTAAATCACTTTGATCGGGGCAGCTGGTGGTGAAACCACGCGCAAATTCTTTCCACACTAAAATTGTAAAGAATTGTTAGTTAGTTAAGCTATTTTTCGTAAATTTATTGCGAAAACTCACTTTTAAACATCCACAATCGCAGCTGACGGCTACGATGAGGATGGCAAGGAACGAAAGGATAGCTGAGAGTTTCATGGTAATGCCTATGAACAGGTAATGATACTCTCACTATAGCAGACACTTGGTTTTTATAGACAGTTTGTTTGCAGTTCGTACGTGTTCATATACAAAAATCAAGGTCGTTAGCAACGAAGGGCAGCGAAATAAATAACACAACAAACATCTGAAGTTGCAATTTGCTGTTTAGTATTTGTCTCTTTAGCAAACGATTACGATACAAGCAAATAGTAAACATTGCAATATACACAAGCACGGGTATAGTCGATTACACTTTTCAATTTTATAAACCAAACTATTTCGCAGAAACTACAGCAGATAGAATGGATACAAAAGATGCATATAAAACTTCAGTATTTGGGGAATTCAACGTGCATTCAATTATTACTGTAATTTCATCCAATTGGTTGTTCATATTTGAAATAATGAAAAATTAACGCTCAAAAAGCAGTGACTTCAAATTTTAGTGATTTTCTTAGAAAATCTATATCAAATAATAAAAGAAATGAATTAAGAAATGAGCGTCATTAGTTACAGTTTAAAAAATAAACATAGCTACGCCACTATTTAGTGTTGAATTTTTTTTTTGTAGAGGAGAGGAAACCTTACATAGGTCTGATTGTCATTGGCACTTCTCTAGCACTTCCCCTACATCATGTTAATGCTGGCCTCCACTGCCATTATCCTCGTAGGCCCTCTGCAGCCTCCGCTCGTCTTCTTTGCTTAGTAGCACCTCTGATATGTACTCCGCTACAACATTCCAGCTGTCCACACTCCTCAGCCGATAATATTTTCTGACTCTAGCAGAACTCCCAATTCTGCCTCTGCCCCGTGCTTCCTTACAACCTAAATAGCGTGTACTCAGGGCTATCGTCCTCCTCGCAGTACCAGCACCTTTCATCCTCCTTCTTCGCGATCAAGTGCATGTACTTGCCAAAGCATCCATAGCCAGACAGCGCCTGGCTCAGGTGAAATGTTGTTTCACCGTGCTTTCTGCTTAACCAAGGCTCTATTTGCGGGATTAGGCGCCAAATCCAGGCTCCTTTCTCCAACCTGTGCCATTTATCTTGCCATCTTTGCAGCAGTCTGACTCTAGCATCCGCTTTGATCGCGCCCCTCTGCCTCTCACCTCTCTCCAGAACAAGGAGCTCTATTGGTGGCACACCAGCTATCACCTGCACTGCGTCTCGGGAAATTGTCCTATACGCGCTGCATATACGTGTTGAACACGTACGTCATTATAAGAACTCTATGTCTACATTCAAACTTATATAATAGGAAAGATTTGCAAAAATGAATATTTCTGAAATAATTATAATATAAAATTCCACCGAGATATCAAATGTCGGAAATTAGACCATATCGGAATTTTGATTGTCGGGAATTCTATTTGTTGGGATTTCAAAAAACACCCAAAAATTACAACTAAAAACTGTGAAATAAAAAATTGTATATCTATTTTCTTGAGCGTTAGATTAAATTATCAAAATAAATATGATTTGGGTATCAAAATGTTTGTATTGATTGAATAGTTCAGATGTAAACATAGAAACGTACATCAACTGACTAAACTCAAATCTTATATAAATTATCTAAATACGATATCTACACTTTGTTGGTATTATATACTCGTATTGTAAGTAGATAATTTCGGGGAAAAAAACATATATGAAAATACTTCAACTTCAATAGCAAATTGAATAATTAAAGATTCCATTGTAAACATTCGAATGTTTAATAATAAAGCGTGTTGTGTTTGCATTATTTGTTTTGCATTGCGATCGCTGTTTGTTTGTATTATCAGGCTTTTGTTTATAAAACAAAGAATGTTCATTGACACTCAATTAAAATACATATGTAATGTACGAATATTACTATTTTAGAGAAATGGAAATGTGTTGTAATGTTATTATAGAATAAGTAGAATAAAATAAGTTTCAAGAAAAAATGTTTTATTCAATCTTTGGGAATTTTGTCTTTGCAATTTTATATATTTTACAAGTTGTTTTATGGTTTGCTCAGTTCGAGATCAACTAGTATTTAGTTGGAGCATCCGTAAGAGTATTGGTGGTTGGCCGAATTGGCGGAGGAAGCTGAAGAGGAGCTTGAGCTGGAGTAGCTTGAGACGAAACGCATCGGCATATCTTCGCCGCTGTCACAGTCGAGTGGTACTCTGGGGCCGGGAACGTAGATCTCTCTTTGTGGGGTGTTCTTCATGATCACGTTTCCGGGAACGAAACCGTCGTTGCAGTTGCTGCTTCCACCTTGCATTTGGATTGGTTGCGGGTTTGCTTGGACGACGCCTTCGACGGCGACGAAAGGAACGGCTGCTACGTTGGCTTTGCCAAAACCGATTTCGCCGTAGCTCAATTGTTTCACGCTTCCACCGCCGAATTCCTGAGTATCGATTTCGTCGGCGTACTCCTCGGCCGCCAATTGTTCCATGGCTTCCTCATCGACGGATATTCCTTTGTTGCAGGAGACCGGTTTCAATTCGACAATTTCACCGTTCAGTTTGTACAAAAGCTCTTCGGGCACGTTCTTGACAATCTTAGCCTTTGATCCGTCGATGGGCAAACGGCGGAAACCGAAAGCCAATTTGTCTTCGCTGGTCGAGCATGCTTTCTGTTGAGCTTTGTACGCCAAACTCAGAGAGACTGGATCAGCGGCGGCGGTGTAAACGATCTCTTCCTGTTGAGGAGCGTAAGCGGGTGCAGAGTAAGAAGCTGCAGAACCTCCAGCATATGATGAACCACCGTTGAAAGATGAAGCTCCGCTGTAAGAAGAGCTACCGCTGTACGATGAGCCACCACCGTAAGATGACGAAGATGATGAAGCACCCGAGGATGAAGCGCCGCAACCGCAGCTCTGTTTCTTGCAGGAAGCGCAAACTGGTTTCGGTACGAAAGCAGGGACGACGATGGATTGTTTGCAGGAGCACAGATCACCGATCGGCTTGAGCGCTGGCAATCCACCGACCTGCTTGCAGACTACTCTCGGTTTGCTGATGTCCTCCAAGTTCAATTTAGGCAACTTCGCTGGTCTGATGACCATCGGGGCGCATTTTGGTCCGCTGCACATGTCGCGACCTTCGCCAAAACTGCAGAGGCAGGCGGAGTTAGCCTAAACCAAAAGAAAAAGAAAACAATTAATGATCTGTTTTGAACTTCTCTATATGTACGGTGTTCGATGTTTATACCTCTCTAGCGACGATCGCTAGAACTGCGATAGCTGCGATGCATCCAAAACTCTTCATATTGCTCAAATTCTCGTTGATACCAAACTGATGGTGAGCTCTTCGGCATGCCAAACTTTTATACTTCAATTTCGGTTTGTTTGTTTTCGCGTTTCACGCACCGCAACCAAGGCAAGGTTGCGAATTGTTTTCTGTTTTGAAATACGGCAAACGTGAGCAATGCCAATTGATAGACGATAAATTGCACACACTCATCAACTTCTACAAAGGTAACATAAGTTTTTAAGATTATATCCTCAACGTGCATGTTAACCTTTTCAAATCTGCCGGTAATATTTGAAGCGTTCCATTTTACAACTGAATACCGATTTTCAGCATAATATACTAGATATAATCTCCACAAACTCTTACTAACTTTTAACATATTTGAAGCTTTTCGTTATTATTGATTCATGAAAGTATATGATTCATGAACTTAATATACGAAATGTATGTGTCTGAAATATATGTTACGTTTTTTTTTTAGAAAAAGCAGTGTCTTGACAAATCATCAATTTTCTCAATAACTATTTCCTATAATTACAGTAAAAATTGAAAACATCGAATGTATTCAAATATTCTTTTAGTTGTAATTCTCTGTCAAATATGAAGTAATGAATTCTATATTTTTGTTTACTAATGAAACAAGGAAGAATTATGTTATTAACTAAACTTTTTTTTGTCCAGTTTTAGTCCATCTGTCGGATTCTGCGTGAAAGAAATGATAAAAGTCGATATATTTTTTACAGGATTCACGCACTCGTGTGAAGGTAACATAGAAAACTGCAATTTTTTGAACTCTTATGTAGCGTACATCTTTATTTGGATAATTTTAAATTACGAATAATTTTACACAGATATAGTAGATATAATAACATATATATTATATTTATAAGGAGCGATAGAAGAGCGGGTGCTTAAGGAACACTCGAAACGGAGTCAAGCAATAAATAAATAAATGAAAGTACATCATCCATTTTCCAGCATTTTCTTTTAATAATAAGAATCAATTTCGTGTCGAATTTTTTCTGGTGTGTTTGTTTGTATATATATAATCAGTTTCTTTTTTAAATATATAATAAAAAAATAAAAACAAAAAAAAAATATATCATCATGTAACATAAAACAAATAAACAAAAGAATGGTGGCTTGTTTTTTTTTCTCTCTCTTCGATACTGTACCTAAATAGTAAAATTTACTACAAACAATAAATCTCGCAGCTCAGGAAAATTTCTTCATGCTCAATTATTAAAAATATGTTTTTTTTGTATATATATATATATATGTATATATAGTATGTATATAAATCTATCTACAGAAGAAATGAAATAATATGATTTGTGTGCTTCTTTCGCAAAATAAAAGGCTTCTTTGAAACTTGTTCCTCTCTTTTCTTTTTACAGTCTAAACAGAAATAAGCGCGATTTCATCGCATCGACATCCAACACACACATATTTTATCTTTTAAGTTAGGTAGGACTTTACAAATTCGTGCCACGGTTATTACCCTACACGGTCAACATTATCATCATCAAATCGCTACTTAAAAACTAAATCTAATTGATTTATTCATATTTTGTTCCTTTTGTTTCTCATTTATATCTCACAGGTCTCTTAAAAAATAATCAAAAAAAAAAAAAAAACAAAAGACGACGAAAATAGTTGCTATTCCTTTGTGTGTGTGTTTGTTTGTATATAGGGTGGTGGTGGGAGAAAAGGAAGAAAACTGTTATCAACAATTGCAACAGAAAAATAACAGGCGCACAGAGCATATGCGGCCACCCTAATTAAAACAAAGATTAAAAAAAAACAATAAAAAAACATATGTTAACTTAATACTGTGACCGGAACACCCTGTTTTTCTTGCACGATTGAATATATCTTCATCTTCATCGCCGGAAAAATATTCCTCATTTATTCTTCTCTCTTTTCTTTTTTTAAAGTGCAGCAAAATCACTCTCAATGGACGCACACAGGAAAAAAAAAACAAACACTGTTCCTAAATACAACACTTCAGTGGTTCTTCTCTTCGACGTTCTCAGCATCCGACGACAGCGCCTTGATCAAAGAATCCACGCAATTCTTAGGTATTAATGTGCCTTAAAATAGAATATGTTTATTAAAACATGAAAACATCTTCAATGTCACAAACTAATGATATAGCTAATAAAAATTCTAACAATACTTACCAACAATTTTGAGGCCGTCATCCGTACGCAAACGAATAACTTGCATTTTATTATTGTGCGAACCATTTTTCGCGGCCAAAACGCCCTCGACACGACTCCACACGGACAGCACCGATCCAGAAACCACGTGGTATGTACGTCTTCTCAGACCTACTTCACAATCGTGCCCCAAATTCACGTTTCGGCAATTTCCGCGCCAATATGCGTGAGAGCAAGTCGACACTGATGAATCGTATTGCGATTGCCATGCTTCCTGTGCTTCGTCAGATTGAACCTATATACAATGGTGTACAAATCAAGAATAAGAAAAACGATACAATAATCAGCATTTTTAATAATAATTACCTTTTTGTACTTCTTCTCCAGATCCGCTAAACTTTCTTGTCGGAACTGCAGTCCAGTATTAGGTCTATGAACATAGAACAATTGATCTTTCTTGCTCTCCGATTTCTTCTTGGTGCCGGTATCGACGGCCACAGCCAATATCGCAGTGTGTTTGTTATTACGAACTTGATGCGATACATAGAAACCTTCCTTCGGTCCCGCCAATTCTGCCCATTTGTCGATAGCTTCGTCCCAGGACATTCCCCTCTCGACGTGCACAGTGTGAAGTTCAGTTGGCGCAGTGCCCGTTGCATGTTTCCTCACGAACGTGACAGTCTTAACGCGCTTCACATTCTCGCCACCAGCTCCCAAATCTAGAATACCCAGATCGAAACGACCTGAACGTTTCGCTTGAGTAACTATCTCCGCAAGTGTATCAGTGAAGTATCTGAAGAGTCGATTCTGCAGATCCACGGGCATTCCGAGAATGCGATTTAGGAACTTGGACATATTATTATAATCTTTATCGAGTGACAGCACTCCAGGCATCGCTTCACTATTAACAATTATTCCAACACCGACAAGTGCGGCCGCTACGTCTTTGAAGAAATCTCCCTTGTAATCTTGAGGTGGCGGCACCAGAGGACTCTCGTATCCCATTATTGTTTTCATGGTGGCTTCGAGTGCTGTCCTTCCATACTTGTTGTCAATATTAAACTGACTCAGATCGCGTGTTTCGGTCGCTCTCCTATCACCGTGCGTCAAGGCACCCAAACTCTCCAATCTTTTCGCAACAATCGAAGCGAACCTCCGTTCTCCGGCCAGATCAGAAATTAAGAAAATATATTCTGGTGCATTTACTTGATTACTTCGATGTGTTCTACCAAATTGCTGAATTGCTCTATCAGCAGACCACGGCAGTTCCAAAGTAATGTGAACCCTCCTCCTTTGATTTCGCACCCTTCTATCACTCTGCAACGAAATACCGCTCGATGCAGCTTCGGAAATAATAGCGACATCCTTCTCGCCATCCATAAACCTTTGTTTTTCCGTCAAATTTAACGTTTCCAGCGGAACGTCGTGCTCTGATCTGCTTTCATATTGTATACCATCCTCTGTTTGAACTACTCTACCCTTTCTACCAGTCATTTCGGCGACGTTCTCTGGTCCACCGAGTTCATCTATAAGCTGATCCAAAGTATTTGGTGGTAGTTTCTCCCCCAATCTTTCGATAGCATGTAGTAGTTCCTCCTTCATATTGCATGCTCTTTCGATAGCATCTTTAGGTGGCGCATAGTTCGGACCTCGCACCATTTGTCCGCCACCGTTACTTTTGTTGTTCTGTGTTTTCTGTGCCAAAAGCAAGCCAATTTTATCTTGCGTCGAAGGTCTCTTTTTCACAACCTTCTTAGTTTTCTTTCCTTTTTTCTTGTTTCTGCTCCATGGATCGTTGTCGCTGTCACTGTCGCTATTGAACGGATTGAAATCGCTGCTCTGAGCCGAATCCGAATTTCCATCAGAAATTTCCGACTCTTCGCCATCGGAAACTTTGAATTCAGAACCAGCAGAACTTCGCTCCGAATCACTCTTATCACTATCTGAGTTTGACCATTTATTACGTTTTACAGCCCTCGCTGCAGCTTGCCTCACTTTAAACAGAGAAAGGCACAACTTTAACATCCAATTAAATAAATAATCAATCATGAACAACTTACCAGGCTTTCGTTTCCCCGTTGAACTGTTTGCAGCTGAATCATTGTTACCATTTGCTGATTTCTTGCTGGAGGGCGGTTCAATGCCCAACAGTCTGTGAATCCTACTTCTATCTGGAGCCGGGAAATGTTTTTCCACCAATGTTTGAAATACTCCTTTGGCAGTTGACACAAAGTCCGTGAGTTCTCCGTCATCTCTTTCTAATTGTTCCAATGTTCTTGCTTCGCCGGTACTCTGTAAACCAATGACAACACATTTTCCACATTTGATAGCTTCATGAGCCGTACCAACAGCGTGGGGTACTTTAGCTGCAATACATAGGTATTTGAAAAAACGCTGATGCGATGACCAAAACTGTCCCCACATAGTTTTCCTCATTCTATTTTCTGCGTCTATCAATTCCGCTGCTTCGTGAAACTTTTGCATAGCCTCCACCCATAATCGAACGCTTGCATCATAAACCTTTTCGAAATCTTTAGACAAAGGAACTTCTTCGATTTTGAATGCAACTCCGTGGAAACTCAATTGTCGAGCAATGTACATTCCTAAAATAATAAACATATTTGTATTATTACACATCAATTTAGAATATGACTGTAGTATAGTATTACCTCTTAATTTCATATCCATAGCTACAATTTCCATGGCACCTACACCACGTTTCTCGACAGCAGAAATAAAATCATTGAATTCTTTGAATGGTGATCCTTCACCCCACATGCCCAGTCTAACCATGTATGCCATATTTCTAGGCTCGGACGCTCCTGTGGCCGAGGCATAAATGACGCGAGCTTTAGGTAACTTATTTTGTATCTCCAAAACAGTCAAACCTATAACGTATATGACACATGTTCATTCCATCTTATTCTCCCTCTATATATATTAACCTGTTTTCGTGGGCTTCGAGGAACCAACTGGACACAAATTTTTAGCACGGTGACACTCATCGAACACAATTAAACCATCGTAGTCAGATCCGCACCATTGCAGTAATTGCTTAAGACGACTTTTATATTTTCCTCCAGCCGAATTCGATTCACCTATCAGGGCCGAGTACGTCGAGAACACAACACCCTTCTTGACGTTTCCGTTGATAGCAGACGATATTTTCGCATATTTGAATTTATTCAATGGATGAACGTCTATCTTTCCGGCACCGATGTCCTTAAGATCACGCTCCGCATCGTACTTCAGATCATTAGAAACGGAAACCCAAATAGCGCGCTTCCTACCCTTCATATAATTTTCGAATATTATACCAGCAATCGTTCGACCTTTACCAACACCAGCACCATCACCTAATATCATATATGCGAATTATAATCGAGAGACAGAAATAGCATTACAATACATTACCTATTAAAAAGCCGGCTCTGGATCCATCGGGTAAGATATGCTCGTGAGCTTGTGAAGCGTAAGTAATACTTTCCAACTGAAGAGCAGATAAATGGCCTCCGTTTATTGTGTCATCGGGTATAGATAATTTATACCTAAATGTTAAATATTGGATGAGTAAATGTTCTTCTAATATCTTTTTAAATATTTTACCAAACGTCTGCTGGAGCTACAGAGGATAATGAAGCAGTCTCAACGACAGGATCAGGATGTTTTCTACCCAATTTTAATTTAGATGGCATGTAATCTTCATACGTCTCCGCAACTCCCATTTCTTCATCATCCACCTAAAATTAAATTGAAATGAGCAAACGCGCGCGCATTATGTTTAATTAAACCAATCGAACCTCTTCTTCCTCGCCGTGCGGTTGCATTTGCTTTGCATCAGAGTTCATCCACATTGAAGCCACAGCTTTGCTGCTCAATTGAGGGCCCCAAGGATTCGCGCCACCGGGAGTTGAATATAAAAGTGATGATAAATTTTGCAAAAATGGATGTTGCATATATTGGTTGCCCATTCCAAATGAAGCCATTTCCACTGTGAATGAAAATAGTTTCAGTATATACAGTCGAAACTTAACATACAAAAAATATGCATGCTCAAGAAAAATAACGAAAAGCACATTTGACTTTTTGGTAAACATAATAAATAGAAAATACCATGCAAAACACGAAAGACTCGCATAAAAGATAAGTAAACGTCATGCATGTTCAGAATTCATTGAGAACTTACTCTGCTGCAAGAATTGTGCAGCATTGAAGCCACCAGAGCCAGCAGAACCACCGCCAGCTCCCGCAGCTAACATACTTCCTAAATTCATGGGGCCTCCGAGGCTGCTGAGCATGCTAGCCATTGCAGACATACTCCCCATGCCTCCAGCACCGACAGCGCTGCTCCCATAAGAATTACCCACTGGAACACACAACACAATATTCCACATTTTTGGACAACACAATACGGCACATTATGTTCGCAACGATAATCCCGGTACTCACTCTGCGGTTGCTGCTGCTGCTGTTGAGTGTTCCTCATCATGTCGAACATCATATTCCTCTGCATAGCTTGAGACATCGTGCCCGGCTTCAATTCCTGCTTCATCAAAGACTGATTCTGTATTGGCATTTGCTGCTGCTGCGGTTGTTGTTGCTGCGGTACCAGTGGATCCAGTAGACCAGCAGCCGATGCCAAATCTTTACCGCCACCTAAAAATTAATAAAATTATTAATTATATTACATATAAATAAATATAAAAAAAATAATAACTTACCCGGTACTAAAATCTTGTCTGGATCGTCATCTTCGTCAAATTCAGATCCAGAATCAGATTCGTCAATATTGTCGTCCATCATGAATTAAGTTTTTCTTTAAAAAACAAATATTCAAGTATTAAATTTAATCAATACAAACAGTTACACAATTATTTTCTTATATCAAATATGCTTGCGCGACTCCAATGTAAATGAAGTCATACATCTTTCATTTATAATTAATAAAATTATAAATATTTATAAATCATATATTATTCTAGCATAAATCCTAACAGCCCTTGCAAAGTAAAACATTTGTTCATAAATTGCAAGTCATAGCATAAATCAAGGTCATTCAAATATAGCTTAAAAAAAATATATAAATATAATTAGGATTTAATTAAATTGCATATTGATTGCCCACTAATCATCAAGGCAACCTCATTTTTCTAAGCTTTACATATACAATAAATCATAATTTACACTGATCATAATTGAATATTTTCTAGAAATATATTGTGTTAATGCAGTCAGTATTAGTCGTCGTCTAACTATAAATATTATAGTTTCATTGATTCTCAAAACATTTCCAGAATTAATTTAAGAAATAGCACACTCTGACCTACTGGGTCAGAATACATCATATACGGTTGCAGCGCATATAGCATAGGCGTATTGTTAGTACATACAAATGTTTTCAACTTATCTCAATTAAAAATGTAATGAGAGTAACGTCCTAATAAATGCAGATAGCACTAGAAATATAGAACACTCAAATATTTTACCAATTTAAATACATTTTGAGTTTTATGAGACTAAACACAAATGAAAATGTGAAACTATTATATAAGAAATTAGTAGTAGATAAAATTAATAAAAAATTGAAAAATACAATAAAAAAAATATTGATTAATTGTAATTAGTAATTACTTAATTATTGATTATTTAAGCCATAATGATTTATAAATAAAAATTAAATTAAAAAAAAAACAATAAAAAAAAAGTTTACATAATTGCTGTGTTAAATAACATTTTTCAAGTTCCTAACCTACAAAAAAATAGCAAAACAATGCCGAAAAATACATAACCTCAAATGTTTTGTTTATTTTTTTCTTCTGTTCACGCATTTTTCAAAATGCAACAACGCGTTAACTGCGTTTTAGTGCCGGTCGAGTCTTCAACTTAAATTGAATAAATAATAAATTGCCCTGAATAATATATAAGTTGTGTGCGGGTTGGAGTTCCTTTTTTTTTGTTTTAGAGGAGCCCCCTAACATGGTGCAATCCATAACCAACGCCCTTCGTTGTCAAATGTTTAAGCCCCCAAATGTTCTCTGCTTTCGTTCCTATAGGAACGATTGTTTGCTTACGATCGGGGGGAGTTTAAAAAAAAAGCGACAGCCGGAGAAGAAAGGAAAATGAACGGCAATTTGTTCCGGCAAATGTTGATTTATGTTTTAAGCGAGACGAGTAAATAATCTGGCAGACAACGGTGGTATTGGCATTAGCTCAAACCGACCGGACGATAAAATAATGAAAATCACGAGAACCACTGCGAGACAACAACAAAAAAAAACAATGTGGGGGAAGCACGACCGAATACAAATAAAAGAAGGAAAAAAACAAAAAAAAAAGAACACGGGGGGAAATAATAGATGTGAACTTACAACTACAATTCGTTTACGATCTCGCTAGACAATCCAATTGGTGTGTCGTGGGTCCGTTAATGTTATAAGCAACTAGTCCAGACGGTTGTCCAAGCGCGGCATTCTATTCTATTTACGTAAAAAACTGATCTTCACAAGCACAGATCACCGCCGCACGAAACATAGATCCGCCATTTGCACAAAAAACAACTTGCCAAATTTACCCGTGATGCTGTGCGCGCCTTCGCCGCTGCCAACATCGATCCAACCCCCGAAGAAAAATCACCAGGTTTTTAGGGAATTTTATCACCAGTCGAACAGCGCTGTTGCCGGATCGCTCGCAATCAATAACAGTTTCAAAGAATCAGCGTAACTTTAGCTGAAAAAAAAAATCGTATTCAAATAGAATTAATAACATTCATAGTATTTCAACTATTTCAAGTTGAATGCAAGTGTTGTAATCGAATCAATTGTATTCAACTGAAGTTTATAATTGTTTATAATTAATAACTGCGAAGCACAGTTGGTAATGCATTCAAAATTTTTGACATTTCGAAAACGAAGCGAAGCCTAAACGTATATTTTTGTTTTGATCATAACCTAGACTGTTTTTCGGTGGATACAAAAACAAATCTGCGAATATCTTTGTGATCACCAGTTGTTAATCGTTAGCGAAGATGTCGATCGGAGTGCCAATTAAAGTTCTTCATGAAGCGGAGGGTCATATCGTCACCTGCGAAACCATCACCGGTGAAGTTTACAGAGGGAAGCTGATAGAAGCAGAGGATAATATGAATTGTCAGATGACCAATATCACTGTTACATACAGAGATGGAAGGGTAGCTCAATTAGAGAATGTGTACATCAGAGGCTCCAAAATCAGGTTCCTGATATTGCCCGACATGCTGAAGAACGCCCCAATGTTTAAAAAGCAAACAAAAGCGGGCACTGCTGGAAGAGGGAAAAGCGCTATACTTCGAGCTCAAGGTAAGATTATTATTATTATTTTTGTTGTTGTGAATACATCATTTACTTTAATTCTTGTTTTAGCTGCAAGAGGTCGAGGGCGAGGGACGAATCCAGTATCGAGAGGTGGTCGCGGTGGTTCTTGGCAGGGTGGAACAGCAGCGCAAGGGGCTCCCGCAGGAAGAGCTCGATAGCTAAATTAATAACAACAATAAATCCAAACTAATCTATAGTGACTAGGTTAAGCCATTTCCAAATATTTAATTTATGCATTGATAAATTTCTTCTGTTCAGCATTTCCTTTTACTTTTATAAACATTTATTATTAAGTCATCTAACAATATACACACACAATCATATATTTTTTTAATTTAATTGAAAAAAAGAAATCAGGCTAATTGGTTTTTTATTCAGTCACATTTACAATTTGAATCCTGAATGTATCGCCACTATTCCCAGGCTCAAATTCTCGTAGGTCACTTGTCTGAATCCAGCTTCTTCAATCATATTTTTAAAATGCTCCTGTGTAACAATTGAGATTTAACATTTCTGCTGAATTAAATATTTTTTTTTGTAATGTACTCACTTTCTTTGGGAATTGTCTTATGCTCTCAACCAGATATTGATATGGTTGCCATTTGCCAGTTAATATTTGTCCCATTACTGGTATCACTTGAAAGCTGTATTGGTCGTAGACCCATTGAGCTGGTGCATATTCCAATTGGCTGAATTCCAAGCACATGAATCTACCACCTGGTTTTAAAACACGATAAGCTTCTTTTAAAACTTTATCAATGTGGGTCACGTTTCTAACACCGAAAGCTATTGTGTACGCATTAAACTTGTTATCTTCGAATGGTAATTCTTCAGCATTCCCTTGCTGCCAACTAATATGTTCAGAGTCATATTTGAGTTTCTCACAGCGAGCTTTACCAACGTCAAGCATAGCTTGATTTATATCACAAACTGTTACATGACTGCCCTCTTCCAAGTTCGAGTTTTTTACATAATTCAAAAATCTAAATGCAATATCACCTGAAACGGATGTAAAGTTTGATACCATAAGTATTCTTTCATAATGTTATTATTACCAGTGCCTCCAGCAACATCAAGCAGTTTCGTGTTTTTCGTGGGACCCAAGTTATGTATGAACATATCTTTCCATATCCGGTGGATGCCCACAGACATAACATCGTTCATAACATCATAACTGTGAGCAACATTTTCAAACACCTCTCGTACTTTTTCAGTTTTCTCATTTTCCGGTACCGTTTCGAAACCGAAATGGGTCTGCTTAGCTGACGTCGAGCATCTCCTAAGACTCTGCTTCACCACCAAATTCCTCAGCAAACTCATCTTAAAACTGCTCGTAATGCTTGCAAAGTTTTCAGGTTACGTGCAGATTGATAGGCAACTTTATTCACATTAACATATTTATTTTAGATGACATCCTCACTACAATCTGTTAATGATTTATTTTTTGCTATTTACATAAACTAGTTAATAGTATTTATTGCTTAGTCGGTTTCCAAGCTTCGATTTTGGGTGTAGTAGTACTGTAGGGAGTATACTGTTCTGGGAAGCCAGATCGGTTTTCTGTGTGATCAGCCATCCATTTGTATTTGGGCCTGGATGGATCGTTCATGGGCAGCAAATCAGTTTTGTAATGTAACCAACCGTACCATTCAGCTGGTACTTGACTTCCGTCATAATCCATACCTGGAATAATGTCATTTATAGTACTTTGAAAGGTTGAAATTGTATTTGAATCTCACCATATTTAGGAGCATACTCCACCCATCTGTTTCTGCTGTAGAAGAATCTTGGGTTCTCGAAATACTTGTTACCATATTTATCAGTTCCCACCAGTTTTCCAATCTTCACTTCATCCATTCTAAAATATACAATTAATTATACATAATCATAATAATCCTTATTATTTATCAAACTCTTCTAAGGTTAAGTTACATAACTCACCTGTACAGCTTGTACAGAGAAGCACGAATTCCTCCATAGTGCTGGATTGTTTTAATTAAGAGTCCTAATTTGTCCAAACCCAAAAACTTCGCCATTGTAATGGGCTACAAGAAAATATAAATTTATATAAATATTACGAGAAAAAATTGTGACAAATCCAAACCTCGAAAATTGACACTTCAAATTTCGATGAACATGAAGTTGAGCACAGATTACACTTTTATGTTTTGTTTTATTTTATAATTGGTTTTAATTATTTGATTTCGTAATATTAAACGAACTTTCAATCATTATTTGCATTTTAAATTCATTAAAGAATTCATAAATTTAAATATAATTTGTTACTTTTGTTGTCTACAATCGATTATTGACAGATGATTCGTTGCAAGTGATGTTTTGCGATTATTTCATATGAAAAAAGTATAAGTTAGGTGAACGTTGTGCGGAAGGATATTCAAGGTAAATTGATATTTAGTATTATTCCTTTAGAGGTTAAAATAGGTATGGAAATTAGCGTTCTGTAGATCCCAATCGTTTAATTATTCCTTCGCTTCGCGAAAATACAAACACAAATGTTAGGTTATAAAATGTTTGTTTACGTCGAACATTGAAAGTTTGAAGATGTTCATTTTTTTTTTCTTCATTTGTTTGTTGGTCCGGGACACTCGTAAAGCATTCTTCGTATTTCAAATAAATTACATATGTTATACAAACTTAATTAACTAAAGCAAAAAATAAATAAATAAAAACAAATATAAAAAGCGGTTGTTGTAATTTATAGTTGATCGGGACTACTATCCCAATTCGGCGAGCACCGAATCCAGATCCTCCTGGAGCGAATGCGTCATCTCCTTTTGTATATTCAGATCGTCCTGCAATCGCTCTGCGCTCGTCTTCAGCATGAAATTGGTCTTTTTCAATGCTGCCAGACGATTTTCGTGGCGCCTCGTACGACCGATCAGATTCTCTTTCTTCTTTTCTGGAGGTGAATCTTCCGGTTCGCTCTGCGACTTTTCCGATTCGCTGTCTTCGCTCTCGCTAGACTCGGTGTCGCTTTCGCTCGAATCAGTTTCGCTCTCCTCTTTCTCATCCTCCTCATCTTCATCCTCATCATCTTCGCTCTCCGATTCGCGCATGTAAGCTGCCATTTTATCAACCTACAATTTACAAAAAAAAAATGATTAATTGATTTAGAAAAAGCGCATTTCTTAAACTTCATTCATACCTCCTTTTGAAGTTGCTTGTAACGTTTCTTTTCTTCTTTAATAGAAGATTGATGTTTCTTCATGATCTCTTTCAGGGCTAAGCGTTCCTTCTTCGCGTTGTCCACCTTATTCTTGAAGTTGCGTAATTTATTTGAGAGCATTTTCACTTCACGCGTCAATCGTTTCTGCCGCTTCTCGTCGGTTTCCTCTTCATCGCTATCCGTGTCCGAGATGCTCAAGTTGTTATCGAAATCGTCCTCGCCGCGAGGAGCCTGACTGTCCCTTCTATCAGAAATCGATAGTTTCTTGCCACAAAGTATCTCCTGCAGTTTCTTCTCAAGCTCCGAATTGCGTCTCTTCATTTCCTCCAATTCAAATTTAGTGTTGTCCAATTGGGTAACAGTTTGCGTGTACTTTTTCTCTAGATCTTCGGATTTCTTGCGCGCCTCCGCGACTTCCGCCTTCAAGGTTATTATCAGTTTTTCGTCTGGTTCACGCTTCTTGTCGTGCTCTTTTTCCGCTTTCGCTATATCGATGTCGAGATTCTTATCTTTTTCTATGTTCTGCATTTTCGTGAGTAAACGTTTATTTTCGCGCGCCAAGGCTTCTTTGTTACGCATTTCTATTGCTAGAAGTTGTTTGGTGCTCTGAAGATCATCTCTCACTTTGTCGATGTCGTCCATCTCGTCTACTTCTTCGGCGGCCACAGCTGCAGCCTCCTCCTAAATCATGAAATAAGTTTTAGTTTATTACACATAATTTCGTTGTGTTATTTTTTACCATTTTGCTAATTGACGAATAGGAATTATCGTGCACCGGCGGTATGCTAGCCATGGAAACTGATTTTTGAATCTGTTCCTCGATGGTCATTTGCCGCCTGAATTTACGGAGTCCTTCCAAATTAGGTTTACTTCTGTCGTTGGTTTTGACGCTGTTCAATTTGACACCCTGCTGGATAGCCTTTAGAAGTACATTGTGCGCGTTATCCTTTTCACTTTCGTACAAGTACTGCCCTTTGGTTTTGACTGCTGTGAGTAGAGGTTTGCTGCGATCGTTGCATTCCACGTGTTTCAGTTTGCGACCAGTCTCGATGCCTTTCAGCACTGCCGTCCAGTCGGGTCTTGTCTTGGGCCTCGACCTGAAACGTTAAGGTTAAGTCATTGTTGCGTATGCAAGTTATACTCAATTTCACCTGAGCGAATCCAATTTGGCCTTTTGATGTTGGGAAAGGGGGTCCACATTGGGGGCTTTGGGCATGGCCGGTGCTGGTGGCGGCATCGGTGGGGCCATCGGCGGTGCCATCGGGATGCTGATGCTGCCGCGCTTCTGTTTTACAAGAACACAAAACGTTACGTGTGCACCTTTTGTGTCTGTTTTGTTGTAATTGATTTGGTCGTGTGCCAAAAACTGACCTTTTCGTCGTCTAAACGGTCACGCGTCGGCGTCTTCTTGAGCACCTGCCTATAATCCGGCGTCTCTTTCTTCGGCGGCGGTGGCAACTCTTTCATCTTCTCCACTTTTACGCTGTTCAATTTCGGAATAGCAATTTTACTGTTATCCTTCACCACCGGTTTTGGCTCCTTCTGTCGCACCGATTTCAACTGAGGCCTATGGAAGATCTTCTCTTCGCCGTTTTCCTGCACTTTAGGCTCCACCTTCGTCACCGAAACTTTTCGCAATTGCGGAATAGCAACTACAACATTAAGATGTCAAAAACAAGCATAAAATCTACAAAAAAAATAATGCTCACAAGAAGTTGACTCGTCGTCTTCTTCGTCATCGGATTCTTCGGTGCGTTTACTGTTCCTTCTCTTCGCATCTTCCGGATCTATAATATCCCTTTTCTTCATTATTCCCCAAGGTGTTTCGGTTTCTTTGTTTGCTTCCGCAGCTTCTTTGATCCATGGCGGCTTGTACCCTTTGATTGTGTTCGATTTCGGTTCAGATCCAATCGGTTTTTTACCTGGCGGCATCTTCTGTAAACCAAATATTTAACAAATCAATATGAAAACATTAGCTAAAACCTTCGACACTTCTTTTCGCATAATAATTAAAAGCTTGAACTCATTTCTGATCGGAATCTGTGCCAAGATCACACACACACTCACTTATCTCGGTCTTTATTTTATTTTTTACGTATATTTATGTGACTTAGATTCACACGGACTTTATATTAATATCGATGGCGAAGGATGTGCGGAGGAGGTAAAGTTTACATCTTTTTTTGGCACAAATCACTATTTTCTGCATATATACCAAAACATGCTTCACAAAAATAATGGCGCAAGCAATAAAAATTGCTTTCGCAATACATTTTTGCCCAAAAAAAACATATATAAAACTATACATTTTTTGTGTGTATCTTCTTAAGATGTCCGAGTGAATTATATTTATTTATAAAATCTTACTGCGTGATCTTATGGGTTCCTCTTTTCAGGCTGTTGTTGTTGTTTCCTCTTCTTATGATGCACTTATCTTATATATATATTCTCACTAAATGATCATCGTTCGTTTCGCGATAAATTTTCCTTTTTTTATTTATCCCTAAAGGCGAGACGGCGGGGATTCGTTATAATAGTTGCGTATCGGAACACAGAATGTTTTCGGCTTTGGGATTTTGGAGTGTGTGGAGGAATATACTCGCAGCTATTTCTATTTTGGACGCGTGACGTCGGGACGCGCAACAAACTATTCACACAATTCCTCTATATGTGTGCTCGAAACGCACCGACGACTTTTTCCTTCCAAAAACCGACTAAATTCGTGTAAATTAATCAGGGTTTCACAAAAAACAACTGGTTTATTTATTTTTAGACACTATTTTGGATTTCAATAATTAACAAATTAATTGATATTATATTTATTTTGGAGGAGGTGGAAAATACATTTCGGCTTCTGGAGAGAAGTGCTCCCACGTGGAAATCTCTTCGAGAAGGGCATTCCCTGGACACTCGGTGCCATTTCTGACCTGCCTGTGGCCATGTAGTGTGTAATCTTTCGCGATATAGCCTTTCCTTACGCCAAAATTGATTAACTTTAAAACGGTGGACAGCTGCTGCGGCGGAGGTAGTTCAGCTGAAATATCGGTATCAATTATAAACTAATATTTAGCCATAATTAAATTAAGTTCACTTCTCCAATCGCCGATTATGCATATGCCTATGCTCTTGTTGTTGTACGTGGGTGCGTGTGCGCCAACGTTGAACCAACCTCGACCCTCGTAAGCGCGTCCATCTCCTCCAACAGCGAAACTGTAGCCAACATCGTTCCAACCATTGGTAATCTGAAGATGATTTGTTGACTAAAAGCCCAAAATATTTCCAACTATTTCCAACTTACCTGGTGCATCTCCTGCATCTTCTTCATGCTCTTCTCGCAATCCTCCGCGCTGTAGCACGCCGGCGGCATGAAACTATGATGGATGATCACGAACGGTACAGGATTCGACATCTTTTCCACATCAGTCGGTGGATCTGCGTGCCAATCTTCTCTGCTCACGAGATCGAAATCGCAGCATTGCACTAAATTTAATGAATCAAAAATACAAAACAAAAAAAATATTAAAACAAACCATTTATCACCGAAATTAAGACCAGAAGACAGCAAATAAACTCCATTATGAAACCAAATTTCATATGCCAAAACTTTCGCACACTTTCTCTCAAAACTTTGTTTAGCTAATGGTGACGTTAGGTGTGTGTGTGTTTTCTTTTAAATTTATATTTGTATGATTTTTGTTATCTTATCATTAACGTATAAAATTTGTTAATCGATTAAGTTTTTCGTATCGGCGTTTTGATACGTAGTAATTTCCCGCTGCGCGCTACCGAGTGCTTTTTGATGTAAAAATTTTTTAGTGAATTCGCCAACCAATACCATTACCTTTAAGCATTCCGGAGAGAGACGGAACCAGAGGAAGAGTTGGTTGAGTGCGAGGAGGATGGATGTGGTGATAAATATCATTCATTGATAGACAGCAACGACTAATATCCCCACTCATCCACCTAAAAGGGGAAGAACCGTGCATAATAATAATAATAATAAATATAAAAATATAATCGGTTTCTATATAATAACATACACACAAAAAATATATACATGTGTTGCGGTCAAATTCCAAATATTCGCGCTTCACATTTACCTTCGGCTTTTTAACACAAACTCATCATCATTAACATGATCATCAGCAGCAGCAACAGCAGCACACTTTTTTTTGTTGTTCATATTGACTAACTGTTCAGACAATAATTATATGTGTCGAGAGGGAAGAGAGAGAGAGAGGGAACGCGCGCGGCTCGATTGACCAGAAAAAAAGCAAAAAATGAAAAGAGTAACAAACAGTAGTAGTGTGAAAGGCCGGCGGGGAGAAGTGAACGAAGGCGAACCAATAATAATAATAAACTGGATTTGAAAAGATTTCTTCTCAATGTCAGATTTTTCAAACAAAATAATAAAAATTCCGCTTCCGGAAGTTTCATAATTTTTATTTTTATACGCAACAGCTCTTCTTCAAATTATCGTTTCGCTTTTATTTATATTTTTTTTTACGTCCGAAGGTAAAATAGTTGGTGGGAATTGTTGGAATACGATTCGCATTTGCCGTTTGTCTTCAAACATATTTTCTTAATAAGAATTTTAATTGCTTTTGCGGCGCATTTTTCGTGTATGAAATAATATGTATGAAATGCATTTTAAATTTACCAAGAGCAAAAAAAAACGACCATATATAACAATATGTGGTGAATGCATTAAATACGTTTTTTATTTGTTTGATGTTGGAAGTACAGGATACTGCATTACGAATTAGTAAGCACACTTGATAGATAATAAATACGAAAAGGGGAATCCTACGGTTTTTATTTACTTGTCTTATATTTATGTTCGTTCACACAGATTTACATAACGAGTACTGCTGCTAGGAGTAAACAGAAATGGAGAACCGGAAAATCCGGCCGACATCGAGATTCGAGGAAGAGATGGTCCGGAAACGGGAACGAGAATCGCGTCGTGCCGAAACTTGGAATGGAGCGGTCAAATATTACGAGAAATTCGAGAAAAACAACGCCAAATTCGAAGAGTGGACGAGTCCAAGGTATTACGAAACCAACAACGACCTAATGGCCACCATTAAGACTAAACGCGATAAGTTGGATAATCTGGAGGAGCGCAGAAAGAAACTTAGGCAGCTCTTGCAGGACGACGACAGAACTTATGCAATTGAGGCGACAATGAAAATGACGGATAGATTCAAAGAAAACAAAGATATCGAAACGTTGAAGATGATCAACGATGAAATCAAGGAGAAGGAAGAAAGGAAGCAACGGCACGAAGCAGAAAAAGGTTTGTACAATCATTGGCGAAACAACAATGTTGTTCTCCGCGAGTGCCAGAGGCAAAAAAACACGAGAGAGCTCAAATTGTCTTGGCTCGATCAGCAAATCGAAAAGAGGATGGCCAAAGAGCGTGAAACGCAGATGACGCGAAAGCAGCTCGAGGAACGCGACGCTTGCATCAAGAGAATGAAGGTGCAAGAATCCGAATTTCAAGCTATGACGCAGCAGAAGAGCAAGCAGTTGCAAGACGATTTGGTAACGCAAATGAACGAAATTATGTTAAAAGATAATGAAGCCGAAGAATTGAAGCAATTGGAGAGGAAGCAGATGGAGCAGCAGATTAAATTGAACGAAATTCAAAAGCAATCAGAATTGGAGCAGAAACGACGCAAAGATCAAGAAGTGGCGTTGTTCAATCTGAAGCAGCATTCACGAAAATTGGAGCTTAAATCAAAGGAAATGGAGAGGCAACTGATCGAAGATGAAGAAACGATACGGCGAATCAAAGATGAAGAGTTTCTCGAGAGGATTGAAGACGCTCAGAAGAAACAGGTTCTAAAGGAATCGCTTAATTCGATTTTGCAACTTTTGCGGGAACTACGTAATCTCGAGCTGAGTCGAAGACCGCACATGGGATTCGTTTTCGAATCAGAAGCGCGCGACTTGTACAATCAATTCGAGCAAAGTTGGACGCAGGAGAAGAACATGCGCGAGGGTTTGATGAAGGACGTCTTCTTAGAAGTAAAGTCGCAGATCGAAGAGAACGCTCGAAACAATTTGAAAAAACAAAAAGATTTGTTGCAGGAAAGACAAGCTATGCTAGACGATATTGAAAAACGCAATTCTGAGCTGCAATTGTTGGAAGATGAGAAGGAGAGGAAGAGAGAGGAGATTAAGAGCGATTTAGATGCGCAGATTAGGTATAAGCAAAAGTTCAGGAGCAAGTTGAACAATTTGGAAAAGTTACGAAATAATGAAGAGCTGGAGAAGATTCAGTTGGAGGAGGAAAGGTTGAAGAAGGAAATTTCTAAAATTAGCATGGGCAACACGGGGAAATTTTACGGGAGACAAAGGTTCAAAGAATTCACATAATTGTTCTTTCACTTCTTTTTTTTTAATAATATTAATAATAATAAGTTAAGTTTTAAACTGGATGAGTCTGGTCGAGGTTCTTCTTGAGTTCCTCCAATCGTTCCATGTCGTTCGAGGAAGTATCACATTTGTACACCACCAGCGAGTGGTAAAAGTGGACAGTGAATAAGACGAAGATAATTAATACTGGTATAACGATGATGGTGGCCGCTGTCGCTGCTTTGAATGAGTAATCCCAGAATTTCACCCAGCAGAGGATGGCAACTTCGACTAGAAACAGGAATAAACCTGCAGAGAACAAAAACGAACATTATCATCGTTATGAATAATAATAATAATTATTATTATTATTACCTAATACTGTGGAAAAGGCCCAGGCCAACTCTATGAAGCCTTTCATCCGTTCGTGCGGACTCTCCGCAACCAGCTCACATACATCTAGTTTACTAATAGCGTCGATATTAGGTAAGATGTACGTGCTTATCATCAGAGCGAAGATGTGCACAGAGACAAGCACCGTAGTGCATATTGCAAACATGATGAACAGCCATTCCGGTACATTCGTTTCTTCGTTAATTTGAAGTTCTACCTACAAACAAAAATAAAATTTAAAACTTTTTTCAGCTTATTTGCAATTATACTGTGACTTAATAACATACATTTTTTTTGACGCAAGGTGACAGCTGTCACATTAACTCAAGTTGTATGACAGCTGTCATTTTGTGACATAACATTTTTTTTTGACACTTTAACGTAAGATGACAGTAACCAATATTTATATCAATTTTGTACTGCGCTTATAATTTGTATTGCAACCTATAATTTTCTATTATTGATATCGATTAAATGTTCTAAATTAATTATGAAAAGCGACATTCCTATTGCTGGCAAATGTATACTAATTATCTTTTTTATTTTAATTATACATGTACATGTGATTTATTGTTAAAAATATTATACATAGATTTAAATAAATAACTGATATAGAAGTATTTGCGTTTTTGCTTTAGTAGATAGTGATACAAAAAAAAATAACCCAAATATGAATATATACATACATGTACTATAGGAAATATTGGTCGGAATTTGTATTTTCTTTATGCATGTGTGAATCATAGTTGTTTACTTAAATATACGGGGAAAACCCTACAACATATTTGGCTCTTTGAAATGTCGTAATTGGGACATTTTGCGAAATTTATTCGTTAAAATTGAATTATTTTACCTGTGCAAAGGTTTATTGACCGACGTTTATTTCATATTTTATAAATAAATGTGACAATTTTAAAATAATCTTAATTTATTATTGATGATTTTATAAATAGATACGCCCAAATATCAGAGTTTCAAAGTTATTGGCTGACACACGAATGAAACGGGTTGGAAAAGAATGAAAGAAAGAAGAGAAGAGGACGATACATTCCGGTCCTATTTAAAAGCTTTCGATCGGTGCAGTTGCAGACGGAGGACGAGGCGCGTGCATTCTCTTTACACGTTTTTAGATGCATCGGAATTCCGTATCGTTCGGAAGTTCAGAGTTTTTTTACACGTTTTCATCGTTATTTTAAATCACAATATTGCCAGATTTTACTCAATTAATTAATCTATAAATGATGTTTTACGTACAATGTTGCCATTTGACGTCTGTTACGTTGCGATGTCAAAATTTACGTTTGTGCGTACGAATAGACGTGCATATAAAAAAGAAACAAACAAAAAATCGTAATTTTATATATAGGAATGCCATTAACGTATATTCCCTTGTACGGAATTTTGGGTACGGATTATGTATGTAACTGAGCTGTGTATATTGAATATAAGTGTCGGTTCGCAATAAGTTCTTATCAACGTATCTATCTATAATGGAAATTTTTACTCTTTAATCTTAATTGGTGTATTAACAACCATTGTTAATATTTACACTGTATTATAGTTATTACTTTATAGACAGCAGACGACTTAGTTTTTTAAGTCGACGACATTTGTAAATAGAACGTTTTCATAATAATCATTTGCGTCATTACTAAGAAATATCAAGAGTCCTTTAAATGCATAATTTTGTTAAATTTAAATCAGGGGTTTTCAACATTTTCGCCCCTGATGAAGTAGTTAAGTTTTAAATTCCTTACCATGGCGACCATCGCGAATCCTGAGAGCAATTCTGATGTAGTTGACGTCGCTTTCAGCTTAGCTCTAGACATGTGCAGCCGCCTCCAGGACAGACCTTCCGGAGTGGCGCTCGGTGGACTTCCTTTGTAGTCTTCGACGAAACATCGGCACTGATGTTCCTTGTGATGATTGTTGTTGTAGAACCTAGGCAGAGGTGGCGGTGGCGGCGGCGGCGTCTTCTCTCTGGACAGCGGTATCGTCAGGTCGCTGGAATGTGAGGATGGACGTGGACTTTGCGTTGTCTCGGAGAGAAACGAAATCCTACTTCTGTGAAACGTCTCCGTCGATACGTTCAATGACCTGGGTCTCGATAAAGGTGTAGTTCTGAGCTGAAAACGAAACGAGAATTATGAACCGCTTTCACGCATCAAACGGTATGAGAATATACATTACCCATGGATTCGTGAGGGTTTGCAGTGAACTGTTCAAATTCATTTCCGTGTGCCTCTTCTTCAAATAAACGGTACCGTTCCGCGATTTCCTTGCAATGACCACCGGAAAATCGCACTGAGTACTTTGATCCATCTCCTTTTCTGCTACGTTTCAAAAACAATTTAGTAACACAAAATCAAAAGAGCGGCTACAGTTAATAACGTCAAATTCCCACACGAGGTCGTTTCGCTTCCAGAGACTAATCATCATCAGACAGATCGTTGTTTACGCTTTATTGTTATAATACTGTAACAACAAATTATGTATGTGAAATTGCACCGAATGTTTGAAACGTAAAAGAAACTTTTTGTTACTGCTTCGCCGATAACAAAACTAAAATAATAAATGAATCACACTATACACTACTTAAGTTATAACAATTATTTGTTACGATTATCATCATCTTGAATGCGGTGATGAAAAAGAAGTAAATAAAAAAAAAAACAGAATTTATAAATCGTTACATAAATGTGTTTGCTTTTAGAATTATCACCTTCGGCCCCGCACTTCCTCCACGACGATTCACATGTTTTTTTTGCTGCATACCTAAGAAATATACATCCATATCGATTTAGTGATGCCGCGACATATTTACCTAAGCAAATACTTCGATTCCAACTGCATACGCGTCGCTGGCATGTGCGCAAAATGTTACGAAGAGCAGACGGATTGCAAGATAATTGGCGTGAACCGTCGTTTCCTACGTACGAATTATTCTAAGGACATGAAAAGGAATTTCGAGTACAATCTGTACAGGGAACGAGCGCTCGATGAGAAGCTGTCCAAGTGGGAACCGCCGAAGTCACCGCATCATCTGATCGAAGAGACCTTGTACTCGACGCCTTGGCGATTATTGGTTGGGACAATTTTCCTCAACAAAACCAGAGGGAAACTGGCGAAACCGTACATGGATAAGTTCTTCGACGATTTTCCGAACGCAGCCAACGTGATCATGGTCGAACCGGAAGCGCTCGCGACTTACTTCGAAAAGTTGGGTTTGAAAAAGCGCGCCGGGCACGTGTGGCATCTGTCTCGTGATTATCTGTCAAAGTCTTGGCGCAGGGCCCGCGAACTGAGCGGCATCGGGAAATACGGGGACGACGCCTTCGAGATCTTCTGCAGAGGTAACATGACCGTCGAACCGGATGACCGTTACTTGAGGATCTACAAAGCGTGGTATCTAAATACCAAAAAATGAAACTTCATCTGTCAACCAATTATTCACACGAAATCGAAAAACAAGTTCATATACACGTAATAAGACATTGCTTGTAAAATAACATGATTTAAACGTAAATTGCGTTTGGCAACGATAATCGGTTTTAATGTTAATGTTTCATTAAAGATATTTATGTGCTGGCATCTAAATACCTTTGGATTGGCAGCGCTGTAAACCTGTAAACGTCAGTTTTATTTGAATTTATTCTAAATTTTTATTACTTTATTCCGAACAAAATTTTTGAGTGATTAAACTCACATAAAATGAAATGGATGACAAGGAGTACGTTGAAATACTGAAAGTGTTGTTAGTGTTAGGGATATTTATTTTTTTGGATTGGCAGTACTAGTCAGTTACCTGTAAACGTCAGTTTTATTCGAAACTTTTTGGTTTATTTCGAACAAAATTATTGTGTTATCAAACGTTTCTTTCTAAATTGTTTTGGACACTCGCAAAATTATGGAGGACAAGGCGTATATTGAAATGCTGAAAAGGCGGCAGGACGAGATCAAGAAGTGCATCGAATCGATGCCCAGAGAGTGCAGCATGAAATACGTGCAAAACAAATATGTTCCAGAGAATAAGTAGTAAGTTCATACATAATGTAATTGAATTAGTTAAATTTAGTATTAAGATCATTGAAAGTACTAAAAATGAATATTTTCAAAGATATATATATAATTTGTACAGGGCCGGGCTCAGATGTCTTTGGCCTGTTTTTTCGCTAGCGCCGGCCCTGTATATGTATCATTACAAAATTAATAATTTTTCCAATTGTTTTTAATTAGTTTAAGCTGAAATTTTTCATAAATATCAATAAATACAATATATAAAAAAAAACATTTTTATAATTTTTAACCAGTATACTAATTTGTTGTAAAAACTTAAACACGTAACTCTGAAATCATATGAAACCAACGTTAGTTTTAAATATCTATTTAAATGCCTCCGAGAATAATTGCTATAATTATTTGTAATTAGCTTAGAAATGTGTCGAAAGAAAGGAGATCAGTGAATCATGTAACTGTGTTATATATTTGTTTTTTCTTCTTCTTTTGTTAATATGTTGTTTTTTTGTTGTTGTTGAGATTTCTAATTAGCAATCATTATTTTTATTTTTTTACACCTAAAAACGAAATATTTGAGAATCAATGTTTTATTTAATCCACCGAAGTTATTTTTTTTTAATGTTTGTCTACAATTAGTTTTGTTTTTTTTGTTAAGTTATTGAGAAATATACATTAAATCCAAGCATTATTTTTATGTAACAATCTTTAGCGGTGTCGAGACTAGTGAATAGTGTTTATTATGATATTTATCCCGGGTTGACATGGTTTTACCCTTCCATTAAGGGCCGCATTAAGGGTGTCGTATGCCCTAATTCATTAAAACTTAAGAACAAAATATGTGTTCTTGAATCCGAATTCTAATATTTTGGGCCCTATATAGTGTGCTTAATAAATATAGTCCTGCTTCTAAATATTGAATTATCTAATTCATAAATTCTATGAAATAATCAAATTGTCCAAGTAACAAACGTTTAATGACATATTATTAAAAACGTTCGTATTGTTGGGAATATCGAAAATTAATATTATCTATGCGAAATACCAGTAGCGAATTTTTCCAGGAACGTCCATGAATCATGGCTCACTCGATTTTTCTGCAATTCAATTTTTTTTTGCTTTTGCACATGAAACAATGTATATTTTTTTTTATATTTTTTTTGTTTTGTTTGTTTTATTGGGTGATCACGAAAATATGTATTTTTACGCGCAAAGAAATTCTCACGGTCACTTCAATTGCACTATAATTACTGCTTGATTAAGGAACTGCAAAAAAAATAATAATGAATAAATAAATAAAATAATATAATTAATGACATTTGAAATTATTGTGTTGCCAACGGAAATTGTGGATTCGACGTATAACGTAAGCATTTTTTTATACTGCGAAAAAATATGAACAAAAAAAAAAGAATTTGTTGCTGCATACCTGAAAGCAATTATTTTCTAAGCAAACTATTGGAATACTGGGTATAAATTCGTAGAATTTTTAGTTTCACATTATAAGTAAAGATTCGTAACAAATCAAATAATTTTCCAAATCTAACAATAGTGAGACACGAAATGACATTTTTTTGTGTTATGTAATAGTTTGGGTGGCAAGACGATCATGAAAAAAACAATTACAAAACAATGTAATAATTTCAATTACTATAAAGAACCAAGTTGAAAAAATAGTTTAAGTATTCTCTGCCACAGTTATTTATAACTATTGTTTATTGGTCGAAAATAAAATAATTAACGTCTCCGTTGATCAAATAGAATCATAATCTTCGCTTGCAAAAGAAAATCCGGATTTGCACCCATTTATCATCAGCGGCGTTGCGCAATGTCGCAATTACAATTAAAATTTATAATTGCTCAGGAAATGTCAACAAAAGAACTGAATGTTTGCAAGGAAACTTCGCAATTATACTTAGATAAAAATTTAATAAGTAATTCGGTGATTTATCATTACAAATATTAAATAGCAAATAAGAAAAAAAAACATAATGATTTGTGCAGAACATTTAAATTCCAAAAAATATTATTGTTTTGTTACAAATATTGTCGATCCACTTTAAATATGCGGTTAACAACATATTTTTCTTCATTTTCTTGCAATTAGTTTCGCTTATTTTTTATGTAATCTGCAATGGATGTTTGTTCCATACGTCATGTTGGTTTTTTTTTGTTTTTTGTATGCGGTTTTTACCAATCATTATTGTTTCATTAATTGGCCCGTGGCTAAAGCTCAAAGTACAGAAAAAGATGTATTAATTGAATTATTTTGCTCAATTCTGATGAATCCGCCTTTATTTCATGACTAAATATCTTTAGTTTTTGTTTATTACAGATTGTTAAGATTCGCTTTAAATACTTAATGGGTCGCCAAATGACAGCTGTCACATTGCGTTTACACGTCAATATTGTTATGTTTTAAACAATTGGATCGCAGTACGACAACAAACAAAACTGTTGGGTTGCGAAATGACAGCTGTCACCTTGTGTCAAAGCGAGTGTAATATTCTTAGCAACTGAGTCGCAGGTATTTTTAACAACAATTAAATTGAAGAGACTTTTTTTTGGACAAGAGTTGAATGTAATTTGTCAATATAACATTGTTTTTAATCATTACGAAAATGCTATTCGACGTGCTGGGAATAGCTTTGAAGGAAGGCCGAAAATAACTAAATTTGATGACCGTAGGAAAGTTTCGTAATTGAAGGAATTGTTATACACAGTTTTAAGTTTATTGTCTCAAACAATTGTAATTCGCGAATAAACTGATCAGTTTACTTTCCGTTAATGACTCAGATACCAAAACAGTGACTTGTATTTGACAACAGTTTAGTTAATAGAATTATTAGTCAGGATAAAAGTTAACTGCGATAACTATTTAAATACTTGAAAATGTATAATTCCAGCAAGAATTTCTGAAAAAATGTTAAATAAGTAAAAAAATCAAATTATCAGTAGGTCCTTGGAACAATTGAAGTTGATTTACTTCTTGATTAACACTTTCATAGTGTTTATGTCCATACCATGTTAATTTCCATATCAAGAAATCAGAACATGAATAATTGAGACTAAAATCTTGTAATAAAAAAAATATCTCTTCATTGTTTCCTCTTATTTTTGTTTGTTTCTTCAGTGTCAATTAACCTTGTGTTTTTGTTTAACACTGCGTAAGGAAGATAAACGGAACAAAAATATTTTATTTTAAATTATGATTGTCGTGTCGAAATGACCAGAAATACGCCGAAATGAATAAGGATAATAATGGTTTTCGCATAATTATACTAAAAATTATCTTCGTAGATTACACACTAAATTGCGGAAGGAAACTTATCTCTCTTTTTCTTTTTATTTATCATTTCCTAAAGGTCACACATAATATTTCCGTACCTTGCTTTTAATTGAAATATGACGACTATATTAAATGTTTGATATACAGAATTTTGATTGTGAGTTATTTTTTTTATACATTAATTTCCTGAATAATGAACAATTTTTTCCATGAAATTTTTCATTTCAATATAGTCCTTGGACGAAATTATTTTCATAAAAACCTCGCTTCATATCATTTCAATAATAATAATAATATCCATTTTTATGAGACACGATTATTGTTTAAAAAAAAAAACAACTTTCGAGCGAAATATGAACTTGTCATGTTTACTTTGATTTGAGTGTTAATATTTGAATATTCATATTTCTTTTTTGTAAAAGTAATCAATTTATTGTTTTAAAAAAGTGGTATAAAATTGAAGTCAAACAATTGTAACAGAGTTTCTCAACGTATATGTGCAGTTAAATGATTGCCGCATTGTGTCTAGACATAAAAAATATTTATGTTATAAACTATTGGGACACAGTACGAGTACAAACAGAAATGTTCTGTCGCGAAATGACAACAATTGAGTCAATATTTTAGTTTGCGAAATGACAGCTGTCACTGTACGTCTAAACGTCAAATCTTTGTTGATTGGAACGCAGTACAACTACAACCAAATATGTTCGGGTTGCGTAATGAGAGCTGTTACCTTGTGTCGAAGCGAGTGACACTGTTGAGAAACGCTGCTGTAGAGAATACAGAATGAAAATATACATTCTGACATTTAGGTAATCGTTTATAAAGAAATTTAAATATATATGTATAAAAAGCAATGGAAAAATCTCATCTAAAAATATGTTCTGCATATATTTTGACCTTTTAAGTATACAGAGTAGCGCATATTTTGTTTCTTTCTTCCTTTTTTTTGCATTTAACTATCTTTAAGTTTGTCTAACAAATTTAAATTTAAATAACGATTTGCCGATGACTTCCAATGATTAAAAATATTTTAAATTTTTTTTAAGAAATTATTTATATGGCAATACCTCGCATAGTACGGATTCGATCAGTGCGAATTCACTATAGTAAGATTTCAATTTAAAATTATATTTTGTACTGTAATTTCATGATAATTAGATACAGTTGAAATGAATTTTCATATTGAATTATCAATATTTATTGAAACAAATACGATTTCTACTCTTTTTATATTTGTAATTATGTATATAATTTGTATGGTTGTTGTAATAAATATAAATAAGTACAGATAAAACGATTTAAATTTTAAAACGAAACAAAAAAAACATGAATAAATGTTTTCGCGAAAAAAAAAGATATAATTATTTTGAATTTTCGGATAGCGATGGGTCTTTCATCTTTTGCATAAAACAAAACTTTTTAATTTAAATTTTTGTTTACATTATAACCAAAAGATAGTCACATGTGCGTTTGACCGATTTTCATTTTTTGTGTGTGTGGTTTAATGCTCTTCAATAGACAACAAAAAAAGAAAACAATAGATTTGGTTCTTACTTTTTTTTTACTTATGTCTCTTCTTGCTGTTGCTGCGCCCGAACAGCGGTATCGGTGATGGTCTTGCCTTTTCTATATGATTTCTCTGTTTCTTTTCTTTTTGTTGCTCTGCGTGCACTTCGGAGCTCCGATGAAACAGTTACATGGATGAGACTAGCACACAAACAACAAATGGCGAGAGAGAGCACCGGGCACAAAGTATACACACTTGACCGCGACCGTCAGGTAATAACATCGCATTACCTACTCTCGTGGAACTTTAATACACACACACACACATATGGGAATGGAAATCTTTCCCAACTTCCATTTCCTTCTTGCCCGGACGCGCGCCTTCGCCATCATCATCACCGACTCAAACCGAGCGAAGAAACGAATATAGAAGAAACAAGAAGAAAAACCCTAATCTTGGGAATACGCAAAATAACAAGTAAATGCAGATTGCAATTGTTTCTAATCACATCGTTTCCAAGTATTCAAAGATTAATTCGTGATTAATTCATCGAGAATCGAGAGAGCGAAGTAAATGTAAGAGGCGGGATGAAATAATAATATATGACGCGTTTCCATAAACCGCAGCATGCGAACTGTAACTCACTGTAACCATAGAGATTATTAAGGTGTAATTACTATTTTTTTTCTCAAATCAAAGTTCACTATGTAAATGTATTAGGTTTGTTTTTTGTTTGTTTTTTTTTTTTGGGATATTGCTTCGGCGAGGGGAAAAACCCAATTAGAATATGTTACGCAACGGTTCCGAGATAAGACCAAGAAAGTACAGGATATATAAATGTGTGTACACATCTATCTATAAATAAACATGCAGACGTAACAAATTTACCTGTGATTTATATATGTTTTTAGGTTTATATCTGATACGATATTGTTGCCAATCTTTTTTTTCTGTTGTTTGTTGTTTTGTTGCTAGCCGTAAATCGTTGGAAATCGACACTGGCCTTTTATTGTTTCATTTTTATGTTTCAATTTCAACGCTCGTTTTGTTTGTTCCCCACCTAAATCGCAGTAAACGTCTTATCAGTGTTCATTTGTATTTCCAATAGTAACCGCAGCCTTCTCTGGATATCCCAGGTAGTCCTGGTATTCCTATTGTATTTGCTTTATTTATTTCTTAAACATTTTTGTATAGAATTCCACTTTGTTTGTCGCGTCGTAAAACCATTGGTATGATGAAAACTTTGGCAGAAATGTGCAGTTAAAATTTATATAATATTTGTACTTTTTTTTGTAATTGAGATAAAAAAAACTTTAGATTTCAACATATTATCTCCTATCGATAAAACTGTGTACATTCGTTATTAAGTGTTGTTTCAACGATCGTTTGTTGTTTGTGTAGTCGAGTAGATTCTGTAGTCGCGAAAATATACATTTAATTGTACTTGCTACTTGATAAACTATAGAACAGTGTCTCTCAAACTTTCTAGCAGTTGTACTGCTTTAACGCAAGGCATATGACAGCTGTCATATTGCAAAACAACATATTTATTTGTATTTTGTATTGCGACTCAATTGTTTACAACTTAAACTTTTCTGACAGTATTAACAGAAGCTGACAGCTGTCATTTCGTAACCGAATATTTTTGTTTCTAATTGTATTGCGACGTAATTGTTTACAGCATCAACTTATTTGACACATTCATTTTGTGACCCATTTACGTTGAGAAACTCTGCTATAGAACATCGAATTCCTAAAACTTGTTTATTTTTTGTTTACCTTTGAATAAAAATCTAATTAATTGATATTTAGAAGCTATAAAAATAGATATAAATTACATATTTTCAATTAAATTCGTTTGTATTTATTGAGAATTATCAATTGTGTGAAATAATGATAAATTTGCGGCATTAATTTGCCGTGTCGTTGCAGCAAATTAAATAAATTGTTTTCTTTTTAAATGCAAACTTGATTCGAAATGTATAGAAAATAAACAGAGTAATTATTGCACAATGGAATCAGATAAAAACGTCGCTAACCATTACTAATTGAATTGTTCTAAAATCAAAGCTTAACACAGAAACCCAATTGCATAATATTTACAAAATACCCGGTTTTTATTAAGGTATAAACAATGAAAATATTAGAAATTCTACATTTAATTTAAATAAAAATTCAACAATTTTGTTTTTTTTTTTATTGTCAAACGTAGAAATGTTTTCAGTTTTGGGAAGATAATTTTAAATAATTTAATAATGATAATTTGAATGATTATATTTCCTTCATTTATTTTATAATTGGCTGTCGAACGCCTCATTATGTCTATTGTCGGAATCGGTTCAACCTTTTCAACATCAATTCACGGTAAGGTCTATAAATCCGTTACACTTCTATCCACTTCCAAATAATTTTTTTTATTATTATTTTTGTTAACTTGTATTCATGGTTCTTTTCGCAATCTTCAATGAAAATCACCGAATCTTCTAGTAATTTAAAAGTTTAAATAATCTACAGTAGTCGATATAATGACAAAACTTAACCAAGATTGAGTAAGTTACAATATTTAATCAGAATGTTGTACCATGTTCTCGAAGAAGAATAGGAAATAAACTTAAAAAGTCTATATTAGTTACTGCTAAGGTCGAATTTGTTATTATTAACTGTCAATTTTTTTTAATGGATCGCGAAATGACGAAGCAATGTGTGGAAGCAAAAGTATTGCGTCTATTTTCGATTTTCGATCAAATCTAAATGCATTCTAAATGCATGCACGATCGTGCAGGCATCAAATTGGAAAATCAAACAGCGCAAATTTATTGTGGTTTTATCGTCGCTTATAATTACCGATGTTTTGCACGGTTACTATTATTGATCGATCGTTTGCTTCAACAGCATAGTAAGATTATGATAATAATGGTTTTATAATTGGTTTATTGTGAATGCATGAATTTAGCGTTTCTCCACTTATGTCAATATTGTTGACAGCTGTCACTTGCATCAAAGCATTATTTGTAATGTTGGATTACGCGACAAAAATGTTTAGAAACGCTGCTACACTCATTAAGTAAAGATGTGTTATTTTATATTTAGATGCGTAAACTGAAATCTGATAAATCAATAAAGAATTTAAATAATATTATTATTTGCTGAACTATAGAAACAATTGTTCAAATATGGTCGACTAATCTAATACATTTGATTTGTATGCAGCTCTGCTTACACAAAAAAACATAATTGTTTAATGGGTTGCCTATGACATGGACTTGAATCAATCATATTATTTAAATCCCGACTGTATCGAAATCTCGACGCTTGAAATCTCGACTGTATCAAAATCCCGACAATATCGAAAATTTTTACAATAACATTTTTAAATTATTTCGGAGCGTAGTCACCTCGTGCTACACTTTTATTATTAATAACAATAAATTATTATTAATTTATTTGATTTTGTTGAATTATTCATAATAAACCTTAACATTATGAAATAATCTCAAATACATTGTTATTATTTAATTGTTATTATTTATTATTAATAATAATTTAAAAGTCACTACGTTCCGGAATAATTTAAAAATGTTATTGTAGACATTTTCGATATAGTCGGGATTATGATTGTCGGGATTTTAATATAGTCGGGATTTCGATACAGTCGGCATTTCAAACGTCGGGATTTCAATAGACGGTCTTTCGGTTGTCGGGCATGCGATTGCCACCACAACCAAAGACATAAAAGAAATGTATATATAGTGCAAATATTTGTCATTCTTTTTGGTATACTTCACATGTTTACATGCTTCAAGCTTCAGTTAAATAAACGACTCCGACGTATGTATTCATGAATTCAAATTCAAATATTTTTTTGCCACTGTGTGTCTGTGAATCACGAAGAATCGTTGCTTTGAACGTGTAAACAATCTCTATTGTGTGACAAAAAAAGGGAGTTTCGAACTCTAGATAAGAGAGTCATAAAAATGTAGTTTGCAACTGCGAATCAAATCGGCAAACGCTAAACGAGGGATCGGCAACACCCGGATCTTTTCGTTCTGAACAATTCTATTGGTTCTGTCGTTCGGGTTGGCCCGCAAAACCATTGGTGGCTCATCACTAAACTTTTTTTTTGTTAACCGATACAATCTTAAAAATGCTTCTTTTATTCAAATCTAAACCAATCGACAAACAGGCACGAAATTTGGGCGTTTCGTTTCAAAATCCATTCAGTGGAATCTAATTTATTTTAGAAGTAATTTATAAAAAATATAACTTTACATTAATTTTTAGTATTATAAATTTCAAATTGTAAATATTGCACGTAACTTGCCAACTACTTCACTTGTATACTATATGATAAATTATAGAACAGTGCTTCTCAAACTATCTAGCAGTTGTACTGCTTCAACACAAGGCATATGACAGCTGTCATATCGCAAAACAACATTTTTATTTGTATTTTGTATTGCGACTCAATTGTTTACAACTTAAACTTTTTTGACAGTATTAACAGAAGGTGACAGCTGTCATTTCGCAACCGAACATTTTTGTTTCTAGTTGTATTGGGACGTATTTGTTTACAGCATCAACTTATTTGACACATTCATTTCGTGACCCATTTACGTTGAGAAACGCTGGTATAGAACATCGAATTTATAAAACTTGTTTTTTTTTCCTTTGAATAAAAATCTAATTAATTGATATATAGATGTTATAAAAATAGATATAAATTAATATATATATAATGTGTAAATTATATTAAAATAAATTCTTTATAAGGATAAAATTTCTAATTATTAAGTATTTAATATGGGCACGAAAAACAAGAATCGCCGCGAATTATCACGAAAAATCAGCTGCAACAGTGTATTTGAAACATGAGAATAGTGTTTAATTTTAAGTTTGCCGCAAAACATGATAGTAACAACTACGCCACTGTTAATTAAGAAATTTCGTGCAATTTTGTACGAAGTAACTGTTCTTAGGAACAAAATTTGGATACGTGCGAAATTGCACGAGTTGTAGCTTTGGAGGCGCTACTTTCTTATTTCAATACAAATTATTATTATATTTCTAATAGTTTTTTTTAAACAAACTGAATTCAGAAGTAATTTAAACTAAATAAAAATATTGCTTTATATAAACACATTTGTTACTTTTTATGTTGGTCTGATCGAATAATCTTCTAAATCATCAAACGCCTACTGATTATATTTGTATTTATTATTTAAAAAAAAAGAGATTTATATTAATTTATTTATTGATATAAATCTCTCCAGCCCTATATCTACCCCTTTCGGGTTTAACAGCCACCACAAATTTTTTTGTTGATTTTTCAGTATTTGTTGATTTGGTTGCATATCTCTTATATTTGATTAACTACTTTTTTTTCCATATAGATTCAATTAATTCAATGTATATATGGAATATTATATGTTATTATAAATTTTTAAATCAAAATTACGATGAAATTCTACGGTACGTTCTCAGGTGAAAGTAGAACGGTCCACGCGTATGCAGATTCCGATGAACAAGAATGAGACAGTCTTATTATCGATCGGTGTGTATGTGGGGAAAAAATATGTTTCGACGTGTCCGACCTTTACGTGTCCTCTAATATATAATCCCATACGGAATAAAAAAACACGGACAGTTGCGAACGCAGTTGCGGACAGACAAGTCTAATTCGCTCCGATCTTTACAAACAGCCAGTGTAAACAGTAAGTACACGTTTTCATTTAATGCTGAGACGATGATCGATGAAATATCAGAGTCAGTCGTCGATTATATTTTTTAAATATTCCACTCGCAAACATTTATTGATAAGAACGATTGTGTTTGGTTCAATTGACGCGGACTGAAAGAGGTCATTCCAATGTCACATTTTTATTGTAACTCAAAGGTTTGGTCTTTCGTTAATTTGTTTAGATTTCATTCATTAGACGTTAATTAATTAGTGTTTCAATAATTTGAATATTATGAAATGAAATTCATGTTAATCAGTTAAATAACATCGATAAGACATGTATGTGTGTAAGCAGGAGCAAATGGAAAATCAACTATGTTTGATTATCAGTCAATAATTGTAGTAAATAAGACCCTTATCACGAATAATATGTTTCCATGGAAATTAATTGCATTTCAAACAATTCCGTACAGTTTCTTATAATAGTCTTTTACTTTTATGCGAGTAGTAATTTTTTGAAACAAAAAAGAAACATTAAATGATTTCTGTTTGTTTCTCTTTATCGTTATCGTTTTCGACTGCGAGGTGACGTTTTTGACATTGCTCCTTGAGATTGGATCAATCGTCAAGATAAATGGAACTTTTTTTGTTCTTGATTATTCAACTCTTGACAAATATATATTGCTCATTGGAAATTATGAGAGAAAAAAAACACACACACTAGATACTCCTAATTGTTTGTGTAGTTCGTATCTACGCTTATCGGTGTAACAGAACCAATTGTTCCAGTACGAGACTTCAGTTTTGGATATTTAATCCGCATAACATCTTCATTTCATCATAATTATGTATTATGTAAGATAATATGTTAACTTTAACGATTTTCTATTGAGTTTATCGTTTTTATGAACGAAATTCAAGCAATTCAAAAACTGTTATCCGTGAGACAGAAATATTTAATCTGCAACAAAATAACTAATACCGGTTATAATAATACTGAAAACTTTCCTAATGTTAATCAAATGAAAGATCTATCTTGATGTCTACTGTATGCTAGCTTTCTTGAATTCTCTTAAGTTACAATTGTATGATTTACAATAAATAACTTTAATTGATATTAAATATAACTTTATTGATATTAAACGATGTTTAATATTTATTATATAATTGATTTATTATATAAATTTTATATAGTGTAGTGGAATGTTTTTTGTATTGGCAATAACCTCAGTCGATGGTGATGCAATCTAACGGTAGATATTCGCAATTTCTTTCAATTTAAATAATAACGTCAATTATTTCTTCGTCGAGTAAACGCCGAAATTTAATTTCCGGTTGAAGATTATATTTTTCTATTAACCAATGAAATGTCTCAATGTGAAATCTTTTGCATACACCAATAAGAAATATTCTATTAAGCAATAAGAAATCTTTCATTAACCAATGAAAAATCTTAAATAACTTTTCCTACATTATTGATATTTTCAAGTTTGGTTATTAATTTTTAATAATTAGTATGGATAATTTAAATATTGTTTTTATATTTAGTTAATTGCATCTCAAGGTCTATTTGATTTAGATTTTATTGCTTTTTAGTCGATTTGCCTAATTACAAAGTACATATTATAGAGATGTGTGTTCCGAAAATATATATGAAACGCAAAATATTCTAGATCGAACACGGATTTTATCGTGCGTTTTATCATGGAGTGAAAGTTGATAACGGGAGGCTCGTCTGATCTTGGCGACGTGGCGAAAGGTCATTTAGCTAAGCGACTTTAAATAGATTGTAGTTTCGATAGATCGATTCAGTGTGTGTTTGTGCTTGAACATTGCAGCAGCTCTACGGCCAATATGACTACCTACTTCAACTACCCGGATGCGGCCATGCAGGATGAGCTTCGCAAGATCGCGAACGCCATCGTCTCCCCGGGAAAGGGAATCTTGGCCGCTGACGAGTCCGTAGGTACTATGGGCAAGAGGTTGGCCGACATCGGTTTGGAGAACACCGAAGAGAACAGGAGGAAGTACAGGCAACTGCTCTTCACCGCCGACAAGTCTCTCGGAGATAACATCTCCGGAGTGATTCTCTTCCACGAGACGCTCTACCAGAAGGCCGATGATGGCACTCCATTCGTTGAGTTGCTCAAGGAGAGCGGAATCATTCCCGGCATCAAGTTGGATACCGGTGTCGTTCCGTTGATGGGATCCGAAGACGAATGCACCACCCAAGGTATGATGAATAGAATTGAAGATTATAAGAGGAATTATATATTTGTTTCAAGGTTTGGATGATTTGGGCAAACGTTGCGCCCAATACAAGAAGGACGGTTGCCACTTCGCCAAGTGGCGTTGCGTCCTCAAGATCAACAAGAACACTCCATCCTACACCGCTATCCTGGAGAACGCCAACGTTTTGGCTCGTTACGCCTCCATCTGCCAGATGAACGGTCTCGTGCCGATCGTCGAGCCAGAGATCTTACCCGACGGCGATCACGACATCGTCAGGTGCCAGAAGGTCACCGAGACCGTTCTCTCTTTCGTGTACAAAGCTCTGGCCGATCACCACGTCTTCCTCGAAGGCACCCTCCTCAAGCCGAACATGGTCACCGGAGGCATGAGCCACGCCATCCGTTTCAGCCCTGAAGAGGTGGGCAAAGCGACCGTCACCGCTCTCTCCAGAACCGTTCCACCGTGCGTTCCCGGAATCACCTTCCTCAGCGGCGGCCAAAGCGAGGAGGAAGCCTCTGTCAACTTGAACGCCATCAACAAGTTCCAAGGCAGAAAACCGTGGGCCCTCACCTTCAGTTTCGGACGTGCCCTTCAAGCTTCCGTCCTGAAGGCGTGGCAAGGAAAGGACGAAAACATCCCTGCCGCCCAAACCGAACTCTTGCGTCGCGCCAAGGTAATTAACTAATTCATAACGTAACATCAATTTTATTTAATATGTATTCTATTTGCAGGCCAACTCCCAATCTTCCCTTGGTTCCTACAGTGCCGGTTCTGTGGCTGGCCAAGCCGGCGAGCAAGGACTCTTCGTCAAGAACCACGCCTACTAAAACACATGTTTATTAAATTAAGAAATTAATTATCAAAGAGAACGTAATTTTTTATATTTACAATTTTATAGAGACTGTCTTAAAAGAAAGAACGCCGCGTGTTTATTATAATAAATATATATATTTTTAAAAAATCAAAAACCGTTTGTTACGATCACCTGATTGATTGATTGAGTTCATGTTGTATTTAATACAAAACTTTGAATACCGTAAATTGATTTATTCAATTATACTAACTCTCCTCTGCGTTAACTACTAACAGACCTTTCTAGCAGGCTCCGAACAAATGTGCTCTTAAATACAATAATAATTACATTTGACATAATGACAGCTATCAATTCGCGACTTCAACAACTTTGATTCACGGCCCCCCAAGTTGAGAACCGCTTGGCTAGAATACAGTGACGTAATAATTTTGTGATCTCAAGTGTAATAAATACAAATTAACAATTTCGCAGCGGTATGTTGTATAAAATTGTGGTTGTCGCTTATGAAATTTCTCAATTTGGTTCATACAACATATACATGTGTAATGCATTGCAATATGTGGTTAGTTTTTTTTTCATTTTATTTTCTGAAACAGCGTATTTGGATCTAGTTGTAAACCAATTATCTAAAATTATTTTTCACGCAAGGTGACAGCTGTCATCATCGACCTATTAAAAAAATGGTAATCTAAACCATTAGTTGAGAACCGCTATGAAACTGTAGGCGTCAGGAAAGAAACGATAAGGGTATTTTTTTTTACAATCGCCATGTGTTATTATACCTTAGTTAAAATAATATATGTTATTTAACTGACAAATTGATGTAAGAAAAATTAATTTATGTGATATTATTGGATATTTTATCCGTAAACATTCATTTATTACCTTCATTTCTTTTCGTATTCAATACAATTATATAAAAATAACTAAAACATTTTGTTTTTACATGTTTCAAATAATTATTAGACATTAATATACATATATAATATAATCTCTGTTTCGTGATGGCCAGAAGTATTCAAAGAAAAACAAAATACTTGAATGACAATGTTACATCACACTTAAGAAGGAGTGAGGACGCACAAGGGCGGGGGGGGGGTCTCTAACTGGGATGTGATAGTAATAGTAGTAATATATTGAATATATCTATTCGCCCAATAGTCGATTCAGTTCTTTTAGTCGTTCGTTCCTCGCTATCGTCACCGGTTGCTTCATCAAACTTTCCTTCTCCTTCTTCAAACTCAATCTATCCTCCGCGTTGTGTTCCTTGAATTCCCAAGCACCGGCCCCGTCGAATTGCAAGATGTGTGTGTGGAATTTCCTAAATAATTAAATTAGATTAATATCTAAGCTTAATTGTTTACGTGGTTGCAGTGATTACCATAAGGTTGGTCTATGTGTAATGGTCAACAGAGTGATTCCCATGTCAATAGCGGATTGATAGATGTGGCTTTCGACGTCAATGGACACGGCCGAAGTGCATTCATCCAGTAAAGCGTATTTGGGCCTAATAAAAACAAACACATTAAACAAAAAAATCAAAATCACGAACAAAAACAAAATTATTACTTATGGTAGAACAGCCTGGCCACAGCCATCCTCTGTTTTTCTCCTCCGGAAAGGATATCGGTCCAATCTTTAACAACAGTGAACCCATCTCTATCAACGATATGATCCAAATGAACCAAACTCATGATTCTCCTCAAATCCTCTTCGGTCACTTGCTTATTGATCATATCGGCTTGCGTGTCCGGATAAATAATTTGATCCCTCAAATTACCTATATAATAAAAAAAAAACACAAACACGATGCAATCACCGTAACTATCACGTATTAAAAGTTGAATTTACCGATAACCATGTAAGGTCTCTGCGGGATGTAGAACATCGAGTTCTTCGGAGTGGTCAATTGACCGCCGAAGATTGGCCAGAGACCGCTCAAAATACGGAAGAGGGAAGATTTTCCGCATCCGTTCGGGCCGGTAATCAGAAGATGTTGTCCGGGCAACAGTTGGAAACTCAGCGATGGACAGACGACGTCGCAATTGGGTGTAACGATCGGCACGTCGACCAAATCGATTTCGTTATTGTTGGTAAAGTTCACAGTACCTGGAATGAACGAACGAAAGATTAATTCAGTTCGTAACAAAAATGAAAATTTGTGAAATAATTCCGTGATTAAATTGAATGCGTAATTATATTTAATTTGTGATTTTACCTTTCGGAATAGCCTGATCGCCTTTAAAGTCGATTTTGAAAGCGGAATTCTTTTTCTCGACGATTGTTTTATGGTAAATGCCATTGGAAACTTCCTCAAGGACCGAAAACATGTTGGCTACGCGAGCAGTGTGCCCGGCCAATTCTACTACGTCCTTGTAACTGGACATCAAACGTTCGACGGCGTTGCTTCCAGTTAACAACAAATTTTTGGCCGTCGTAAAGTATTGCGTGCGCTCGGAAATGTTATCTTGGGAACCGGTGCTTCCGCCGTTTCCTTTTACTGACATTAAGATAGGTAAACTGACGACGACCATACCCGTACCGCTCCACACGTACTTCATGAGGAATTGCTCGAGCATCACGAACCACAGCTTCACGCCGAACATCTTCTCCATGTGCTGAGCGAGAATTCTGTACGCGCTCCTCAGATGCGACAGTTCGACCTTTTGGCCACCGTAGAAAGCGATCTCCTCCGAATTCGTTACCAATCTGGTGTGGACGTGTCTCAAGTAACCCTTCTTCTCGGCTTCTTCGGCGACGAGTTGACCGAACTTCGGACTGACTAGTCTAAGAATCAGAGCGGAAACCACGACGACTCCACTGATTAAAATAGGTCCGGTCACGATGTTCGCATTCCTCGATTTTGTCAGATTGGCTAAAGCTATAGTCATGAGTAGGATGTCGAACAGTGGTTTGGTTATTTGCCCGTACAAATGGCTCACGGTATTCGCGACAATCTCAATATCATCGGTTAAACGTTGAGCGCAATTATCCAATCTACCATCTAGAACCGTGACTCTGTAGTAGCTCTGATTCTTGAAATAAAGCTTGTAACTGTGCTCGACGAGTCGCGTCCTGAAACCCAAAGCTATCCGACTCTCCAAGTACTTGATCATCGAATTTATGAAGGTGGCCGGTATAGCTACGGCGAACCACTTCAGCAGCTGCTTGATGAAATTCTTTGGTTCCTTTCGCACTATGTATTTAACAATTGCGCCCTCCAGATTAGCCACGTAAATGCTCAGGAAAGTTCGCAGGAAGAGGAACGTGGTGTGACCGGAGAGCAGGATCGTCTCTTTGCATATGAAGCTCGGAATCATGATTCTGGCGAGCTTGATGAACTGCAGTATGAAGTTCAGATTGAGTGTCGGTATTCTGTTCAGGTTTCTGCGCGACTTCTTCGGACCCTTCTGCGGCACCAGAAGATTATTGTTGACGCAATCATGCTGCTTGTTCGGTTTACTGATCAGATTCTCAAGCAGCGGATACGCTACCTTCGCTCCGTACGCTACGATCACCGCCGTTATGATACCTTTCGATAAATAACTCTGATTCGAGTGAAGGAATTCCTTTGCGGAGCTCGTCTTGTCCAGCAGTTTCGAGATGACGGCCGGCATCTTTATTGTTTCTCCCCTTGGACTTCAATCACTTAGTACATTTCACCTGAAAACCCAAACGAAAACAACAGTTACTGTCGTGATAATTACACACATTAAAGTTGCATCAAAGCAAATTAATATCGTACATCATATGCGCCAATTACATTCAATTAGTTCAAGTTTCGATGCAAATTGCAATTAATACAAATGACAATTTACTTACGGTGTCCACATCTTGTATAACTTTAATATACAAAAATCTTTAAACTCCTTTATTCGTGCACGTTTGATGCATCAGTGATCTTAGAAAATGCACGCGAGCTATTTATATAGTAAATTGCAGAGAAATTTATTAAATCACAAATAATTCAAAATATGTTACTACTTTCATAAATACGACTAAACTCAAACCGACAGATTTATACAATTCATTTCTGAACGTTACAAAAAAATATTTGTATAATGTTATTAAATCAATCAGATTTAGAAAATTAAAAAAAGTATTGCTCAAAATTTTACAATATTTTAATAAATATGAATACTTACTAAAAGTAGATAGAATAATTGGGATTCACAATTAATAGTAATATTTTGGCTTCAAACGACAAACTATAAAGTGCAAGAACTGACTGGCGTGTTTATCTTTGGATACAAAGTCTCTTGAATGAGAGAATTCAATTTACCACCACCGCACACTTTCTGCAAGTAGAGCAAAGCAAATAAGATACGTATCTCCGCCACAAGCGATCAATTCTAACAGGTGTCATATACGTTTATCCACGAAAATGCACTTTAATTGCTAATCATTACTCTTTATTCTCTATCAATTTAATAGTTTAAGTCTAATTTACTAACTAGCTACTTGATTTAATCGAAGATTTATTAATAAAGTTTCGAGAATTTGTGTACCGATAAATTAAATCCTATAAAAAAACATATCTAGTGATCTTAAATAACAAAATAAAGTGGAAACTTCAAATGGAAAAAAAAGAAACATAAGAAGAAACGGTAGCTAAGATTGATGGCACATAATCACACATTATTTTAACTATAAAACTTCATGACAACAGGTTGGCTATGCAAAATATTTCAATTTTTTCGCTATACTTGTTAAGATATTGTATCTAGTAATAAATCTGCTTTGGTTAAATTATATTTATGACCTCTAAAATATAATGCGTCACACAGATTGAGATACATTAATTAGTGCAATTTTTGCAGAAATTCACGCTTCTCAACATTTCTTTTATAATTTCTAATTATCTTTATTTTTTAAATATATTTTGACGCAAGAAGAGACAGCTGTCATAATACTAAATGTTTATCTCTACTTTTGATATTCCATTGTTTATTTAAGTATAAGTATATCTCTTTGTGCTCTGCTTGCGAACGTTTGTAGAATTGCAGTTGTTTCTTTTTTCTTCCGTGCTTCCGTGCCCGGTTTCCCATGCTAGAAAGTTTATTGTTGGGAAAGGAAACTACGAATAAAACGGGTTTTCATGACCAATATCAAAATATTTTGCTTGTATTCCACAGATTCTAAACATCCGTTAGCGACTGCCGACCCATAAATCAATAACATTTACTATATGCATATGTACAGATAAATACAAGAAGCGCAGAGAGTCTACAAACATAAATTAAAAACTAAACAACATACAATAAAAGTACGCTAGTAAATATTGTTTTCCCTGTAATATATTTCATTTATTTGCTTTCGAACTCACGATATTCGCATTAATTAAAATAGTATTGAAAATATTTAGGGTTTATATTTGTTTAAAGGTTTCCCACCCTATTGACACGTTTACAGTTGGTATATTTTATTTATACGAAAACTGTTAAAATATTTAGGGTTTGAATTTGTTGAAAGGTTTCCTAACCTTATTGACACCTTAAACCTAATTTATACGATAAACTGTTAAACATAAGAACCGAATACGTTGTTTTCAGATGAGCGAATGACTCAAATTCAAAATAACAAATTAATTAAATATTGTTGTTGTTCTCATTCTGTTCAACAATTTTATTATAATGAAAATATTTATGGTTTACATTTGTTTAAACGTTTTCTACCCTATTGACAAGTACAGTTGGCAATTGATACGAAAACTATCAAATCTAAGATCCGAACCCTCATACAATTTGTCTTGTAAACAATTTGTTTATTTTTTTTATGTTTCAAAAGAACGAATGTCCCAATTTCAAAATTAAATTTGTTGTTTGCGTTCTGTTGAAAATTTTTATTAGTTAGGAAATGTACTTGCAAACAGCGATATGTTCTTGTTGTCTGGTTGTTTTTGACGCTCTTGCTTATGTCCGAATTCGACCTTCAACTATTCAGTAAATTACCGAAAGGCAAGGCTAATACTTTACTTCCTAGGAGAAAAGAATTAAAATATATTAATATATTAATTAAATAAATAAATACAGTGAAACCTCGCTTGACGAGTTTAATCCGTTCCAAAATCTCCGGATTTTTACTCTTACAGTGAAACATATTCAAAAATACACATAATATGTTTATGCACGTTTTAAAAATGATGTAGCAGGCGCGCAATTTGTTGAAAGATTTGCTAACCCTATTGTCACCTTAAACCTAATTTATACGATAAACTGTTAAACATAAGAACCGAATACATTGTTTTCAGATGAGCAAATTCAAAATAAAAAATTAATTAAATATTATTGTTGTTCGCATTCTGTTCAACAATTTTATTATAATGAAAATATTTATGGTTTACATTTGTTTAAAAGTTTTCTACCCTATTGGCAAGTACAGTTGGCAATTGATACGAAAACTGTCAAATCTAAGATCCGAACCCTCATACAATTTGTCTTGTAAACAATTTGTTTATTTTTTGTATGTTTCAAAATTAAATTTGTTGTTTACGTTCTGTTGAAAATTTTTATTAGTTAGGAAATATACTTGTAAACAGCGATATGTTCTTGTTGTCTGGTTGTTCTTGACGCTCTTGCTTATGTCCGAATTCGACCTTAAACTATTCAGTAAATTACCAAAAGCCAAGGCTTCCTAGGGGAAAAAAAATTAAAATATATTAATATATTAAGTAAATAATTAAATACAGTGGAACCTCACTTGAGTGAAATATATTCAAAAATACAAATAATATGTTTATTAACGTTTTAAAAATGATGTAGCAGGCGCTTACAATTAATTTTGCTCGTTAAGCGAAATGCTCGTTTAGTGGGGTTCCACTGTATTAAGAACGCAAATATTGATCTCGCAAATTTGTGAGCTTAAGCAATTACTAATTATACTTCCTTAAATGCTTTGCTTTGTGACCGTAACTTTCATTACTTTTGAATACGTTTGAGTTGATGCACATTAACTTGAATGCTATTTGCGAAGCGTATAAATTTGCTTACAATAGCCGATAAATACGAAACATTACATATTGAAATTCGTTCATAGCTAATTGTTTTCAACACGCGTCTAATTCGAGTCAACCTTGAACTTAACAATTAATTTTATCTAAATCCCATTTAAATTGTTATCAATAATACACTTTTTGATTGAAAACTTACAAATTAGATAAATTACCTTTATTTTTCATTAAGTGAGAAAAAAAAATCTAAAATCTTATCTTAATCAATGGTGATTCGACAGAAAATAAATACTAATTGTTATCAGTGTGAGATTGCTTGATCCGTGCAAAGGTTCAAATTACGCAAAACAATCGAAAATTGTATATTATCTCATAGCCTTCGTGATTTTTTTTTAACTATATTTCCACGTTTCTCAGGATCGATTACGCAGTAATTATACAGGAAACGATATATTTTATTGAAATTTAATTTGTTATGACATTTTTTTTTGTCTCCGCGACAATACTCATACCGTATGTTATAGATCAACGTTTCTCAATCTTGTTTTGACACAAGAAGTGACAGCTGCCACGGGTTGATATATTTTCATTATTTAATTTAATTAGTGCAATTTCGTAGAAATCATCGTTTCTCAACTTTTTTTTGTTTGTAATTGTCTCTTTTTTTTTAATTGTACAGTAAGGTTTTTATAAAAAAAAAAGTTTTGACGCAAGAAGTGATTTCATTTCGCATCGCATTAAAAATCTAGCGCATCCAACAAGTTGAGTAGCGCAGATATGAAATAAATATCTCAATTGTATATGTAATAATCACGATAATTGAATATCTCACTTTTGCGAAACTATGAAACTGTTTATTAATGCAATTCAATTACAGCCAGATGTTTTCTCCTAAGTAATTGAAGATATCGATGTTATTGCTGCTTTTACAGCTATCATTAACAAACAAATTGTGCATACTTCTTACATACATTTATCTGATAATATCATTACTTACTGCAGTGACCTGCATTATCTTGAGTGCGATTCGCTTTTCCTCCAGCAGAGATTTCTAATCCGAGCAATTTATCATCGCCAACTGCGTATTCTTTGCTCATAACATTTCCCACTGTCTCCTGCATATATGTAGGACAAATCAACGGTGCCATATTATTATTATTATTAATTGAAATCTGCATATCGAAACTAAATGCACTTAATTCTACGGTAATTTTTAATTATAGAAATGGAAAAATAAATAGTTATAAGAATCTACGAGAAAACATTTTTTTAATGCAATGGAATAAAGTTAAACTTGTTAAGAGCAAAGTACAAAATGTACGTAATTCAATTTCTTGGTATTACACAGAAAGTCCCCATAAATTAGCTTAATTGCCATCAATCTTTTATTTTGACGATACAATTTTTATGTGTCTATTCTGTAAATTTCTCATAGTTATATAAATTTTTAATTGATAATTGTCGATTTGCAATTGTTTTGTAACATCGCAATTGATAAATGAATTGTCGATAATTTTTTCATCAATTATTGGAAAGTTTGCAGGTATGTTCAAAGATAACCGTAATTATATAATTATAATGTATGATGAATTCTTCATAATGCAAAAAGCGATGATTAAAATGTAATTGAATGATCAATAGATAGGTTCAATTTGAAATTGACAAGATGCTACAGATGTTGCCTACATTTAAATGTGTTGCAGAGAGGTGGACCTTGAACATCAGACTCGGGGAAAATTAATTAACAGGAAAAAAAAGGTAAATAACAACGAAATCCACGGATCGAGCGATAAGCGTAATCGTTTCGCTTTATTTTTAAAATTAATTATAGTGATTTTCGCACGTGAATGCGATTTGCGTGTTTATTTCTTTCAATTGGCATTCGCGATGGTTTTTATATATTTTTTTTCTATAGATTTAGTATTAATAGATAAAAGTGTGTGCAGATGTTTACAAAATGCACATGTCCGTGGGGTCAAGCGTGTCGTAATAATAATAATCCAATTTCTAATATCTTGTTCAATGTTCGAGCAGACTCACCCCAAGGATCAATAAAGGTTGCGCCTTTGTGCACGATGTTGTTGTTGTTATTCCCTGTTGATATTCCTGCTGGAGGAATACAGAAAAGTTGAATATTTCGATAACTATTTATTTTTGTGATTCGGTGTTTGTCACAGATCCAACCAACATGTACGTCCGTCTCCGTACGATCTGATTGAAATCAAGAGTCTGATGGCATTGTTTCGCTTTTGTTATAACGACGATGATAAGACGCCTTGTCTTATCGCAGTAGAGACGTGACAATGTATCCTGCCGGCTGGAATGGAATTGCCTGGACCTACGTTATGTTTGTTATTATGGCATCTGGTAGCAGCGAAAGTCACGGCAACAGCAACCGTCGAACTGATTCGGCTGTTGGTTCAAAAGAGGCGCAATGAGGCGGCAGGCGGGAGGTCACTTTTAACAACACGTAACACACTGACTCAGTCGCACTCACTGCTACTGCCCACTACTGCCTGCTGCTGGACCCTACCGGTATACAATGTCGTCATCATGTGGAACGAACGCGCTCACTTTCTGCGCGCTCCTCCTGCAGAATTACGTACTCGATCGCTCATCTATTTTCGCTTTTTATCTGCCTTATAACGCGACAAGCACCTTACTTTTGCGCGTTTTATAATGCCATAAATGTACGTATCATTGAACATATAATCAAAATATTACAATTACAACATTTAAATATACATTTTTTTTTTAATTACTCGAACGTACGTAGCGGAACCTATCGTAACAAAACTCTCGCCTCGAACGTTTCGACATTCGCTTCAAACAGAATGAAAGAAAAAAACAAGTTTACTAAGAGACAAAAAAAAGAAGAAAAACTAACAAATATTGTTCAATCTCCATTTACGTAACATTTTGCGTTCGGGTTTTGTCGTAACGATGCAAATCTTGTAACACGAGAACATAGGTATTTCATAATACAAATTGCAAATGATATTACCTGCTTCCTATATAATCAAGTAGAACAAATCTTTCACATTTTGCTATGTTATTTTCCGTTCACATTATTACAAAAAAAACTTCAAAAAAAGTACGTTTATTTTAAACATGTTCTACCTTTGTTTTAATTATGTCAAGATTTGCATTTAGAAAGGATTTTTAAACAAATATTTCAATTTTATTTAATTTATCCAACTAATAACAAGGAGGCTGTACGCTAAGCGAATGCGCGACTCATTCAATCAATTTCAAAACAAATGCAGATTTAACTCGTTCGCACAAACGTACTCGATGTTCGTACGAACCTGCACTTTTCTTCAAACGCATGCAAATATTTCAATTTTATTTGTTTGATCCAATTATCCAGAGCTGCGACAAGGACGAGACAAATGAAATTGCACAAATTCATTTTATAGTAAACTATTGTGTTTTCTTTTGTACTCGCTTTCTTACATATTCATAATCAACAAATCGACTTCACCCGAATCCACACGCATAATTGTTTACACTTCAATGAGAAAATAAACTAAAATTGACGTAGTTACAATGTAATCATAGCGTATATAATTTGCAACTTTCTTCTTACTTGAGTAAGCAACAAATATACAAAGAAACCAAGATTTCAACCAATCAACCACATTTATGTTTTAGTAAAAGTCGCGTTTCTTCAAATTCCTACAAAAAATCGTATCAATGAATGATCTTTAACACTGAAACTACATTCATTATATATTAACATATTGAATAGTCGAGATTTTCATCAATTATTCATCAAGAATTTCTAAATCTCTTATCACATTTTTGTTGTTTAAAATCTTATTTAATTCAGAAAAGCTTTTCACCTTTTGATTTACATACCAGCTGCAATAAGGAAGAGAAGACGGAAGACGAATTAACCAACGTGCGAATATGAAAGTCTAAAGAGCAAGCTCGCTTTCAGGTTCACTGCATCTAATACATTCCATTAATCATTATGAGTATATACCTCCGACGAAGATACTGGAATATAAACAGAAAGAAGGAGCAAACGAAAACCCTTCAGATTTGAAGGAGAAAGACGGCACTCACCGACAGGCGGAGAAGAGAAAGTGCGTTTTTATTGACCGTTCGTCTTTCACCATATCTCAGAGCGTAAAATTATCCTAGCAAATTTACCTCGTATCGTTTACATGCATTTCCGCTGTTTATTTCGTTCTATGAAGCATCCGTTTCCTCTGACGTTTTTTTCTTACTACAACACAAAAAAAACAATAATTTATATTAAGAAAATTTATGTTTACAAAAATGGACACAAGGTTTTTTTTAGTGCGCAATTTTACGCAATAAACCTTGTATTTCATTTTCTTCAATTCGCTCTTTGATAAAAAGAAAAATTAAATTTTATTTAAGTATTAATTGTGTTTTTTGTCAAAAAAAAAGAAAGGAAAAGTATTAAATCGCAACTTGGAAGCGGGAAATTTGAAAAATATAAGCAAAATTATATAATTTTTGACTGAAATAAATGGTACTTTTTTGTTTATTCAAAAAATAGTACATTTCAGTACAATCAGGTTTCACTATTTTTGAACATGTTTTCGGCGCTTTATTTAAATGTTTACATTCGCCACACGACACTTAATACATTAAGTGGTAAGAATATATCAATATTCAAATTAGTTTAAAGATATATTGCAGGTAGTGATGATAATGAAGAAGAAACGACATTTTTTTTTTCTTGAAAAATAATAATTTAATTTTAAACACTAAACGATGGGATGTGGAAGGAACAAAATACATATAATAAAAATACAAAAATCTCTAGAAAAATGCTTTCATTTTTTTCATGTTTTGTTTGTTTATATCAGTTTTTTTTGTTTTGTTTTACTTGGGTGTGCAGATTTTGTAGTATTACGTTTTTCATTTAAGTTTTCATAAGCATCAAATTCCATTTGTTACCAAAATAATAATACATTTACAAAATAAAAAAAAGAAACAAGATCAATCAACAGAATAAAGTGAGACCTGAACAAAGTAAATCAGAAACTAAAATATGAATAATTATAGTAATAATATTAATAATAGAACGTATGCCATTAATATTTCAATAATAATAATAAAATAACACTGTCACGTAAAAAAAAAGTAACGAAACTTGCAAAAAAAAAATATTGAAATAAGAAAATAAAACTTAAAATATTATTAATAAAAACAATAAATAATTTATTTTCCTTGCCACAGTTATTTATATGCATATAAAATTATATATTATTGTGAAAGAAATACTTCTTGTATTTTGTTTTATCGTCATGGCAATACAAGCCCCCGAAATGAAAAAAGAGAAAAAAAAACGTAAAATAATAATGACAGTTAATTACAGAGAAATATTTTGTTTTAATGATCAAAGTGTTATCAGATTTAAAATTTTCTTTTAGGTTTTTGCATCTAACGTACGTACTTGTTTTTTTTTTGAATATTTTTGTTTATGTTTGTTTAATTATATATACGATATAGTAAATTGTTAATTAACGGCTAAAACCTAAAAACTGAAAGAGAAATAACTTAAACCTAGACAAAAAAAAAATAATAATTATTAATATGTATATGAGTCCAGGAGAGACTTTAAAGCCTTTTGTGTGTTTAGCCTCTTCACTTCTTTTTGTTTTTATTGGTTGCGCCCCGCGGCGGTGTAACGGGCCTGCCTGCATTTAAACCCCCGTATTGGAACTTCCTCTTGTCCGCGGGTTTCAAAATCTGGAAGCTGCACATCAGAGTCTCGTCCACGGACATCATCGCTCCAGCGTTATCGAACTCCCCTGTTAATAACATCCAGCACATTAATTTACAACCCTACACGATAAAATTAATGTACTACTTACCGCAATAGTTTGGTGCACTGAACAGCGTGACGAGTTGCCTCTTCGCGAAGAATTCGTAACCGTCTTCAACGACTTGATGAGCTCGGCATATTAAATCAAAGTCATGTTTTGTGAGGAATTTGCCAACCACCTCGGCTCCGAATGTGAAACTCACGCCTCTGTCGTTCTCGCCCCAGCCCATGGTGTCCTTATCAGGATCAGACCAAAGCAAATCACACAGCAATCCTTGGTCAGGCACGTCGGTGGGCCTCATTATCCGCCTAATTTGTTCCATGGACTGCAAGTCAGGACTCAAACCGCCATGGCAACAGAAGATCTTTTCATCCACAATAGCAGCAACTGGCAAACAGTTGAAGCAATCTGTGAACGTTTTCCAGAGTTTGATGTTGTATCTCCTCTTGCACTCATCATAGAATCCGTAGATACGATTGATCGATGCACATTCATGGTTTCCTCTCAACAGGAAGAAGTTCTCAGGATACTTGATTTTGTAAGCAAGCAGCAAACAAATTGTCTCTAAGGACTGTTTTCCACGATCTACATAGTCTCCAAGGAATAGGTAATTGGACTCTGGTGGAAAACCTCCATATTCGAATAAACGCAGCAAGTCATAATACTGACCATGGATGTCACCTAAAACACACACGAATTAATTACAAATTGTATCTATTCAGTTAACTATATGAGACTTACCGCAAATTTTCAAAGGAGCTTCTAGTTCCAATAAAATGGGCTGGCTGAGGAAAATCTCCCGCGATTTCAGGCACAAACCTCGGATTTCGTTTTCCGTCAATTGGACATTCTTGCCAGGTCTCGCCCCTCGGACTGCAATCGCGGAAAAACAAAGTTCTAATAATTAAGGCGTAACCAATAGATAGATTACAGGGAAAAGCGCCGCCATTTTTTTTTTCATATATTTTTGTAAGAGAAATATTTTTGCTCACCTTCCAATAACCTGGCTATAATACTGTCGATATTGAGCTGAGATTTGTCCGCCTCAGCCATTACGAATACTTGCAAGAAATTTCAACACTAAAAATGGGAAGATTCCTTAGATTTTCGTAGATTTAATACAGAGTTTCTCCTCACATAAACAATATCAACTTTGACGGATCGACGGATAGAAACTACACCTACCAACTTTCACCCCAAAAAACGAAAATATTACTTTAAACTACTGCACACCGCACACACATAATTTTCATAAAATCATTTAAAGTAATTAAATAATATAGTTAAACCAACATTAACATTTATTTACTTCCAATCACGCACAATTACCCAACAATTTATTGACATATTAAGGAAGAAATATATGTAATCTAGGGGAAACTTGTATCGTGTGAAGTTGGTAACATTGTATACCACAGAGTGAAAGATAGTTTTATTTTGTTGTTTACAATTTGTTTATATTCTATTCGAATACATTATAAGATGGTTTCGTTTTAAGTGCAGTGCAATATATTAAATATTTTAAAATAATAAAGGAATTAATTATAGTTTAAACAAAAATGTTAGAATTAAGTGATGAACTTCAAGTGCTGGAGCTGAGGGAACCAATATTCAAAGACATTAAGTTTTATGTCAGTGGTCTAGTAAATGAGAAGGTACTTTATTAATCAATCAATTAAAGTTATACTATAGATTTAATTATCTTTAATGTTTCTAGACATTGGAGTTATTGAAAAATGGAGGAGCTGAACGTATGAACTATTTCACAGATTATGTTACACATTTAATCTGTGGCCATGAATGTGAAGAAACTGATTTGTCCGATGCAAATGACCTTTACGAAATACCAGCTTTATATGAAAAATGGATTTACATTTGTTCAAAATTGAGATACTTGGTTAACACTAAACCATTCCTGTACAATCCAGAAAAGTTATTTTCTAATTTAGTATTTTGTACTACAAGATTGGGCCGAGACAAGGCTAACCTTTGGTCAATTGTAACATATCATGGGGGCAGGTTTCAGCTGAATTTCGATTCAAAGGTTACTCATCTGATTGCAATTGATCTTGAGAGTGAAAAATGTAGGAAAGCCTTGGAGCTGGGACCAGAAAGAGTCTGTATAGTGAGTCCTGATTGGATTGTGGAATCTGTGAAAGCTAAACATTTTGTGGATCAAACCTTGTTTCATCCAAAGCTTATCATACAGCCAAAAGTAATTAAAAGAGCAGATACAACTTCTATTACTGGATTTGAACCTGAAACTTCTATTGATGATGGTAATATAAGCAGTAACACTGCAGATTCCACTCAAGCTCTGCTGGATAAGTTGAAGCAGAGAATGCCTTGGAACCAGCCTGATCAACCTGCCACTGCAGCCGCAGCACCACCACCACCACCAAACGTTGTAGCGCCGAGTTACAATGCACCAAAGAGCGAGGGACAACTTTTTAATGCATTTAATTCTGCCACCCAGGTTCCTAGGAGCATTGTCCATCATACACCACAATCTCAGTTCAATTTTCAACAACAGCAGCAGCAGCAGCAACAAAGACCGAATTTGAATCGTATTTTGGAACACCTGCAGCAGAGGCCGAATATTGGATCAGCGAATTTGAATCGCCTAAATCCACAAATGTTGCAAAACATTAGGCAAAAACAGCCTGGAAATTTACAAGCGCTGCAGCAGCAGTCTGCAGGTGGTCAACAATTAATTCAGCAAGTCTCTGGGCAGTTGATACAGCAACAACAACAGCAGCAGCAGAGTGGTCAAATAATTCAGCAGCAGCAGCAACCTGGTCAATTAGTGCAACAACAACAACAGCTTCCTTCACAGATAATGCAGCAACAAGGTGGTGGGCAGATAATGCAGCAACAAGGTGGTGGGCAGATAATTCAACAGCAACAACAAATTCCTAGTCAATTAATGCAACAACAATCAGCTCAAATGGTACAACAGAATAGTAGTCAAATATTGCAGCAACCACAACAGCAAACTGCAAATCAAATAATTCAATCTCCACAGCAAACAGGTGTACAGCAAATATTGCAACAATCTCCTCAACAACAAATTATCAACAGGCAAATAATTGCCACCGGCAATGTCCAACAACAGTTACAAAGTCCGAAAATGCAGCAGTTACTTCAGCAAAATCAGCAGAGGATTTTGATTAGCCAAAACCAGCAAGGGATTGTTATGCAGAAACAGCATTTAGAGCAGCAGCAAATTGGACAACCACAAGTGTTGGGGCATCAAAATCAACAGATAATACAGAATCAACAACAGCAGATGATGTTGCAGCAGCAATCACAACAACAAATGCTGCAAAAGAATCTCTTAACTCAGCAGCAGCAACAAGGTTTGATAAATCCGCAGCAACAGACAATTGTAAACCAGCAGATAGTTCAAAACCAGCAAGTCGTAAAACAGGTAATTCAATCACCGAATCAGCAGCAGTTTGTGCAGCAAAATAAATTTGGGCAACAGATTATTGTTTCAAGTCAGCAACAGCCCCAGCAGCAGCAGCAGTTTGTCGGTAACACGGGAGCCCCGCAAAATACATATCAACAACCGCAGCAGCAGCAACAACAGCAACAGTTTGTCCAAAATTCTCCGCAGTTTGGACAGTTTGTTCAACAGGCAGGCGGTGGAAATTTGCAGATAGTTAACCAGCAGCAACAGCAGCAGTTGATTAATCAGCAGAAATTATTGGTGCAACAACCACAGCAACAAGTTGGGCAGCAACAGTTCCAGAATCAACCGAGACCACCGCCGCAAGTTTGGCAACAGCAATTAAACATACGCCATCCGCAAAGTGTAAATATTATACAGCAGCAGGGAACCAGGGTACAATGGGCCGGTGGGGCACAACCACAGCAATTAGTTCAACGTCAATTTATTCAGTTGGATGCTCAGACTCATCAAAAACTTCAACAAATGGCGCCCGAGGAGAGAACGCTTTTTGTGCAGAAGCTGCAGAAACGCAGATTACAAACGCAACAGCTGCAGCAACGCGGCGGACATATATTCATTCGAAACATTACCTCCGGGATAAATAATCAGCAGCACATGCAATGGATTCAACAGCAAGCTCAGCAGGGTATCGTATTACAACAGCAGCAGCAGCAACAACAACAGCAGCAGCAGCAACAACCTCAATCCTCGCAACACGCTCCAAGATTAAGTCCAATTCAACCAACAGCGACACAACAACCACCAGCTCCCTCGACTCCTGCTCCACAATTCCCGCAAGATGCTCAACAGAATATACAACTACAAAGGCAGCAGTTGCGATTGCAAATGCAACGCGAAGCACAAAAGAATGCTGCGGTTCAGGCGCAACAACAACAACAGCAGCAGCAGCAACCTCAACAACCTCCGTTGCAAGTTGTAAGGACACAAATTGTGGAGCAATCTCCATCAAATCCGGTCCTCGATGCAAACCAACAAAACCAATTGGTGAATGCCAAGACTAAAACAGCACTGGCAAATCTGCTGAGCAGTCGATTGCAGAGCGGAGGTACAACTGTTGGTCCAGGTGTCGAACAACCTCCGATAGCTGCAGAACACAGTGCTGCCGGTACACTGAGGCTGATGACCGCTCAGCACAATGCTGCTTTGAATTCAAACAGGGCTCAAGAAATATTGGCTATGCAACAGCGTCGAGCAATTAGTACACCATCTGGAGAAGTCATTAGACCTCCAGTTGTACCACAATCTGAACCACCTAAACTACAGTATTCTCCTAGGAGCGTTTTACCTATACAGCACAGACCTGGCACATTCTATGGTCACAATCCGAACTTGAAACGTAATTATTTGTAAGATACATTATTGAACAGTTTAATGAAATTTGTTATGGTTTCAGTTCCTTCAGATCTTTTCCTCTTGGGATGTATTTTTGTCGTGGTTGAGATAGAAAGATACTTGGACGAATCGGTTCCTGGTTGGCAAAGGAAAATCGAGAAGCACGGAGGTGAAATTGAGAAGCAGTATTGCTCGAGAGTGACGCACGTGCTTTGTGAGACCCAAAGACACGGCGTCGTGATGCAGGCATTGCGCGACTACAAAAGATGTGTAACGCTTTACTGGTTGTCAGATGTGATGAATCGTAAGCAAGTCTTGCCTCCTTGGACTGCTTTACATCTGCCAATGATGTATATGGATACAGTTCCTGCTTCGAAGCATTTAATTTCGTTGACCGGTTTCAGTGGAACAGAAAGGGAAAGGGTTAAGCACATGATCAGATATATTGGAGCTACTGTAAGTCTATCAAATAATTACAAATATATTTTGACAAATTTTTCATTTTACAGCTAACAACATATTTTTCAAAGCATAACACGCTACTCATTGCGACAAAGCCCGACGGAACTAAATTTTCTCATGCCAAAAAGTGGTCCATACCTGTTGTAAGCGTGCAATGGTTGACGGATGTAATGTTGGGTAATTTCAGTGCCCTCAATCAAATGGAGCACGTCAAGTACCAGCAGTACTCTCAACCAATTAACTTTTGTTTCGACCCAAGTTTGGTTCCGAATCTGATGCGTAAGTATAAAGCTAGATGCATATAATAACATTACAATAAACTTTAAATTATCCGCAGATGCGTGGAAGATGCCAATTAACATTTCGCAGGAGTCGCACGAACGTGTGAAGAGAAGCGCATCTCCAGGACTCAACCCGCAACAGAAAGTGAAGAAAATTAAAAGCGAACACAACGAGAACGAGAATCTAGAGAATCTACCGCAAAGTTACACGCATAGAATTTTGTTCTCGAGATGCGAAGGAGAAAAGGATTTGAAGAATTACGTAACGTATGTCTATTTTTTGGATTTATCTTTTACATGATACTTTTAATAAATACCTATATTTTATTGCAGCCAATTGGGAGGTTCCATTGCGAGAGCAACGCAAGACGCAACCCACCTAGTATTACCGCAATTGGTGCGGACAACAAAACTTCTGCATTGCATTTGCCTGGGCGTGAAGATCGTCTCGGAATCGTGGATCAAAGATTCCTTCAACGCAAAACGGTTTCTGGATGAGAACAATTATAGCTTCGATACGAAGGAATTCAATAGCAGTTACAAATGCGACTTCGAGCAAACCATAAACACGCGGAACAGGAACAAGCTGTTGGAGGGTAAATACTTTTTTATCACACCGAGCGTGTTTCCTAGCAAGAAATCTCTGACCGAAATTATACAATCTTGTGGCGGCATCGTCGAGAGGACGAGGAGATCCTTGATGCAAATCGAAGCAACAAACATGAATTCTCCATACAGTTACATCATCTTGACGCACGAGCACGATCTGCATCTGGTAGCTGATCTGTTGAAGAACAAGAAGGATAAGATAAGGATAGTATGTAATATTGAATTGATTTTAAGCGCAGTATTGCGACAGACGTTCGAAGTGGAGCCCTATGTTGTTAAAGTTATGTAAAGAAGAAATATATTATTTTATTTGGTTGTTAAAGTCATGTTATTTTTGCTTACTTGAATTGATGAAATATATACAAATCATACATTTTATATAATATAAGAAATAAATATATTTTTATTCGATTGGCTGCAATTGATGTTTTTAAAAATATTCAATAGTGGCGCCATCTCCTGAAATTTAAAGTTAATTTTTTGGTCATAAATAAACTTAACCTAAGCAAAGAAAATTAAGAGAAAATGAGTTTTCTCAAGTTCGTGCCTAAAAGGTATTTAAGTAACGATGCTATCAAACCTATGCTTACAAATAGGAATCCAAGAAATTTGGAGCGTATGAGAATAGGTTACAAACCAGATGGTTACCATTTAGAAAACGATGTTAGAAATTATTGGCACAAGTAAGTTACATTTAAATCTTTAAAGAATTGAATTGATAAAGTTATATTTTCTAGATTAAATTTGGATGTCTCAGCTAGATATGTTAGTGCTTCAGTGCACCATTTCAAAAATGGGGAAGTGTTGAGTGCCAGCACAAAAGAATGGGCCATCAAAAAACAACTGTATAGGAATAACGATGCTGCTGCCTTCAAGAACTTAGGCAGAGTTTTAGCACAAAGGTGTATGGAGACTGGATTAACTGAATTGCATTCAGATATTGAAACAAAAAATCCTGATGGAAAAGTAGCCTTATTTCTGAATGCACTCCAAGAGAGTGGAATTACATTGAAAGAGCCAATACAGTACAAAAAACCAAGGGCATGGGATCAGGAAAGGCCAGAGAAATCATGGGAAATTCAATAAATAAAGCAACTAAAGTTGTATAGTTGTTTCTTTTTAATTTATAAATAAAAATTCTTGTCTACATAATTCTGGCGGATACCGCAACTGAAGCATTATTCTTCCTTCTTGATATCCTCGTAGAGTTTCTGTGGGGAAAACACGATTAGTTTAGACTTTAACATATGATAGAGGTTATGTTATGTAACTTGCCCCTTGATTGACGCTCCTGAAGATCGATTCAGCAGACAAATCGAAGGTCCTTTCGAAGAAGAACGTGCTGGCCATAGCAAGAAGGACGAAAGTGGATGTCCTCTTGAAAATAGCGTTGTACAGGGTGGAGTTCAGAGCCATTTCGCTGATTTAGTTTTATGGAATCTGCAGAGAGGAAAATCCAATAGCACTGACAATCAGTTCAGATTATGACTTTTAAAGTGACAGTTGGTGACAGTGACAGCAGCAGGTAGTGTTACCAATAGCGTCCGACCATTTTCAATTTCTATCATAACATTCCTGATAATTAGATTACAATTATGTACTTTATATAAGGATGCATCCTTATGTTAATCCTGAAACATTAATTAAATTACGTAATGTTATAATTGTGCTTATGTTTATGTGATTAAGAAAAGTAGAGCCAACTTCATGTTGTTTTTTTTTAAAGAAAGAGATAATACGCTTGTATGTTGGTGAAAAGGGAGCGTAGTAATTGTAAATTAATGTGTTATTATCGAGAGGCGGCTCAGAGAGTGGCTTTTCCTTTGATTGGTTGAATGTAATGGCGTAATGATGAGTGCATTTTAAATAGCAGCTGATTGACGTTAATGGGGTAAACTGCATCGGCAGTCTCGACGACTTCACGGCATACTAAATAAATAAAGTGTAGTGTCATTTGTTTCGATGATTAGCGTGTTTATTATATGTTTTCATATAATAAAACATTTATTTCACTCCTGACGAAACTAATTGCCTCCGTTCACCGATGTTCTCGAGTGCCAACTAGCTGCTCAGTGAAAATGTGAATTCCAGCGAGAATTTCAGTGTTCCTTCATCGCACTTTAATCGGATTTTCTGAATGATCAAAACATGGGGGCGAAAGACTCGAAAAGGACGTGCCTCAGCTACGAGGATGCCGTGAAACGAAGTAAGTTTCGATAATATCCATTTCTTCCTAACTAATCCCCGTTTTTAATGACAATCGTTATTCCGGTAAGGAAAAATCAAGTCCAATAAAGTGTATAACTGAGCCATCATCATGTGATTATGCATCATACATATTATTCATTTGTTTTATAAAGAAATTCCCATCATTTGTTATTTTGATCAAGTAGTTTTGTTTCAATCAGAAGTCAGACTTAGATTAAATATATTTCTATATATATATATATTGAATTACATACATTACATTGTTGGATTTGATAATTATCATTTTGTTTATTATCTTTATTATCTATATATCAATTAATATTGAATGTAGACTGTTTTCAGATGTTTATTTTTTGTGTGTTACAGTGAGTGATGTCGAATTCAAGAGGGTTTGTGAAGCATTTAAGAGATTGACTGGGGGTGGACAGTTGCTGAGTCGTCATGCCTTCACACAAAATGTCCTTGGTGATGGGGTACCAGTGACCATAGCAGAATCTTTATATATAGCTTGTGGTGGTGGCCCCAGAGGGATTGCCCTCAGGGATCTCATCTGTGGATTGGTTCTGCTCACAAAAGGCACAGAAGATGAGAAAATCAGGTAATACACTTAATTCGATTTATACATATATATATATTTGTATGATTATTACAATTTATTATAGATTTCTGTGGACGCTTTACTCAAATGATTCAGGCACATATATATCAAGAACGGATTTTCAATCTGCCTTGCAGATTGAAGGTTCCTTACCACCTAATGGATCAAGTGGTAAAAGCAATTTATCTTCATGGGATACCACTCTGATCTCACTCTTTGGCGTTGGCCAAGATCGAGTTGCTTTCGATCATTTCCGTGCAAGAATTCTGTATAACAAAGAGGCAACGATTTTATCAAAATGGTACGTTGTTGAGATTGTATTAATGGTTGTTTCGTGATTTTTGTTTCTAACAGTTTTTTATTCTAACAGGTTGCTAAGCACGTCATGCGTAAGTTTAAGTTCCGAATTGGAGACGCCCACCTTCTACCAATCCTTAGCCGGTGTAACTCATCTCGAGGAATACGATATCTGCGAATTGGAAAAGTGTTTTTGGTCTATGCAAAGTTCTTCGCATTCCGGGCAATTGGATGCCGTGTGCGTTAGTTCGTTAATTAGTCCTCCAGTGCCATCTAGTGCTTGTCCAGGGTAAACAACAACGACATTAAGCTTAAAATTGTTTAAAATAATTTTGTTTTTTCTTCTTTAGATTATTTTTAGCTTTAGATGTGAATCGCGATGGTCACATTGATTTCAAAGAATTGTGCTGCGGTATTTCTGCAGCTTGTAGAGGACCAACCGCTGAGCGCATGAAATTCTGCTTCAAGATCTTCGATATGGACAGGGACAATAATTTGAACCCGGAAGAATTTCAGCACATGGTCGAAATACTAGCGTTCGTCATGGAAGAGAACAGGGAGGTTCTACGGTACGAAAGGGGCGGGACTTTGGAAAGGCGGAAACGTAAACAGTCTGTTGCCAGTGTGACCAGCCGCAAGGAGTTCATCGACGATTTGAAAAATCGTCGAAACGCTCAGGGCAATTTGAGTCAAGAGGATTTCTTGGTTTGGTGTGTCGAGAACAACGAGTTGATTGCACCGCTGCTCGAATTGCTGTACCAAGTATGTCACGTTGCGTTGGGCTTAAGGCCTGACTGTCGTCATCATGAATATGAAATAGTGATGGGATGGTTGGATCGCGAAGAGCATCGGGGCTATATGGTAGGTCAATTTTGGTATTTGATTTCATCGGATTGGTGGAAATCCTGGCTGAATTACACGACGTCTCAGCGAACATGCTACGACCAATGCAATTGCAAGAGGAACCCAACTGTTTTGTCTGCTGCGATTCCGCTTTTAGAGGAAGGGATCGTGTGCGATGAAAGCTTCACGAGCAACAGTACAGACTATACATCGAATGAATTTACTTCAAACAGTACAGATTCGATGGGAGATTTATTAAGTAGAGCCGATAATTGCAGCATCGCTTCTAGTTCTGGTGTGTCTAGCAGTTGCTCTGGTACAAGTTCGGGGAATAAACGAGGAATGCCCGGACCTATAGATAATTCCAGTTTGGTGGAAATGCCGGAAATTATTAATAACAAAGTCGCGACGTTGACGGGAGAAGGCGGCCGTTTAAAGCGTGATACACCTTTGGTGCAAGATCGAGACTTCGTTTTGATCCCAGATTCTTTATGGAAAGCCTTGGCTTTGTGGTACGGAGGACCTTTGCCTTTACCGAGACAAGTTATCAAACCACCAGGTAGCAATGAGGTCGAACTAGAGCTGTACCCTTTGAATTTGAAAATTTTGAGACATCAAAATCAACAGGGAGTAGGATCCGGAGGGCAGAACAATTGGGGTACAATTGTCGGAGGGTTTGAAATTTTTTGTTTCTGTAAATATTTATAATTTTTCATATTTTCGTATCGTATTTTAGGTATGGTGCAGCTGCCTTGTCAACAGCTGGATTGTCGCCAGCAAGTTCTGCTGTTGCTGCTGCAGCACCTCGACGATATTTGACGCACACTGCTGCTTTTAGTCGATTGGCGAACGTTCGTCAAGTTGTTGATTTTCTTGCGGTTCGTCTGTCATTGCGCGTCGAAGATATCAGATTGTGGTTGGTTAAGGAAACTTCGATACTCTTGGAAGATGAGTTATCAACGTTGCAGGAACTCGGTATCGTAGATTGCGATCAAATTTTACTAGAGGTCAGAAACAAAGATTTGACGTGGCCCGAGGAATTGGGAGCTCTCGCAAGTGGTGCTAACAATCTTGCACTGCAAGTCACCGGCGAGAGACGACCTACAATCACACTTCCTCCAGGTATTATAATAGTAATAGTATTTATGTATAATTATTGAGATTATATCGACTATTTATTGTTTCAGGTGCAACCGGTTTACACAATTTGGGAAACACTTGTTTCATGAATGCTGCACTGCAAGCAGTTTCGAATACTCGACCTTTAACGCAGTATTTTCAGAGAAACGGGCAACTGTGCGAGTTGAATAGCTCGAATCCCTTGGGCACGAAAGGGCAGGTCGCACGTCGATACGCTGAACTTTGCCGAGAGTTATGGGCCGGATCCACCCGATCCGTGGCTCCCCTTAAATTGCGTTGGTGTGTCACTAAGCATGCCCCGCATTTAGGTGGTGGTGGACAGCATGATTCTCAAGTATGACACATTCTCATGATCAATATCCTTTATTGTTGTGACCTACTAAAATTAAATTTCAGGAGTTACTTGCTTGGCTGTTGGATGCTCTTCACGAAGATTTAAATAGAGTTGCGAAAAAGCAATATACCGAGTTAAGAGATTCAGATGGAAGGCCAGACACGATCGTGGCGGATGAAGCCTGGCTTCAGCATTTAGCCCGAGATCACTCAATAATCACAGATTTATTTTACGGTCAATTGAAAAGCAAAGCAAGTACAACGATTACGTGTTTTTTTTTTAAGTTACAAACATAATGCCATATATTTTGTAGGTGAAATGCGAGGTATGCGGTCACGAATCGGTGCGATTCGATGCGTTCAATCTTCTAAGTTTGCCTTTGCCAATGGAAAGTTTCATTTTGTGCGAAGTGCTGGTGGTGAAGTTGAGCGGAGAAACGCCAATCAAGTACGGAACCAGATTGAATTCCGAAGCTCGTTATTCAGAGTTGAAAGCTGAGTTGGAGATTCTGTGTGGTGTTCCGGCTGAGAGAATTCTTTTGGCGGAAGTGGCGTACTCGCAAATTCGTAACGTCTTATTGGACGAATCCAAAATCAGCGTATCCACTGCTACCGAATTGTATGCGTACGAGTTACCAAGGGCGCATGAGATCCATCGACCAACGATAGAAGTCCTCGAAGAAAATGGTATCAATAGATTTCCCTGCTTAATAGCTAAATAATAAATTAATAATAAATAATTTGTTTGAATTTGCAGAAGTGGAAGTTCTGTCGGGCCAGAGTCCATTGGCAAGAAGTCCTGAGGTAAGAAGCAGATCGGCATTATGCATGCCCAACATACTATGCTTTAAGGTACGCACATTTACTACGAACACCATTTTCCATTTTGCGTCATTCCATTTGAGTATTCGAATTCGAGTAATCTTTTCCTCACATTCAGATAAAAAAAAATTTCTCACGTGCTTCTTTTCCTCTTCGAAAGTCACGAAGGGTATTAATGATAATAATAATTACTTGTGCCATCTTCCACCAGAAATCAGTATAAAAAAGCAAACCTCAAGAAAATCTCCACAATGCAAATTGTTAAGTAGTTATTTGTGCGTCTTGTATGTATATCTCAAGTTATGTTCTACCTAGGCTTTAGCTTTAAATGTGTTTTGTTCTAATCTGTGATGAATGTATTGTAAACTTGTTTGAGCACTTGTTCAATTTAGTGTAGATTATTTTAACCTGTGCAAAATTTATTTGTTTTTTTTGTAATCTTTTGTGTGTTCGTTTGCATTCAAAACACTATTTGCACAGTATTTCAAATTCAAATTATTATGTAGAGTATTTGATTTACTGAGAATGCAATTTCTTCTATTAGTAGCACTTTTTTTTTAAAGAATTGAATGACTTCGAATGACATTCTCGAAGATTAAACCAGAGATGAATTAACATCGCTGTTTTTAAATCTTATTTTAAATGTTATGCCTAGAGTGTTTTTTTTATCTATTTTTATTTTTTAATAATATATAGACCTTGATGGTCAATTTGTGCAGTTTAAAATCCAATTTTGAAATTTGCAGAACGCGACTCGGGCAAATAGCATCGATATTACAACAGCGGCACGTCGTTTGTCCAATGGCATTCACTATAAGCGTTCTTTAGTCCCGCAACATTCCAATGTTTATACAGGTTCTATACTAGTTTCACTCGTGTTTCTCGTGTACCTAATGTTAACTTATATTTGTTGTTGTTGTTGTTGCTGTGTCTAGACACTCCAGCGAAGAGCCCCACGTATTTGATGGCCGTACACAGGAAGTGCGTGCAGCAGGAGACGTATTTCCTATCGCAACATAAATCGAAACCTAGCATATTCGGTGTTCCTTTACTATTAGGCTGCAATCCGGCGACGACTTGCAAGGGGTTGTACGAAGCTGTCTGGGATCAAGTCAATCGTCTTCTGAGCCCGATGCCTCAGAGCGACCAGACCAATCATGCCACCGATTGGTAAATATTTTAATCAACTGTATTAACTCGACGTTATTAATACATATTTATTTTTATTTAGTGACGATTCCTTAGGATACGAATTTCCTTTTACACTTAAGGCGGTACTGAAGGGCGGTCAAATTTGCGCTTTGTGCCATTGGACTCAATTCTGTCGAGGTTGCAGAGTTCCTTTGAGTGAGGAGATTCTATTCGACGCGTGTAAAGCCGGAAGGAGTGTCATGTGCATTGCCATCGATTGGGATCAAACGGCTCTTCATTTGCGTTACCAAAGTACCCGGGAAAAAGTGTGGATAGAGCACGAGTCTGTTGGGATCTGCAGGAAGCTGCACACGGAACCCATTGACCTGGACTATTGCCTGAAAGCGTTCACGTCGGAGGAGCGTTTGGAAGCCAAATACCACTGTTCGAATTGCAAGGAACGGCAACCGGCAACGAAGAAGCTGCAAATTTGGCGATTGCCTCCTATCCTGATCGTGCATTTGAAGCGTTTCGATTTCTGCAATAATAAATGGGTGAAAACCCAGAAGGCCGTGAACTTCCCGTTCAAGAATTTCGATCCTACCTCCTATTTAGCGTCGGTACCTCAGGAAACCATCATTAGGCATATTCAGATCAAGGAGGAGAGGAAAGATAACTCTTGCGAGATCGTGGATGAGGAGAAGCTCGTCGATTTCGAAGGCACCGAGAAGAAAAGGGAAAAACCGCTGGTCAAGAGGCGCGAACGTTTGGAATCGACGAGTTTAACGAAAACGCCTATAGTGGACGAAAATTTGCAGGACTTCCATCAGCATAAATTAATCGACGGCCAGGATCCGTTCGATCTTAAGTATCAACTGTATGCTGTTGTGGTGAGTCACTGTTTTATTATCTTTAGAGTTTGGTTGGGATCAAATGATTTGTGTCAGTTTAGTAGACTCTTGAAAACAAAGTGCATTTTTTACGTTCTATTACTGGAAAGCTAAAAATGCCACTAAATGAATAATAAAGAAATATTCTGTTTATGGACAAGCCACCCCTTAAAAAAAATAACTCTATGTATGCATCTACTCAATAAATACTTTTTAAACTTCAACTTTATGGACAAGTTGCTTTTTCTGAATGAACTGGTGATTTCAGCCTTGTTGCAAGTGCCGATGAGGGTTCTGTTTAATGTTAACCGCACTTGGGAACTTTTAATAATAATGTAATACATAGTACACATAGCAGTTATTAACACAACATAATAACGCATAGATTTGATTTTATTGAGAAATAATATCTTTTTGTAGAGTCACTCAGGGATGCTGAACGGTGGCCACTACATATCGTACGCCTGCAATCCGAACGGAAGCTGGTACTGCTACAACGATAGTTCGTGCAGGGAATGCGTCTCGCAGAACTGCGAATCCAAACATGTGAAGCAGCAACAGCAGCACGTCGACGACAACAACAAGTATTGTTCGTACAGCAATGCTAGAACCCCAAAGATAGACACCAGCTCTGCGTATATCCTCTTCTACGAACGCAGCGGATTGGATTACAGGCCGTACCTTCCACCCGAAGTGGTCGCGAACGGCGGAAACGTTGCTTACTTGCAGGAGGACGAACTCGAGGAGAACGAATCGGAAATGAGGAAGCAACTGTGCAATCTGCAGTGAACAAAAAAAAACATAACAAGCAACCATTTAAAGAAAAAAAAAAACAAATATCATAAATATATATATATATATATTTATATTTGTATTTGTATATCTACGCCAGTATTTTTAAGCTTTTTCCAAACAATTTTTTACGAAAAAAATTATATTTTTTTTTTTGGATTATAAGAACAACACACGTATTGTGCCTGATTAATTAATGAATCAACAAGGAAATTTTCGTTTGTGCGCTTCTCGGTTTAATATTATTATAATATAAGAAAGAAGTAATAATAATAATTACGTGGCTGGCACTTTTGTAAGTATTCTCTTATTTTATTTCTTTTCTTCTTTCGTTACGATACGCGAACAGCCCCATCTATTGTATATGTAATCATAATATTTGTGTATATTTGGATAAAATTTAATTGTTGTTACATTGATAATATTTGTTTTTAGTTCTTAAGCCAAAGAGATTGAGAGAGTTTTTTTTTCTGTTTGTTTCGTGTATAGATAACTTATTAGTTTCGCTAGTCTTGGAAACAATTGCGTGGGAAAGAGATGTAAAACATATATACGGTACATTTTTGCTATATATTCTAAGAAGCAAAAAAACTGTTTTGTTTTTTTTATTATTATTTTCGGGTATATTTCTTTCTTTTTTTTTTAATTCAGGATTATATAAACAAAAAGGATGTAAGAAAGAAGACTGTCTACCGTTTGTTTTTTTTGTTTGTTTTATATGTAATTTGCAAAGGTATAATGATATGAGATATTAGTTATGTATATTTTTGTTTATGTTTTGTTTAGAGCCATATTTGTAAATGATTCGTTGATATGATTTATTCGGTCTGTGATTATTGATTAAAAAAAAAACAAAAGTAATAATAATTATTATACATAATAATAATAATAAGAGAACAACTGCAACAATAATAACAACAACAACAACAACTATATTAAGATCAAAGTAACCATTGAGAGAATGCCAGCTGCACTATTCAGGTTTTGTGTGTTTAATCAATTTCCAACTTTCGGAAGCTCCCTTGCACCATTTCCTCCCCGGCCAACGAAACGGACGCGTACTTCTTGGGGATGCTGCTGCACCGGACTTCCTCCTGTGATTTTATGTAGTCGGCGTGCGAGTTTATTTCCGTCTTGATTTCGTCGAACATCTCCTCCAGACTCTTGCCGCACGTTCCCTCGTAATTCGATGGGATCATATCCGACGGGAAGAGGTCCAGGAGAGGCGTGTGCGACGTGTGCACGTGCACCTACAAACAGTGATATATACACACATATATATATATATCCAATCGAAAAAGAAGGTCGCTTTGTAAATTAATAAACAAGATATTTAAAGAAATAAACATAATAACTATATCAATAATTAAGTCTACTTCATTCACATTCGTGCCGATTTAACACGAAAAATAACACCAGGGGTTCCCAACAAAAAAAAAAGAGAATTTTAAAAATCGACACCTAAATTTTTTATATTGTAACACACTAAAATCGCCAATAATACCATAGCAACAGGCCATTTATTAACCCGTAAGTACTATGACCCACCTGATATTTGTTTTCATTCGCATTCTATTGTAATTTAACTACAAGGGATCCATGTTAGAGTTGAATGTTTCCGCGTTAATATCATCTTTGTTTAATAACATTAAATCTTTAAAATCTAAATTTAACTGATCAAACTTCAACAATATGCACATTTTTCTTGACTCAATAAAATGTTATTGCCACAGATTTATCAATTTACCAATTACAGAATTAAAGATTTCAATGAAACAGTGCAAACAACCAAGTAACTTCCGTATGAAGATGCAAATTATTATAAATTTCATTATACAATTTAGATAAAGAAACGGTTGAATTTTTCACAAGGTCAAACCCTTATCTACCACCCAGACCCTTTTTGAAATTAACACATTTTTGTTAGTCTTAGCTAAGGGGTCGAACTGAGAGGAAGTCTTACTTGGGAGAGTCCAAGGAAGAGCACTTACTTCATAAATACTAATTTAAGAGGAGTATGTAACTCTTAGTTAATAATACCTGAGATCAACTATTGTTTAGTTGAATTCTCAATAAAACTCCGATGTATATAATAAAGTTAATTAAGAATATTGCATTTAATATTCATAAACCCCTCTAAGACTCCACAACGACACGACATAACTACGAGATAATCCACGGCGTCCAAGGGACTTAATCAAGGGACACGACAAAACGTTCTTGCAGTTAATGGAATTTTGCAAATAAATGAAAAGAAATATAAAGGCAAATATTGAGGTGATTTTTGTCCATTAAATTAAAGCGCAAAACTCATACATTATGACAATTTATGTAGCCAAACTTTGTTGTTTTTTTGATATGTTTAATATCTCTACCAATTCACGCGTCGCCTAATGCAAGTCTTGATTTCATCATTGTTACTAGCAGTATTTTAATACTAAAAAAAACAGCTCTAAACTTAGCGAATTTATTTCCTAAAGTCTTTTTAGCTAAAGCAACTTCTCCGTAAACAGAATGTTATTTAGTTATTAGTTAATTGTTTTTTAACAATTCTGTTATTATAGTTCAAATAATGTAAGCAAACTTGTGTTGTGTATCTGGAAGGTTATTCAAAGAAACCTGTTTGTGCGTAACATGGTAATATAATTTAGATTTGTTGCTATTAAAATTGATCATTATTGAAGCGATTACATCTTTTTATTCAATTGAAATTGAAGTTTTTATGGCATTAATTATTGTAGCAAACTTATTTGTTTAAATCCAGATTTGTACAGATACAGTTCTAAATTAATCAAGATGAATCATAAAGTCGATTAATGAAGTGACAATTATAAAACTCACCCGATGTTTGTTTTTCTCCTTGACAAAATTCTTCAACGTGTTAATGATCTTGGCTACGACTGTGCTACCATTAATGATAAGCACAGTTTCGATGTTCGTCGGTAAACCGTCTTCGGCTAACTTTATCAGCGGCTTTAGAAAGTTGTGGAATATCATCGGGATGAAACCGGGCACGAAATTGATCACATCGAAAACCAATATATCGCCCAGACGTGCTATTCCCTTGATGTGATCCAATTGCACTGCAAAAATTAGTTCAGTTAAAAATATAGTTCGAAAACAAAAAAAATGCGAATGAATAATTACCAAAGAATAGCAAATACCTGGCAATATCTTCGAAATTATAATCGACCGGTCGATTGCTGTTGAATCTGACGAAGGAGATCCTGAAACCGTCCGGGGTCAAAGAATTTGTCGTTCCAATGTTTCTGAAATATAAATACATTGAAATAAACTTTTGTAAAAATAATTAATCAAAATTATTCTCACATGACGCTTTCGACCTTATCCACGGAATCCCTGTTAACGTTCGGGTTTAAAAATAAGTCCGGTAAAGTCGCTTTCGTTATAAAGTAATTCTCCAATTTCCTCTTAGTCTTCTCCAAATTATACTTGCAACTCCTCAGATACGGAAGTAATATTCTTCCATCTTGCATTGCACATTAACAATTAATTATTACATCAAAGAAAACAGTTAAAAAACAAATTTTACCATAATTTTTAGGCATGTAATCCGTTTTCTGCATCCACTCTTCGAGTAACTTAAGACAGTTCTTCGTCTTTTCCGCATCCTCTCCCAGTTTAACGAGAATATCTTCAACTTGATCGTTCATCTTCTACTTAAATTACTTCTTGACTGCTTCGCGTCTTGCTTATAAATGACAATTAGTTGAACTTAAACTGACCGAAGTGTAATGGTCATTGTTGTCCTTGTAGAACAAAAAATATCGAAATTATCATAACAACTTTATTTTTTTTTTGGATCAAATTCTTAATTGTTTTTTTTACAAAAAAATTCTAATTGTTGATGAACTTATATATTATAGTAATTATAGTTTTTTTTTCTTTAAATTAAAACATTAATTATTTGCGTTTTTCATCATTTTCTATTTAAAACAAAGACAAAATCACGGCGAATTCTAAAATTTGGAGACGTACAAATTTAATCCTAACCACTTGTTGTTACGCCACTGCTTTTTTAGTGTGTATATTTCTCATATCCAAATAAAATGCAATTAGTAACTTACATCTATTATTTCTATTTCAGCAATTAATTGAAATGGTCTAATTGATTTGACCGTAGCTATTATGAATTCGCACAATTTAAACATGTTGCAGATAGACTTTGGCACATATAAATGAGCCAGTTTCATGTACAAAATGCATCGTTATTATTATTATTATATTGTTGATGAGTTTATTAGAATTCTCTGAATAAAGTGCAATTAACCGGTCTGCACGAAAGGAGAAAAAAAATAAATGTAGTCGCGTTGCGTGTAGAGTTATAAAATGAAACTTATATAAATTGAAGCATTTTTACTTTTTTTTTTGTAAATATCTGCTACAAGGATACTCGAATGTCGCAAACGTCGTTTCGTAACCGGAGAAATTTTCTCTATTTCATTAAAAACAAAAGCTATATAATATGAAATGCATAAACTTGTATTTCTTCTGGAGACGTTTCGCAATGACTTTCGTGGTTTCTCGAATTCATTAATTCACCTGACGATTCGAATTCAGGTCGCGTTCTAATTTGATCATAATTTTTCCAAAAGAAAGAACCAAATTTGTCTTATAATACATATGTTTAATATTAATATTATTACATAGTCAGCCTTCGTTTGAACGTACAATTTTGTTTTTATATTGTTAGTTACGAACTAAAGTATAAATGTTCGTACGAGCGAACGAACAATGTCAGTTTTATTATGACCATAGGTTTTTCTGTTTGTTTTATTACGTGTTTCATAAATACACAATCATATTATTAACATTTATTAATTACTTAAGAACTTTAAATATTATTTTTCACCAAATGTCAGGACTAAATCACAATGATGTCAAAATAAATTAAAAAAAAAACTATTATTATGCCACGCTTCCCCCAGTTTAAAATATCTTATTTAATGTTAATGCCACCACAAAATAAAAAGTGTTTCCCCAAATAATAGTACCAAATCGTAGATCACATACTACAATTCAATTTTTAAAACCAATCTCTCTGAACATGTTCAGAGACTAAACTATATGATAATTTTATTTGACATTTTTCTTGTTTAAATATTTATTTTGACAGCATTATGGCGTGAAGTTTGTTTTCTATACTTATGCAAAGTTTATCAGTTAGCTGATGCCGGTCCTGATATTTGGTGATTTTTTTTTAAGTTTGGCATTTGATAATTGTTTATCTAGACTTTCCGACGTGTCATTTGTAATATTTAAATCTATTGCTGATTTCCTGCAATTTCCAGTCAAAGTTGATTTTTCACAAATCATCAATTTTCTCAATAACTATACACGACACACTTATGAATGAGCACGCAAATTAAAGCTAAATGTTTATGTTTTCCAAAGCGCTATCTTGATTTCCTGTAATTTACGTTTTTTCAAATCCTGGAAAATACTCACATACTACAATTCAATTTTTAAAACCAATCTCTCTGAACATGTTTAAAACTTGAATGATTTAACATTCGCAAGAAGCGTGCAGAGACTAAACTATATGATAATTTTATTTGACATTTTTCTTGTTTAAATATTTATTTTGACAGCATTATGGCGTGAAGTTTGTTTTCTATACTTATGCAAAGCTTATCAATTATCTGAGGCCGGTCCTGATATTTGGTGATTTTTTTTTAAGTTTGGCAATTGATAATTGTTTATCTAGACTTTCCGACGTGTCATTTGTAATATTTAAATCTATAGCTGATTTCCTGATCAATTATTTTTAATCACTTTTTTTTATAGATCACATTTATAATTGATGCAATTATTATCTTAATTTATTTGCACTTCATTTAATAAACAGGATATGCGTGTCACTTTCCTGTACATATTACACCTGTCATGATTTTTTTTTAATTATTTTTTATTAGAAAATATTCAAATACATTTTCATTCAAATAAACAGAAAAAAATACTATTCCTACTACTACTACTACTTGCCGCAATAGAAGTTTCATATTGATAAAACGGACTTACGCAGAGTACCTACAGCTAGTCTGCGTTCGTTTTGTCGAGTGAAACATTGCGTTTAAATTATTTTTTTGTTGTACAAATTTGTAGTTTTATACTTTCTTTCTTCGTCTTTAGCATCTCATTTGGAATTATTCGTATTATTCGTAAGCAACTATGATATGATATTATAATCCTTTTTTTTTGTATTACTAAAAAATTGATATGTAAGGAAAAGGAAAGTGTTTCAACTTAATTAATTTTTATTTTATTTACGATTAAAACTTAATTTACACACATTAATGTAATACATTGAAGATCAATTTATTAACAAATGTGTTGTGCATAAGTAATGCGTGTGATGTAAACCGTTGGACTCATTTTCTACAGTTTCAAAGTCATCCGCTCTAAGATGTTTGTTTGTTTGTCCGAGTTCGCATTTAATTACAATTTCCTTCAAGAGCAACAGGTTTTGTTTTTTAAATTCTATGTAGTTATTAAAGTAATGAACACTCTTCTCTTCCTTTTAATTATTAAATTATTTAACAATAACAATTTACATATGACGAACATGTTTCATTTGCTTTATTTTGTATTTAGGTGAAAATGGAGTTGGTTTTGGAAGGTCCGAGCGAGGAAACGTTTAAAAAGATTCAGGATCAATTGGGTGAGGTGACGGAGAGGTTCGAACACAATGTTAAGCTTCTGGAGGAATGGATGGCGTGTCAACCGCATTTACCAAAAAACTATGGTGAGTTGCAAACTGTGATGTTTTGCTTAAAGTTAAAATTTGTAATTGTTTTTTTTTTAAGATAAGAGAATTCTGCCAATATTCCTGAGAGGAAGCAAACACGATATGGAGAAAACGAAGAAGAAACTTGAGAGTTATTTCACGGTGAAAGCAGCGATTCCGGCGCTGTTTTCAAGGCGAGATCCGGAACGCAAAGACATCTTGGAAACTATTGAATATAGGTAAGGTTTTTTTCGAATCATATATGTGCAAGGCGTAGATGTATTTATTGCAATTATTTTAAATTTATTCGCAAACATATCTACTTACTAGTGAATACGCAAAGTTCATTAATACTTTGGACTTTTAAACTTATGTTCTGTTAAAAATACAAATGTTTCGGCTTTACAACGTATTATCTATCATAGTTGTATCTATTGCCAATTTCTTGTAATTTAAAAATGATGTTTTTTTTAAGTCTCGAAAATCGAGTGTTTGTACAATATCATCCATTTTCTCGATAATCATACATGACACAGTTATCAACGACCACTCCTTTTAAAGACAAATGTTTAGATTTTCTAACGTGCTAAATGTTATAGTTGTATCTATTAACAATATCCTATAATTGAAAAAAAAAACACGTTTTTTTAAAGTCTCGAAAATCGAGTATTTGTACACATCATCAATTTTCTCGATAACCATACATGACAGAGTTATCAATGAGCACTTCACGTAAAGACAAATATTTAGGCTTTCCAACATGCTAAATGTTATAGTTGTATCTATTGTGGATTTCCTGTAATTAAAAAAAGACGTTCCTTTAAAGTCTCGAAAATTGAGTGTTTGTACAAATCATCCTTTTTCTTAATAACCATACATGACACAGTTATCAACGACCATTCCTTTTAAAGACAAATGTTTAGGTTATCCAACGTGTTAAATGTTATAGTTGTGTCTATTACCGATTTCGTATAATTAACAAAAAAAGTTTTTTTGAAAGACTCGAAAATCGAGAGTTTGTGCAAATCATCCATTTTCTCGGCAAACATGCATAACGCAGTTATCAATGAGCACTTCACTTAAAGACAAATATTTAGGCTTTCCAACGTGCTAAATGTTATAGTTGTATCTATTGTGGATTTCCTGTAAATAAAAAAGACGTTCCTTTAAAGTCTCGAAAATCGAGTGTTTGTACAAATCATCCTTTTTTTTAAATAACCATACATGACACAGTTATCAACGACCACTCCTTTTAAAGACAATGTTTAGGTTTTCCAACGTGCTAAATGTTATAGTTGTATCTATTACCGATTTCCTATAATTAAATAAAACACGTTTTTTTTAAGTCTCGAAAATCGAGAGTTTGTGCAAATCATCCATTTTCCCGGCAAACATGCATAACGCAGTTATCAATGAGCACGACTCTTAAAGACAAATATTTAGGCTTTCCAACATGCTAAAAGTTATTGTTGTATCTATTGTGGATTTTCTGTAATTAAAAAAGACGTTCCTTTAAAGTCTCGAAAATCGAGTGTTTGTACAATTCATCTATTTTCTTAATAACCATACATGACACAGTTATCAGCGACCACTCTTTCTAAAGACAAATGTTTAGGTTTTCCAACGTGCTAAATGTTATAGTTGTATCTATTACCGATTTCCTATAATTAAAAAAAAACACGTTTTTTTTAAGTCTCGAAAATCGAGAGTTTGTGCAAATCATCCATTTTCCCGGCAAACATGCATAACGCAGTTATCAATGAGCACGACTCTTAAAGACAAATATTTAGGCTTTCCAACATGCTAAATGTTATAGTTGTATCTATTGTGGATTTTCTGTAATTAAAAAAGACGTTCCTTTAAAGTCTCGAAAATCGAGTGTTTGTACAATTCATCTATTTTCTTAATAACCATACATGACACAGTTATCAGCGACCACTCCTTTTAAAGACAAATGTTTAGGTTTTCCAAAGTGCTAAATGTTATAGTAGTATTTAAAAAAGTTTTTTTGAAAATCTCGAAAGTTTGTGCAAATCATCCATTTTCTTGGTAACCATGCATAACGCAGTTATCAATGAGCACGCCTCTTAAAGACTAATGTTTAAGCTTTCGAACGTGCTAAATGTTATAGTTGTATCTGTTGCCGATTTTCCGTAATAAAAAAAAAAGTTTTAAAGTCTCGAAAATCGAGAGTTTGTGCAAATCATCCATTTTCTCGGCAACCATGCATAACGCAGTTATCAATGAGCACTCCACTTAAAGACAAATGTTTAAGCTTTTGAACGTTCTAAATGTTATAGTTGTATCTATTGCCGATTTCCACGGCAAACAAAGTTGAAAAAAACGTATATGTAATAATAATATTTTCTCAGCGATTTCGTGGTAATGCCCAAGTTGACACCTGAAGGATACCGAGTGACGATCAGCAATTTGAAGACCAACGACTTGAGTAAATTCAAAATCGATATCCTGATGGCCCGTGGCGCGTTGAGCGGTAATTGAAGAAATATGTGGTGCACTCTTTATTGAAAGCATTTAACACGAGTTCTCTTGTTGTTGTTGTTGCAGCTTGCTTACGGACTGCTATGGAAACTCCAATTTCCGGAGACGTACTGATCTACGATGCGAGCAACATCTCAGCAGCTCACGCCGCAATATTCTTAACACCGACCGTTCGTAAATGCATCATCGACGGACCGGAAGCTTATCCAAATCGATTGCGACAGATCCACGTTATCAACGCTCATCCGATTATCGATAAAGTCGTATCGATAATAAAAACGTTGATCAAAGAAAAAATACGCCAGAGGGTGAGTTTCTACGTGAGTCCTGTTGATCTTACTCATTTGCATTAAACGTATTGCAGTTTTACGTGCATTCAAAGCCCGAAATGTTGCTCAATTATATTCCTTCCGAGTGTCTGCCGAACGAGTACGGTGGATCAGGAGGAAAGCTTGAGAATCTCTCGAAGATGACGCATAACTTTGCAGTGAAGAATGCCGGATGGCTAAAAGAGCAGGAATCTGCTAAGCTAATTGGACCACTTCCAGACAAGTACAGGTACGACGAGGATTATGGAACAGGAACCGAAGGCAGTTTCAGAAAGTTGGCGATTGATTAAAGCATCTTTCTTATTAATATTATCTATTTAATTTTAAAGAATTAATTATATACTTTTTATATATTCTTTTCTTTTTGGTCTAAATAAATATATCTTTAAGGGTATGTACGTTCATTAAATTTCTCTTATAGAAATATTCACAAATTAACTTTATGTAACTTTTATATATGCAAAAATAAAATATAAAGTAAAAGTCGAATACTTTTCGAGTTATGAAAAAAAATCCTCATAACACGGCCATTTTATCAATTTTATTTAACCTTTTTTATATATCAAAATTTGATTAATTAATCAGGCGTAAATTCGAGTCGAGTCGTCTGCTACGAGCTGAAGAAATTGGAAAAAAAGCGATTAGGATTTTCGAAGTTTGATGGAAAAAAGGATTTTTGTTAATAACTCGAAAATCAATAAACTTTTGTTGCATTCCATGATTGCGAAAGAAGGGCGCAACTTTTTATGAAACAAAAGTTTCGTAATGTTCGTTAAGTAACATGGAAAATGCTTTTTTCCTGATTATTTTACAGTGAATTTCTCGACAATCCTTCAAGATGCTCATATGCAAAATAAAATATATAAAGAGTTGAATGCTTCTCGAGTTATGAAAAAAAAACCTCATAAATCCCTAAATTTGAAATGAAAAAAAATTGTCATTAGAAAACCATCCCTTATATTTTCTAACATATTTGTATATGTTTAAAGAATTAAAATAATTTGAATTTAATCTAAATTCAATTTTCTAAAACTTCCTTGAGCTCCGAAAATGGAATCATCGAATTTGTAGCTATTTTCGATGTTCTTCGGTACGACGCCCGTACACTTTTGGTTTCCCCATTCCCTCAGTGTCTCGTTGTTTCTGGCAAAGTGATCTTTCCATTCGGCATCCAAATTATCGATCTTGCCGCATTTCCCTCCGTATTCGAGCGGTAACACTTCCTCTCCCACTACTTTCTTCAAGCATTCAGATCCTTGATGCACAAAGAACTACAAATACAAATTACTGAAGTTATATTGTTTATTAGATTATTTAAGATTGTATTGGATACTTGCCCTTCTTTTTAATTTATCTTTAAGAAAAACCTTGATGCCAGCAACCAACGCATCTAGATATGGACTAGCGTTAATCAACTGGACACTGCGGATTCGGAAAGGGAAACTTTCCTGTAGCAGGCGGATGCTTTCCTTGCAAATTACAGAGAGAAACTTTGAGCTGTGAGCAGCACTGAAGACGGAGCAATCGAAGATGAAGATGTCGCTCGTCGTCATCGGATCGAAATTAATCCTGTAATCGACTTTAAATCAACAAATCAACAATTATTTTAAATTGAGGATTCAATTATTGTTTTAAGAAAGATTCGGAATTGCTATGAAAACGTACTAAATATCCAGGAGATTCTGTGTAACATCATGGAATCAAAGTTGTCCAAATCCACGTTTCGTAATTTAAAAATTGTAATTCTTTCGCCGCGTTCCGTTAACTTTGGTAATGGTAGAATTATGCTTTAACAAAAAAAAAGACTATGTAATAAATAATGCAAATTAAAGATATCCACTCACTAATTATTCCATGTTTTCATGAGCTCCGGATCCGTTACGTCCCTGTCCGCAAAAAGATGTGGTATTCCTCGTTTTCCCATCGACAGCAACGTGAATTTTCTCTTGGCTTTTTCCAGATCATGCTTACTACCTCTGATGAATGTAGTCAATGCGTGTTTTGCTATAATTACGAATTAATGCTTATAACAAAAATACTCTGGGGAAAATCTTCTATTTTCTCGGTTACCATATAAAACACAATTATCAATTAGCACTCAAATTAAAGACAAATGTTTAGGCTTTCCAACGTGCCTTCTGTCATATTTGTAACTATTGCCGATTTCCTGTAATTTACTTTTTACAGTTTTTAAGGCTCGAAAAATCGAACGTCTTGACAAAACATCAATTATCTCAATAACTATACACGACACAATTATGAATGAGCACGCAAATTAAAGCTAAATGTTTTCCATCGGAAAGAGCAGTTGTTTCAAACACCTTCATTAAAGTTAATAATAATGAGTTACAAAACGATTGATCATTTTGATTATTGATGATAAAGTATAAAGTTTCCATTCAATTATCAGCTAATTGTTGTACTTCCTCCAATTATTGATGTTCAAATGAAATCCTTCTTTTTTTTAAATCATTAATTAATTTATTTTCCAGCAAAGCCCAATTATTCGTGATAAATATTTTATTTAAACAAAATACAGTGGAACATCTCTTAACGAGTTAAATACGTTTCAAAGGGTGGAAAGACCTCGGTCGTTAGCCCTTTGGCCAGCATATTAGTATATATATTTTTATTGTATGTTAAAATTTATTTATGTATAAATTGTACTTTTTTTTCTCTTCTTCTTATGTATCGATGTTTGGCCAATAAATTATTATTATTATATTACGTTTCAAAATTTCCGGATTTTTACACATATAGTGAAACATATTCAAAAATACGCATATAATTTGTGTACACAAGTTTTAAAAATTTATCACGAATAAATTATTATGTTTCTAATATTACGTTTTCTTTGTTAAAATTGAAGAGATTTTCTTGAATAAATTTGAGACTTACCAATGTTTTTAGGCAAATAAGAATGACAGTTGATCCACTCTCTGAACAACTGCAGATTCCGCTCCAACCTTTCCGGCGAATCTTCGTTCAACTCTGCCAGAATATCAGGGATTTGGGAATCCCGCGGTGGAAGTAAAAGTTGATCGTTCTCTATGACCATCGTAGAAGATGTGTTTTCGTTGAGTGCAATGTGTTAACGTTGTTTAGAGTTTATATCTGATACCTGAAGTGACCTTGTCTGCTGATACCTCAATGCATGATTTTATTAATAAAAAAAACTAGTAGTTGCTTGATGCAAGTAACATATTATATAAAATATTTTCGGTCCAAACGTTTGTATTTGCGCATTTATTAAAATATTTATAGAAGTTACATATGTCATGAACTTATTATATAAAATTAACAGATTTTCGCTCCATTTCCAAACTTTGATGTTAGTTTTATAAGTATTTAAATTTCCAACAAGAAGGCCTTGTCCTTTCAAAGTCCTTTATTTTTTCTTCTTCTGTTTACTTGCATACTTGATGATTCACATAATTGATGTTTGAGCATGTGCGTAAAATACATAAGAAATGTCCAAAGTTTTCCTATTAATTGCTTAACAAAAATTCAAACGTTTCCAAACAATTGTTATTAATATAACAATTACAAGGAAAATGTGACGCACTTAAATTTATTCATAATTATGAGTTTAAAAACTTTCTGCAATTCATAATGATATCACTGTTATTGTCGTGTTAATTGCGTAGGTACCTCAGAGGTTAAAAAAAAAGTGAAAAAGAGTTCTATAGGGAGGCCTAGCAAAGAAATGATTTTGTTTTTGACTATTCACATTTCGGTCATTGAGATTTTGAATGTCGATTGCGCAAGGCTAAAAAGTTAAGAACGGGGACGTTCGAAAACTTGGACTGTTTAAAACGAATATTATATTAGACCGGCAGAACAATATAATGATTTTGTTTTTGACTATTGTCATTTTTATCATTCAGTTTTTGAATGTTGATTGCGCAGACGCTTCAACGGTTACAATGATAAGCAAGATCACGTTGAAAAGCAAAATTACTCAGAAAACAGCCAACATTCGTATATGCTGAAAAAATTAGAAACTTCATAAAAAATCCATCTTGACGAATCTTAACAATATAAAGAAATTTTTAAGTATATAATTGAACGAGAAGAGAAATGTATAACTTACAGTAATTTTAAGGGAAATAGAGATAACAGTTAATCCATTCCTCGAACAATTTCAAATATTGCTCCAGCCTTTCGGGCGAATCTTCTTGCAAAGTTGAAGATTTTCTATGCCCATGATGCGAACTCAAGCAAAGTGAAGATCGCTGATGACGATGTTATTATTGTTACCTATTAACTGTAATATAAAAATTTAGATGCAGCAACTTATACTTATAGCCGAATTTGAACGAATGTGCGTTAATCGATCTAATATGTAAATAGAGGAATTCATGTTTCCCTTAATTAACTTTTAACAAACGCAATAATAATAAATACAACAAATGGCAATTTCCATTTCTTCAAGGTGGACATTTTACCATGTTTATGTTATGCACAACAGCTTTTATTTTTGTGAAATCCATCGATATTTGTTGTTTTCCTCGAGAAAACCATCAACGCCTTAAGACCATTTGATTCCATTAAATATTATATTCAGTTAGAGATTTGTATTTTATTCCGTTCTCAACATTTTATCCTTTGTACATTCTCACCTCTTGTTCATAAGCTATCTTAATATTAGTTAGATCAACTTATTTATTTACATTTTAAATTACAAAAAAAAATATATGTGTAAACTCATAACATAAAATGCATTTCTATCAGTAGAAATAAAAAATGATACCTAAACATAAAATAATAATTATATTTATTATAGATGTCGCGATTAAAAGAATTCCGCGGCACTCTGCCGTTTAGGTACGTTGATTTTGAGTAAATCATCGGTTGAAATGTCGTCAACTTTCCGAATGCCCAAGTTCATCTTCGGCGTCTGCGGTGTCCTCTGCGGCGTTTTCGGTGTTCTCAACAACGGACTATTTGTAGAATCCAATCCAATACGTAATCTCGAACTGGCCAATCGTTGTGCTGCAGGTGACATACTAGATAACCGATCGATTTTCGATGAGTGCGGTCTCGGCGACGGACTAAAATATGAACATATAAATAAAGATTGAAATTGATATTAATTGAAATCGTACCTTGCGAAATGTTTACGAGCTGCGTCAATGGCTTTCCTCTTCTTGTCCCTATGTCTTTCGCTTGCTTTTTCTGCGAGCGCGAAAGCGAGTTGCTCTCTTTTCGGTGGTTCGCACATTTTGAAGCTGGGACCCGCCGTTTTCGGCATCGGCGAATCCAGACGGAACGGTGTTCCTTCCACTTCACCCCAAGTCATCAGAGGACTTTGCGCTACGCCCGGACACGGCGAAGGTGTCCGAACCAAACTGAAACCGTTCACTCTCGGAGTACCTGTAATCAATTCTTTACCATCGACGCCGATCTTTCCGTCTTGAACTTTAGCGTGCTTTTTAGCCATCTCATTGATCGTTTCCGTATTCTGTGTATCATTGAAAGGATTCAAAGATAATCTAGTATTAATGTGATCGACCTCCTGTCGTTTTGAATTAATCTCCAATTGCTCTTGCTTAGTTAAAGGAACACCATCAGGCACATACATAATGTAATTTTTGTTCTTATAACACCATGTATCCACATTTAATTTTTTATGTGGTAAAGCTGCCTGTTGCTCAATATTAGGCAAAGCCAAGCATTGTTGCATTTCATCTTCACTCGCCTGTTCCTCATTATACAAATACGAGTATTTCAGCCTGTGCCTCTTCTCTGCCTCCTCCATCATCTCTTCAAAACTTTGATTATCCTCAGAGGTATGAGTGTTTAAGTACTGATCAAGAGAAAGTTTTCTAACAATTTTTGGCTGCTCCTGTTCACTCAATCCTTTATCTGAATTGTTACTTTCGAATTGTGTATGATGGATGTTTGCAGGAGTTTCAAATGTTGCGGGACTGGAAACTAGAATAAACATAATTATTAATTTATTATCAATTTGATTATAAACAAATACATACGTCTCTCGGATGGTGTTGAACTGCCACTGTACTTAGCATTCAATTCCCTTATCTTAACATAATCGTTTTTTTCCACAGCTTCCATGTAATCATTCTGGGCTTTCAGCATATGCAAATCCGGGAAGAAGTCTCTCTCTATGATTTTACCCATTTCCTATAAAGCAAAATATATTGAATCATTACACATACACAATTTGAATGTGAAATACATACCTCTACGTAAGTCTCTTCATTGAGAACCTTTTGTTTTTCTTTCCAACGCTTCTTTGCAATTGGTAGCGGCTTCTTGAACACCAAATCAGTCTCCGACGATTTAATCACTTGCACGATGGACATGATGCCAAAATTAACTGCAGTACAATAATAAATGATAAAAATAACCTCAAAATAAACCTTCTTCGACTGTCAATCAGTCAATACACCACCAGCTGATTTTAATGGATGAAGTACGCGCCTCCTGGTGGTCATTTAAGGTCTTAAGAAGCAAAACAGTGGTTAGACCACCAAATATACTTGTTTCTGAAGGTTGTTTGAAAGCAGAAACTTTAATTACATTTTTATTTTAGAGCTGGAATTAATTATTATTTAAGAAAAATCAAATATTACGAGCTTAACATTAATATATTTTTCAAGTTTACATTCAATTATGAATTAACTTAACATTTGAATGGATTTTACAAAAAAAAAATATATATTTACAAAAAAAAAGGTTTCACTTTATTATATACTTCATAAATTAAAACATATTTATTATATTAATAATAATAATTCATTGTTTCGCGTTGCCTTTTAGTTCATTACTTGATTAACTATGGATAATAAATTCAGTTTTACTTAAAATATCTTTTTTCTTGTTATGGAGTACACGGGTTTACGAATACTCCGTCTTGATCGAATCTCATAAATCGACGTTCTTCAAATTGGACGAACTGAAATTTGGCAAATTTTCGTTCTCCGGCGGAACGAACACACCGATAGGCCTAATCGACTCGCGCTTATCACGAAGCTTACTCAATTCCAACTTGAGTTTATCGAGAATGGCAAAATTTGGCGAATTCACGGCCGCCTTACTTTGCAACAAAGTAATCTCCTGCTCCTCGAGTTTCTTCTCTTTGAAACTCTTTATTGATCGGTTACCGTACAGACGTAATATTGAGCCCCAATTGGAAATGTGCGGATGCAGAGCCTGTTTCAATTAAAATAAATTAATTAATTTATAAAAAAATAAAAAAATATTTATAAATGTACTTGTAAGATGGCTTGTGAAGCTCGTTGTTTTCCATCGCGTTTGTTCTTGCAGATCACAGTAGCCGTGTGCTTTCCAACGACCATGGTAAATTCATTCTTCTGATGCTTCAAAGTGTGACCCTGATAGCTGATTTGTATATCACCTAGACCGAAATTCCTTTGCAAGCAAGTGAGTAAGATATCGTGCGGAGACGGTTCCGTCGTCTTCGCGCAGAACTCGGCGACCCTCGGATCCTCGATTTTGATTTCGTCAAAAAACTATTGAACAAAAAAGAGGCAACATGATTAAACTGTAAAGAGATTAAAATAGAAAATGCTAACCGATAAATCTTGATCCTTGCTGGCACTCGTGCTACCAGTTTTATCGTCGGCCATAATTTTAGAACGCATCTCCGGTATCAAAATTTCGAGCGTAGCTTTTGCAGCTTCGGATTTCGCTTGCTTTTTACTCGTCCCATATCCCATGCCGTATCTCATGTCGTTAATGCTGACGGTTGCAGAGTACGGTGTCGAAGCGTTCTCCAATTCGGCAAACTTGTACGTGGGCTGCTTCTTCAAAGCGTGCTGAACGTATTCATGCAATATGCAGACGTACGACTTGCCGTTCGGGTTCATGATCCACTCTTTCTTGGGCCCGCCCGCCTCCTGGTCTGAAGCTTGTATAGGGAACGTGATAAGTTTAGTGCCGTCGGGTAGAGTCGGTCTCTGCAATTGCTTCTCGTGTTTCCTCCTCTTGCTGAATTGTCTTCTTTCCGACCACGACTTGAATCTGGTCACCTTTATAGTCTTGAAATGGAACAGCTTTTCGCAGTACTCGCGAACCTGTTCCGGATTTAAGTTATTGGACTCTATGTTTTCAGTTATTGTTTCAATTTTGGCGTTCGGTAAGTCTTGCGAATTGTCTTCCTCCTTCAGTTTCTCAACTTCCTTCAACAGTGCAGTCTTATAGCTCAAACAGGGAATACCGCTCAAAGGAACATCATGTTTCTAAAAGAAAAAATATATATATAAGTATTTATAAAACAAAACAATAAAACAATTAGTATATAGTAAATTAGTGTAATTACTCTGGCACTTCCAGGTCCCAAGAAGTAAGGTTTCGAAAGGGTACACACTCTAGATTGCTTATGCAAATATAGATGCATACCACTGTTGTGTGTAACTTGCACCCAACCTTCTGGAAGAATATCAAAGTGATTATGGCCTTTCTCAATTAAAACCGTTTTTTCCTTTTCTTTGTACGGCTGTGCACCTACAAAACATTAAATTACAATCATAATTACATTAATGTTTACCACTCACTCTCTAGCTTCCTCTTTCCATCTTTAAAAGCATCCTCAAGCATTTGCTCAATTTCATCATCCGGTACGTCAGTGTCCGAGCTGTATTCTCCGTCAGACTCGGAGTCATGCTCGACCTCGTCCAATACATGAAACTCCCTCTTGATCCCATTTCTGAACGGGCACAGATTCTCCTGATATTGTTGTTGCTCTTCATGCGTGTCCACATCCATAGTACTTGTCATTTTTGTTTTTTTTTTATTCTCTCTCAAATAAAAATTAAAATAAAACTAGAAAAACAAATTGAAAAAGCGGATTAACAACCAACAATCAAAAAAAAATTATGTGAACCTAACCTAAAAGTTAAAACGTATATTCTGTGGGTCGGTTGCCCCACAATTGATCGACTCAACTGTTTTGTTTTTTTCTTTTGTTACCTATGCTTACTTTAGTTATGATTGCATCTCATTCCTTCGGCTACTCGAATCGTGTTGTGGCAGTCTTTTCCACGGCAATTTAATAAAATAACATTTCAACCAGTATCAAATTTCACGTATGGTTGGAATGTTTTTTAAGCATTACCGTAAAAAAAATAATAATATTAGTGATCCAGAGCAAATAAACAACTAAAAAAAATACTGGGCGAGCGAAGATCTCCTCGTCTGTGCAAATTCTCTCACTGTTTTAGATCAGTAGGGAATAGCTGACACCCAAACATACCAATGATACGCCGACGCCGCCATTCCTCACCACCAGGGGACCGTCAGTTGCTGGTTAATTAATTGCTCGCTAGGTGCAACAAAAAAAAAGATTACAAGTTTGCCGTATCCCGTGAACCCCCCCTGCTCACCACAGTAGATTGACAGCTGCAGCTGATATCAGTAATGCCAACCCACATCGAGCCTTAAATCTTTAAATATTGCTAATTTCATGTCAATGCAAACAACAAGAGTAATGCTATTGCCGCTAGATGGCTAATGGTTGGATAATAATTTGAATTGCTCTTCAGTCACATCGATTTAAATAAAGTTCAAATAATGAACATTCAGTTGCTCGGTTCAAATAAAGATGGAACAGTTTTAACATAACTTAATTTAAAGAAAGAAAAGTAAACATTATTGCTTTACAATTATAGTTACATCACAATACAGATATAACTGTGAATGGGAATAAGCATCTAAATTATTAATAAATAAGTTGCTTTACTTAATAATAACCAGATAGAAATTATTTTAAACAACAAAAATTTACATGACATTCAACAACCATAAATTTTGTTCCATTTTTGAAATATTGTCACTGCTTGTCAAATTCACTTACCACATTGATTATTATAATTGAAACACAACATTAACTGAAGCAATATCTCAAAGTGATCTTCTAAAGCTTATTTTTTATAAAAAAGAAATGAATATATTCATCATATTTCTTATTGAGACAGCAAAAACGCATTCATTTGTTCATTATTATTAATATTTTGTTTTGAATTTCAACATTGTTTCAAAAAATTAATTAAGATAATCACAGTTAATATTTGTCTAACGATTATTACGATAAAATAATGATTTCTGATGATTAAACGTTGAATATTATTACGCTTAGACAATATTTTTTTGATCATAGATTGTTGATGTAACGATGTTCATTTTTTTTAAAGTAAAATCTTAGTTTTTAATATGTTAATTTTACAGCATGAATAAAAAATAGGATTTATTTGTAATCAACACAAATATTATTTAATTAACGAAATAAAATAAAAAGTGGACAAAACAGAAATGTGATGTGATGTTGCAAGAAACGAGCGCAGGCAGTTGATATTGTCTGTTTTGTTCGATGCACCGTACACAATTTCTTCCGGACCGCCGATTTCCTTATTTCCAAATGGTTTGATTGCATGACTCTCCGGTCTTATGATATTTTCGTTAAGCAAGTATCGAGTTCGGATTGTTTCTGCTGTAGTTTGAGGAGTAGGTAGGTAGTAGTGGTAGTAGTAAGTCGTTGTAATAATATTCGTTCTTTCCTGCAGCCAAAGAACTCGGCCCCAGGTTTCTCCTACTCACCTGCCACCACACAACATTTAGGTGTGCTATAGTGTATGAGTGAGTGTGTGTGTGTGCACTAGACGACTCTCCTCTACCTGTTGCTTTGCGAGTGTTTACCTCGAGGTAGAGCGTACAAATCCGCTGTTGGTGCGACAACTCGGAACGGTACCTCAGGAACGAACTCGAATACACTCGCGCTTTACATTAAATCCCATCCAAATTTGGACTCGAGAGGAATCAAGTTGTATTATATATACCCAATCAGACAATCAGTTATCGTTATTTCTAGTTCTACATACAGATTAATTTGTTAAAAGTGTGTGTTTATTTATATTTTTTTTATCATTTTTTGGTGTTGTGAGTGTGCGTTTATAACGAGCAGCAGCAGCAGCAGCAGCAACAGGAGAACAAGTTGGATTGAGTTGAGGAGTGAGTACACACTTTTTCCCCTTCATCGACTAACAACGTTACGGCCAACTGGTATTTTAATGCAGCCTCGGCCTCCGTCTCTTTCTCTTGCCCTGCACATCGCCCATTTTCTCTTCTCCTCAACTATACATGCCGCAATTCATCTTTCAAAGATGAAAATCTTGAAAATCTCAGTATACAAATCAGAATAAGGAAGATAGAGAAAACGGCGGAGCTTTCCTTCCTCTGCGATGCGCTCGAACTCTGAACAAATTTTCTCACGTAAAATGTCAAAATTCTCTAACTTACGAAGTTGCTTCATCGCAGTTTATGAAAGTTCGACGATCCGACAAAATTCATCGATACATTTTGATCACTTTCTTTCCACTTTTCCCCCCATATCTTTTGCCTTCCAAATTTCGTTTCGACATACTCGACATTTGCATTTTAAATCAATTTAATTAATCGAATACAGAACGTGTACCAATTTAGAATGGAAATAGATATGTTTTTTTTTATAAGTTTTGAAACAAAAACTTTTCGGTCAACAGCCTATTATATAACGTGCAATAAAGATTAGCGATGAAGTGTGCATTAAATATTAACATTACCATCTAAATAGTTTATGTAATATTTGTATAAGTGTTTTGAAACACAAATATAGAAAGAAAGTGGTACTTAAAAAAAAGCAGTTGGTAAACGTTCAATATCAGATAATTAATTTAAAATTCTAAATATTTCGTACGCTCTGAATGGAATTCCGAAAAAAAGAAATGGAAAGAACTTTATTGATAATAAATTTAATAGTTTGGATACTTTCTTAAACGCCGATGAAACGTAATTGCACAAATCAACATTTTACTTAAAACAAAATAAGTGACAGTGACAGCTGTCAACAAAATAGGTTAACATTGGGAATTATGTGAATTAAAAAAATTCACATTGATAACAAATTTACTGCTTTCTTAAACAACGATGAAACGATTGCGCGAGTCAAAATTTTATTGACATTTCACGTAAAAAAAATTCAATCAATATTTAGAGAACCTCACAAATTTGATAAAACTAGTCTTTATCAACAAAAAAAAATTGACAGATGTCAACAACATAGGTTAAAGTTTTAAATTATGTAAAAAAAATAGTGTAATCATGAAATATTAAATTATAAGAATCGAAGAATCGAATTTTTTGGTAACGTGAAGCAGTAAAAAAAATCGTTACATAGTTTGTGTGTCTTATTGGATTATGAACTTTCTAATTATGCCTATTGATTATTCAAGAAATAGCGTCAGCTGGTCGGAATCATATAATTTTGTATTTATCTCTCAATATTACGAATGCAAATTTTCTTAAAGAGTTTTGAAATAAAGCAATTTCTTTTTTTTTTTAAATTAATTTTATTGGAGAGATTACGAAGCAAAGAAAGTTGAACATAGAAACAGATCTCAAAAATATTAATCGAGAAAGCGTAATTCAAAACAAAAGACACTCGAACGAAACACAAGATACGCAATTTAAAAAGAAACACATATAACGAATAAATAACAATTAGCGAATAAATTGTAATAAATAATTATTTTTCGAAATGTGAACGGGAATAAATCAACGTTGAGATCATCGTTTATTTGCTTGTAGCATTTAAGAGATTTCAGTTGCATCATCTTTCGTACCGGTGGAGAAGGAGGAGGACATGATGAGAGACGAAAGGTTCCTGTTCGTAATTACACCATTATGAATGAATAAAAGAAGAAAAAGTTTTATTCGAAGCCTCCTCGATCATCCTTCGAAATTTATTGCATTCCGCCTTTAATTTTATCATCATTATTATTATTACCTCTTCTTTTTTTTGCCTCGTAACCATGACATTTACTTGATGTTTTTTTGTTGTTGTTTTTGTCTGTGCTTGCAGTGGCGCATCGCGAAAAAAAAAAGCACCGGAGTGCCGAGAGAGTTACTTTATGCAATCGCGAATGATGCACGTTTACAATACTGAAATGGGGAGAAAGAGAAAGGACGAAAGATGTCTCCGCACGATTTAAGAAATGAAGTCGCGCGATTTATGCTTCTTAAATCAAGGGAGGCCTTAAATCTCAAAAAAGCAGTGATTATAATAGATATATTGACTTACATATGAATATTTGGAGAATACAACGCGTAGATTTCCGTGATCGAATTTTGCAATAGTTTCGCGATACTCGCATTCCAAAAACGTGAGAGAGGCAAAGGTGGATGGATGTGATTTGACAGACAAAGGCCGATTTGACGTTGCGCAAAACAACGCAGCTGACATTTCACTTGAAACGGCTTGCTCGATCCGAAATGTCGTAACAATAAAGATATTTGACATTGAATGTGAGATGATCAGCTCAGTTACAGTTAGATGAAATTTTATATATATATATATGATGAATCCGCACTGATCGAAGCCACACTATGTTAGATATTGCTATATCTCAAAAGCATTGTTCTTGGAAACACACCTTCAATTTGATATTATTGCACATACTTCAAACACAATGGTCTCGTGTTTTCTTAAGTCATCGGTTAACCAATGTCTTCTCGACTACTTAAAAAAATATATTCATTTCTACTTTATTCAACAACATTCTGAAAGTTACTAATGTCAAAATTCTGAAAGTAAAGTTTTCAACGATTTTGTATAAATAAAATGAATTGCGAAATTGGATTTGTCCTTTTAAATTTACGTCACAGAAATACAACTTTTATTAGCGAGAATTGCTAAGCGGTCACGAATCATTGAATTTGTGAGACAAAAAAAAATTGCTTTTTTATCATTATCAATAAATTTCTAATGATTTTTATTTCAATTTCTTAATTAATAAATATTCCACGGTAATACCGTCTGCTGAAATATACAATTGCATAATTTATTGCTATGCGAAGGTTAGCGAAATTCCGTTGCAAAAAAATATTCTAAGCAAATTTCAATTTCCTAACTCGACTATTGTTCTGCGTGCGTACGTGCGTGCGTTCCCTGCCATTGCCCAATTGTTTATAATTACTCATTATTATTATCGTTGTTATAACAACGAAATTTGTATGATCGTAGTAATGCAAATAAAGTTAGGCGAAAGAAAAACGGTATCTTAGCAACGCAGCTGCTTCGAACAATCCTCATTGGGCTATGAAAAAAAGGCGTTTCGATAGGAGATAAGAGAGTCATAAAAATTGTTTGCAGCTGCGAATTAAATCGGTAAACGCAAGACGAGGGATCGGCTTTTTTCGTTCTTAACGATTCTATTGGTTCTAATGTTAGGATCCGCAAAAACCATTGGTGGCTCATCACTACATTTTGTTTTTATCAAAATCTAAACCAATCAGAAATTAGAACGTTTCATTTCAAATCTAAAATGCATTTTATATAATAAAAATCACTTAACATAAGCTTAAGTAGCATATATTAATTAATTATTATGTAGTTAATAGTAATTATTAACAAATTCGACTATTAAAATATGTATATTCAATGTGAACATTTTTAATTTAAACAAATACGACATAAAATTTGTGCGTTTGATAAAAAGGAATAAAAAATAGATGATTGCTACTCGATAGGAGACTAATCAAAATTAAGCAATTGTTTTGAATAGTTTCCTTATATGGTGACGGAAAAACACGAATCGTCAAAACCAGAGTCCTTCACATATCAAGTGTGCCGTGAGATAAAAAATAGTAGAAAAACTCTGCTTTAAACACTTTGCAATACAATTCAATGAATTTAAGTTCTAACTCCTTTCGCTTTCTCCACATATTTTTCATTTTTTTTATCTCTCTTAATTCAGAGCATGCATAGATACTTTATAAATCTATGTATTGCGTACACGATCGTGTATTTAGATAAAGTTTTTATTTTTCTTCATAATTATTGTTGAACTTAAAATAACATAAAAGCATTCATTTTTGCCCTACCTTCTTGTAATACAATAAAGTACGGTTCTCCGTTTTGACCTTCGTGCCATGAAAGTATCGAATCTTGTACAATCAAACGAAATTTCGTCATTCCTTCTTATCCAAGGTCGAATCTATCTGAAAATACCAATTAATTCATATATTTTAGTCCTTCTACTATTTAGTTTAGTTGATATCATTAAATTCTTGATGATTATGTTTTTAGTATATTATTTTTGTAATATTATATGTAATTTTCTAATAATAAATTATAAGAAAAAAACGTCGGTTGAAAAACACTGGTTTAAGGTTTTTTTTTATTCCTAAGCAAATATGAAATGAGATGATTGTAAATTGTGGTAATTTAAGTGCTTTAGTATTTATTCATTGAAATAATTTTAATTAACTTTCTAAAGAATCTTTTAGTTGCGTATATTTGTTTGTACTTCCAATTCATCAATTCCTTCAGCTTTGAAACCTGTCATTTCACTCCCTAATATAATTGTTTTGTCAAGAGTATTTCAACTGTTCCTCGCTTTGATACAAGGTGACAGCTGTCATTGTAACGCCGATTTAGTGAATCTAAATAAATAATAATCAATAGAAAAAAAGAACCAGACAAATCTAATTGCCAGGAAGTAACTGTCACAGTTGACGTTTAAATTTAAATTGTAGTTTTGCATAGAATTAATGGATTTGATCGTGTCTCTCTGTAACACTTTCCAATACGTACGCATACACAGAACAACCGTTATTCATATCTTTTTTTTTCATCTTCTGCTGTTTTTATTACTGTGGCTAATGTAATTACAGTTTTTTTTTCAAACAATTATAAAATTCGTTGCATTCGCACGACCTTCGCGGTTTATTTATCGTGATGAATTATGCATTTTCGTAGTACTACGCTAGATTAGATTTAGTTTACGCATATTAATTGATTCATTTATTAATCTTTACTAAGTGATGTAGAATGTTCTAATTTTTTGTTTTTATTTTTTTTCTACTAATTTGGCAAAATTGACATTTCTAAAGGTAAAGAGCCATTTTTTCAGATAACGTCTAAAGAGTCGCATACTTGTCATTTTTGACAGTGACATTACTTACTGTTGTCT